AGTGGCACACAACCTTCTCTATAAACCACCGAACTTTTCCCAGATTATGTGCTCATCTGGCTCAGTGCTTGTGCGTGACCATAACGCCACTATTGGGGGCTTTCAAGAAGAATTTCGCTCAGCACCCATCCGTCATATAAGTTCTCGCCATCACTACCGCCCATAGCCTGAAACTCGAAGGGTGACAGATCATGGGGGGCCCGAAAAAAAACCAATAACCAGAAGATAAGTGAGCATGTTTGAGCACGTTTGTGCCAAGGATTGCCTCTTAATCGCTGCCCCCGTCTGAGTGACCGTGAAGCGCGCCCAACACATTGATTTAACCGGAGTTGTACTCACAGCACCCATCCGCTGGCCAATGAAACTTCAATTATTTCCAACATCCTAAGCTCGCGCCAAGTTCGGCGCCGGTCCATTTGGCAAGGAAGGCTTTGCTTTTTGCCGTGGCATGATTCCTCGAGCAGCGGACCGTCGTTCCGCCTTATCTACCCTACAACGCCTGTGGGTTGTGTCCCCTTGAACTTTGAATAGTTTAGTTAGGTTAAGTTCTATCCTGGAAAAGCTGCTACACTTGGAGTGATGAGGACTGATTGCCCTATGAAAAAAAAAATTGAAAGCTTCAATGGCCAAGTCACCGAATGCTTGGCAGTTGTTCCTTGGTGTAGACTTGGCAATCTTTCCTGTTGGAAATATAGCTTTCAAGCTCTTGAGACTAACCATCGAGTGAGACATCTTTCGCTATCACGGAGCACTTTTTGGTCTTTGATCTACACATAAGCCAATTTCAGCGGTTGAACCGGCGGCATGGTCCGATACCGCGGAACCAATATTGGATCCTCCCGGTTTTAAGCATAACCCACCAACCCAACTTATTTCGGTCTTTCGTGATCTAATCTCATGCTAAAAGTGCCTGGAAAGACAAAGTTTTTAGAACCTTGAGGCTTTTTCCACAGCAATACGGTCAAGACAGCTCATCGGCCCTTCGTATCGCGTCACTTTTGTAACAACTACGCTAGGCGGACAAGTTGTTTACAAGGAGAGCATTTTACAATTGATAATTGAGTCCATATATTCCAATCCTAATAAAAAGGCTGTAGAGTCAATAATAAAATCGATAATCACCTTGAAACCTCTTAGCAACCGGATGTACCCAGCAGAACAATAAGCAGTGAAAGGTGGTCGGATTCGCATTCTCTCTAAGTCCCGTGAAGCAAAAAGCTCTTCATCATTTCAATTGAGTAGAAATCCGCACAGATTTATGTCGGCCTATTTCTTGAAGCCATCGCCACTCTCAAATTATGGCACACGCGGGCTCAGCTGCAACACACCGTAGTCTCCTCAATCCCGGTGGCAGGCCTTTCACCTTGCATCTTGCCATTAACTGCAACTTTGTGCACCATCCAGTCACACAGAAACTTGCCGAGAGTGGCGCCGATGATAATAGAGATGATTATGTAGCCGTTGAAGTACATGGCGAGCAACATGACGATGTACGCGACTCCGAATGTGACACCATGAATGACAGCCCGGATGAGCTGCTGCAGGGGAGAAGCACGGAAAGTTACCATCTTGTGGCCCGGCACCGGACTGGCCGAGCAGCACGCAGCGCTAGACGAAGATGTCTGAGCCGCGAGATGGCGTTGGAAGTGCCGCAGGATTAAGTTGTCATATTCCTTGCCTAAGCGCCTTAGCAACTCAAGCACGACAACAAGGAGCACGACACCTATGCAGGAGGCGGCAAACATGGCGTTGTTTTCAATGTGCCATGTCGAGGAAAGAAAGCCTGAAGATATAGGGAGGAGAAGTGTCAGCCTGAGACCAAAGCACGCAGTTGAGGGCATATCCGTGCTCGCTTAAACTCACAGGCATCAACTGTGTACCAGTTCCATAGCATCTAAAGCTTGGTCAGCTAAAAAGACCGAAACTAATCCTGGCAATTGGCCTTACCGAAATTTTGCAGTCACTACTAGACGACATTGATGATGAGTTGTCCATTGCGCTAGCTTCGTCTTACACGAGACCATTGATTAACTTCTTTAGTGCCAGAGAAGAAAAGAGCGGCGATGAGGCAATGTAGGCAGGGGCTATTATAATTGGCACTGTCTTTGCAGAAATTCTCAGAGACTCGAGCTGCCGTTGGTGATTGTAAAATCCCGGTCAAGTTGCGCAGAATGTCACCCAAGAGCCCAGCCAAGCCAAGGTGCCAAGGAGAAGAGGATAACATCGACGGCTTTGCGGGTATGTAGTACAACTTTGACCAACTAAAATGCCTCTATTGGGCCACAGCAACTGCGGAACGGGGGTCATCTGCCCCATAGTGCGTGGGTTTTCCACATCTTGGTAGGATCATGAGTCTTATTAATGAGTGACACGGAGCTGGACCCAGGATCTTGTTCAGACAGGATCGGCGGGGAAGCACCGCGCCCAATCCGGCTACGGAAACATGCTCAATCCTGCTCACGCCCACTTTCTCAGACCCATTCCGGCCGGGGGTTGAGTGTCAATAGTCACATCAGTTTTCCGCTTCTAGAGGCCGGAGAACATGGCCGCCAATTTCTTCGTCTATTCCGTCCGTTGACTTCTTGGCCCAGCAAGACGAACACCTCTTAATCGGCGAGCACCTGCAGTCTGAAAGTAGGGTCCAGCGAAACGACGTCTTAGTCCTGGCCATATCCAACCTTCCACGTTGTTGTACGAGGCTTCGCCGGCCCCTTCACACTTCCAGATATGGACGCCGCAGATCAACTCTCAGTTGCCGCCCGGCATATCCAGAATCAGAGTGAGGCTTCTTCGTTAGAGCCTCACTGGGGTTATGCTGACCGTGTCGTTCCGTGCACCAACGATGCCGGCTCCTGCGAGTACCTAGACAACGTGTACTGGTCCCACGATGTCGGCATGATTTACATGGGGATCTTGTGGTGCACCATCGGCGGCATCCTGCTTGTGTGGGCTGTCAGCCGGCACCTGTTTCCCGAGAAGAGGGCCGACCAACAACTCGGCACCTCCATCGATGGCCAGGAAAGCCCCGTCACGGCTCCCCGTCACAGCTTGGCCCGTCTGCGGCAGTCCTTTGATGCATATCGCCGTACCTACCTACTACCAGAATCCTTTAGATCGATCTTCGGACCAACCACCCGTCTACAGGTGCTGATCCTATCTGTTCTCTCAGGCTATCTCATCATCTGGACTTTTGTTGGTATTACCTACAAGAAATGGATTACTCCCGTGAAGAACACACCCAGTCTTTTCAACATTCGCTCCGGCCTGGGGCCATTCTCCGACCGCATCGGTGTGATTGCTTACGCTCTAACCCCCCTATCCGTCATGCTTTCCAGTAGGGAATCTATTCTATCTCTCCTCACCGGAGTCCCCTACCAGAGCTTCAACTTCCTGCACCGCTGGCTAGGGTACATCATTGTTATCCAGGGCTCGGTCCACACCATCGGCTGGTGCGTTGTCGAGATCCGCCTCTACCAGCCCCAGCCCTCCACCGCCATTACTTGGATCAAGCAGCTGTATATGATCTGGGGCGTCGTCGCCATGATCCTCTTGCTCCTCCTTTTCCTCCTGAGCACCAAGTGGGGGATCCGGCTCACAGGGTACGAGACTTTCCGCAAGTTGCACTACGTCTTGGCCATGGTCTACATCGGCGCCTGCTGGGGTCACTGGAAGCAGCTGGAATGCTTCATGATCCCCTCACTGGCCATCTGGCTGTTGGACCGTGCTGTCAGGCTCGTCCGATCGGCTCTAATCCACTACCAGTTCCTCCCAGACGGCTCCATGGGTTTCAGAGCGGCACCGGCAAATATTGTCCACTTTCCCGACCACGACTCCGGTGACGTTGTCAGACTAGATTTCCGGCATTCTCAGGAGGCCTGGAATGTGGGACAGCACTTTTACCTGTGCTTTACAGAGAGCAGCATCCGGCAGGCTCACCCGTTTACGCCCTTGAGTTACCCGATCGTCCAGAACGGAACCGTGCTGCACTCTTACATCTTCCGGGCTAAGAGTGGTGAGACTAAGAAGGTTGCGGCCCTCGCTACTACCAAGCTCAACGAGGACAGGCTTGCCACGACCCCCGTCATCCTTCAAGGCCCGTATGGAGAATCCCTCATGGAGAACCTGACTCCTGATGTCAACGTCATCTGTGTCGCCGGCGGGACCGGCATCACCTACGTCCTTCCTATCCTACTCGGCCTGATACAGACCGCTCCGATCACCAACCGCTGTGTCGAGCTGATATGGGCCGTACGGAAGGAAAACGACATGAAGTGGATTGACCAGGAGCTGCAGATCCTCCAAGCAGCAGCAAAGAGTCACCACCTTAGGCTTCGCGTTTTCGTCACCCGAGAGGAAGCTCCTGCGTCACCGGCACGGACTGAGAAGGCCAACGAAGTAACTGAGGAGTCCAAAGAAGTGGGTTCGTCGGCGTCCTCTTCCGTGTCAAGAGAAAGAAGTGCACCTGCGTCGCTGGAGATTGAGGTGCAACGGCTTCGTCACGATGGCCAGAACTCGCATCCAGACTTGAAGCAAATAGTCACCGAGTTTGTTGAAGGCACAGTTCGTGGCCCTACTACGGTCTATGCCAGTGGACCAGCTGCCATGATTAGTGATCTGCGTAGCATTGTCGCTGCTTGCAACTCTGGAGCACGAGTGTGGAAGGGCGAGAGCCGCTACGACGTCAGCTTGATGGCTGATGACCGCCTGGAATGGTAGTCTTTAGCAAGTGCAGTTCCGGTAACGTTGAGCAACGAATCAGGCGTAGGTTGTGGAATTCATCCATATCGTTACGTACTGACGGTGGCACCTTTATTATGATAAGATATATAGACATTTACTTACTATTTATACTACAAAAGCCTTTTTTATGAAAGAGTGCAGCAGGTTTCTGATTAATTATTTCTGATATACGTCTTGGAAATCAACTATCCCCACTAACCTTCGTATTCTTCTCTCTGAAACCCCATATGCCCAGTCTAGTCAGAGAAGTTCCTTCTTTATTAGCTTTCACATTCAGGCATATAGAGTAGGTCTGAAATGTCCCAATTCAATAAGTCCTACGTGAAAGAGTTAGCCAACACAACATCGACTAGGACCAATGGCTCAAATCTCGGCACTTACAAATGATTCAAGGTCCAAACTCGCAGTGTCCAACTCCGTGACAGTTTCGTAGCTCTGACAAGTCATACTTAGAGAGCCGTGTAGCTCTTGGAAGATATCGAGGGTCTCCCTCAGACTTCCACGGAGGGCGTTGAAAACAGCCGTCTTTGTGCACTGGCCCTGCTCCATTGCTTCCGTCTCAGCGAGAACGGCCGTGATGAAGTTGAAATTCTTCGAGCTCACGCTTCCGGCTCTCATCAGTTCTTTTGACCCGTCCGCCAAATTGCGCAATAATCCTCGGGTGGAATCGCGGGCATCTCCCTGCATCATGTCTAACTGGTCCACGCGAGAAGAAGTTGCATTCCCACCGTTGTCATCCCGAAAAAGCATAAAAAGTTCGAGACTTAGAACGAGTATTACGTGGAGGGAGAATGGTCCCTTGAAAGTGCCACGTCCAGCAGCAGCAAGTTGGAGAAGTTCTACTGTGTGGTTAGCCGGGTTGAGATCTTCAACAATTGCCTGCGCCGCATCCACACAGATCTTGCGAGCTATATAGAAAGCCGGGTCATCGAGTGACTCTATCATATATCTCTGGTGTAGTAGTATGATATACCTCCGCAAGAGTGTATTCAAAAACTTATGGTGGAAATGGGCTGCGTTCTTCTCGGATGCACCGGGCATGACTCTCGAGCCCGGGCTAAAGAAATCAGATAGTTGGCGACAACTATTCCTCAGTTGTGCACCTAACTCCAAAATCTGACCAAAGGAATAGTTTTGCTCAACTCCATTGAGCATGCGTGCGATCTTCAATCGAAGGGCCAAGGAACTAGTAAGCTGGATCTGAATAGAAGCATCTGTGAATGACTCTTTTGGTGTTGGCTCGTGCTCAGAATCAGTGTGAATTGATTCGTCATCCACATTCAAAATCTCAGGAACCACAGTATCCGATTCACAAAGTGGAATTGGTATTGATGAGTCGACGTGATGCTGAACACAGAGTTCTAGTGTGGCGATCCAAAGCCGCTTTCTCATCTCTCGTTGGAAAGGAGTAAGAGAGGCGAAGCGAGCAGGTTCGTGATGAAGGCCCATGCTTAATGCCATAGTAAGCAAAGATCCAGTAGAGACCCAAGTCAAGCCACCCGAATTGCACGTGGTTTGCTTTGAGAGTAACAGGAGGATGTAGATCTGCAAACCAGGAAGAGTATTGGTAGACTTGGACCCAGGGCCCATGATCCAAGACTGGACGGAGAGTATCCATACTTGAGCCCGCTCTCGGATGTGAAATCTGTCGTCGCTGGAATAAAATGTTGACCCAATGGCGAGGACGAGAGCCAATTGCATTATGAATGCCGTGGAAGCGGATTCCGGCTCGTTTCTAAAACCTTGGTAGTCTTGAGAAAACGATGGCATATGCAGAACACGATACATTGGCTGGATATAATCAGCGTAGTGGGATATGAGCTCATAGCAAACACCGCTTTCTGGGAAGCGATCTGCCAGGGACCGATGATGAACGCTTTCCGCGTGAGCTGCCCTGGATTTGATTTTGCGTCTGGTGCTTCTTATCTCCATAAACATGTCAACTAGGTCAGTGATATTTCCATTGATGTTGTACGTATCCAAGTTGATATCAACCTCTTTTGTATCCCAGTTACTCGGGATGGAGGGCTATCAGCGGTCAGAGAATTGCAAATATTCCAGGTTGCCAAGGTGCTGTACGTACCAGAACCTCAGCCATATGTATCCAATGACTGGGGCCGAATATCCGAGTTTTGTCTCGCCCATTTCTCAAGCGAAGTCTGATATGATTGCCATGTTTCTGAGATGACACTATCGCCTCATTTCTCTGTTTGTCGGTGGTGTCAACACCAAGAGTTGGCGCGGGAGAGTGGCTGCTGAGCTTGGATCCGCTATCGGCCGCTTTGGACGCCGAATCTCCTGCTGTGGGCTGTCCAGATTCATCTTCGAGCCGGGGTCTCTTAGCCGCTGTGCTTTCTCGGGCGTGGTTGGCTCTGCTGTCGGATGTATACACGCAGCTGAGGGATGCTCGGGCACGCTTGCAGGTGCCGCAAACAGGGAAACCAAGATCGCACTTCAATTTACGAAGGCGACATGGGTTGCACGATTTAGCAGGTCGACGGCGACGCTTCACTGCAGAAACAGGCGATTTCTCCATTTTCGACAGTCTGGTTACTGGGAGCTGGTCAAGTTGAAGGTGAGCAACAATGCAAATTGGACGATGACGAACCCCGGCATTTTTCTCATCTGCAATTCTCCGAGGCCGAGGCCGAGCTTTTTCCCCCACCTGCTGAACCTTGTGAAGTTAGTCCGGGTTATACCACGACATATCCCGAGATTCCTCCCAATTAACATCAAGTTCGGTAGAATGCGGGGAAATTAGTCTCGAGTTGAGGACATCTTGAAACGATCTAGCCGATGCCATTTCAATGCCGGAGCTTAGCAAATACTCTTATCATCATGTCGTCCAATATAAACCTCGGCCTCGGGAAATTGTTCTATTATATATAGGCCGCGTTCATCACATTCAACGCCATGTGGTTATCAAGCAGCATACTCTCCTTACATTTCATCTCCAATCTTCGATCATCTACAGCCCTTTCCACTACAATATGACGACAGCAGACAGACTCAACTCCCTCGCTCAACAGCTTGCTGAGTTATCCGCCGAACTCCGGGGCAACCCAGACCATTTCATAGCATGCAATGATGAGCTCACTAGCCTGGCGCAAGCCTCTGCGAAGATCCTAGAGTCCATCCAAAGCCCATCAATGTATATCAATAGCATGATTACACAAATGGCGCACTTTACGTCTCTGCGATTGTTCATCGAGTGGGGAGTGTTTGACGCGATTCCCCGTCATGACTTTATCTCGCTCGAAAATTTAGCCGAGAAACTGAACGTCGATGTGCAGCTCATCAGTATGTTCTCCCCATTAATCTTCATTTGTTAATTTTCGACATAATTTACGTAAAGAGTGCTCACAACTTGCCATTCAGCTCGTTTCTCCCGCATTCTCGTTGCCCAGGGAGCGCTCAAGCAAGACGGAACAAAGGGCGTTGCCCACACCACCACTTCTATGATGTTCATTCGTGAAAGCCCTATGAACTCTTTGATTAGAATGGGGTGAGTGGATATTACCTAATGGGGCTCAATCAACATGCCGCTGACACGGAGAGTATAGATACGATATGCATCTGAAGTCTTGCTCTTATATTGTCTCCTTCTTTGAGAAGTATGGGGCTAAAGAGCCACAGGGTCGCCTTGAAACTGTGTTTGCCTTCGCTTGTGGTGACCCTAACTTGACTGTCTGGGAACACCTGAACCGGAATCCAGAGACCATGAAGAACTTCATGTTCAGCATGGTAGCCATGAGCCAAAGGCTGTCAATTACGGGGTCATACGACTTCAGCTGGGTGTTGAGCCCGAAGTACAAAGAAAGGACTCTCATTGTTGATGTGGGAGGAGGCAAAGGTCATGCTCTACAGGCCATATATGATGTTACTCCGGGACTTCCAATGGATCGATGTGTTGTGCAGGATTTGGACGTGGTTGTCACAGAGTCCAAACAAGTTGCAGAGGACCCTTTGAGTCAGGCGCAATTCGTTGCATCTGACATCCATCAAGCTCAACCTACGAAGGGTAGGGATTTCAGCCCCCTATAGTAGAAGCCTCTTGCTAACTTCTATCTAGGAGCTCTTATTTACTACATCCGACGTTGTCTCCATGATTATGGCGACCCAGATTGCGTGGAGATACTCCAGCATATACAACAGTCAATGGCTGACGATAGTAGACTGATCATTGCCGAGCAAATTCTAAGCGACCAGCCATCCTTAATGGCATCCGCCACAGATATCTATATGCTGACTCTAGGGGGCAAGGAACGAACTTTGGACGGCTTCAGGGCTATCACAGCTGATGCAGGGCTGGAGATTCTTGAAGTTCATGGTTCTGGGAGCAATGACTTGGCTTTGATCGAATGCAGGAAATCTTGAAACCATGAAAACTCCAGTCCCAAAGAGCCAAGATTGGGAATTTTTCACGGGAATATTCTCATAGGTTTCTCTCAGAATGATTACATGTTCATCAGTTTACAAAAAGGTGTATTACATTGTAAATGAAGATGGCCCTTGAAATTTATACAATGTTTCTATATTTTGCCTAGCGGATATTAGCTCCTATTGGTTTGACAAATATTGCATCATTAGATCATTTTAATCATTTCCCGGCTTGAGCCGTCTCAATATGGTTCACACCTCTCTCAATATCTTTTCCCTTTAGTCCGTTGAAGATGATGGCAATGTCGATGAGCCACATAAACACTAGAGGCGAAAGGAAAAGAACCCATCGACCAAATTTCTCAGGGAACGTGGAGAACATAGTGAGAGCCAGGATCAATGGTAGCCTCCCAAAGTTCGCCGCTCCTAAAGTTCTTCTGCCAGGGTAGGGTAGGATCAGCAACCAGGATCCTCGAGCCGAGGGAATGACGTAGCATGCTGAGTGGCATGAAAGAATCGCAATACGACTACCAAAATGCTGTTCTTTCCCTTTTGGAGGTACAGTGCAATGTCACTTTCATCGTAGAACCAGATGCCTTCATCACCCTTTACGGGCTTATACATAACAGAGACGCCATTAACATAAAAGCTTGTATCTCGGAAGTGATGTGCAAAGTCGTATACTTCGGCATATCTCCGTCGATGTTGATGCTCCTGAGAAAATGTCCGAAAAGACCGGCGGGGTCCTTTCTATCTTCTTTAAACTCCGGATGCCACATCCAGGTGTCATCTACCCCGAGAACGTTATGAATGTTTTTGATAATTATAATAAAATCTATTTTCTTTTTTATGCCCCTAAACAGAGACTTTTGTAAACAGTATGAATCAAGTCGGCGATGAACCGTCTGTTCGAGATACTTTGCTTGAAGCCAAAAGGCGATCAACGGCCTTGGCTCCTTCAATACTCCGCCCAAGTACCAGTCTCTGGTCTTCAGTGAGCTGCTTCACCTCTTTTCCATACATGCAGCTCATATCCTGTTTTGATCCTCCCTTCTCCCACGTGCCGTCTATCATCCACACTTCAGGCACGTCGTACTCGTCGGGTTTGGTTAACTTGTTCTTCAATAAACCGCCGTTGTACCAGATCAGATTGTCGTCGCCATCCACATGTGCAATGACAAAACTGCACACCCGCCCGGGGGCAGGTTTCCCTATTTTCTCTCCTGGCCACCCTAGTATAGACCCGTAGTGCGCTTCAAACTCGTATCCCGAGCCAGCCAGCTCCAGCCCCATCCACCAGGATTCCTTGTCCCCGTAGGTGATCTTGTATGTGATTTCCTCCCGGACTGCGTGTGTGTTCTGCCACGCGATGTGAAGAAGCCCCATCAGCACGTCCGGGCGCGACTTGTCCAGGACGACCACGCCCGAGTCGCACTCTTCAGCATAATCTTCCGTCCAGACTAAGGACTTTGCCATGGCGGGTGACGGCTCTTTGATCTGGTCCTTGAACCACGCGTGTCGATCGGCAAAGGCGTGCTGCCATAGCAGTCTATCGTGGAAGAGGTAGGCTCCGTATTGTATGTACGGGTGTTGTTCGAAGAGCACATCGGGCTTCTGCAGGAATACGGCATCGGAGTCGAGAAGAATGACTTGTTCCAAGTCGGAGCCCAAGGCGGCGAAAGCTTTGATGGCCCAGCCCCCCTCGGCGAGCTTCAATGTAGAATCGTCGAATACGGAGAGAACGTCGAAGAATGTGACATCTGTTGCGCCGTCGATCTGTAGTATTCTCTGCTTGTCGTTCTCGCTCAGGTCGCCGTCGCCCGCGTAGGCAATCTGGATGGGAAGCGTGCAGCCCAGTACAACTCTCAGCGAGGTGATTAGATGCCCTGCGTACCGGATCGCATTCTCGCTTCCTCCTACGGGAATGACGATTCCGCGCGACCCGGGTCGGAAAGATTTTCGTAGTGCTGCTAACGGACTGCTAGGTGAAAAGGTACGCAAGAAGGGGAAGAGGCCGGCGATGACTCTTTCTACCGCACCGTGTAGGGCTTTTTTATTTCGAGGCTTCTGTTCGATTTCCGACAGCCACCGGTTCACCTGTTTCAACCGCAGACCGACCTCCCAAAACTGCTCCTTGTACGGCTCCTGAATTGGCTTCGAATATTCCATAGCTTGTATCGTCGCGTTGTCTAGTGCGTTGCCGAGGAACATGGACTGGTACTCTTCGATCAGATTGAACGGCAAACCTGCGGACCTTTGAATGAAGACGATCACGCCTATTAGCCCGAGGACGAGGACGAATATTCGGACTATCCCCCGGCGAGTAAGGGCCAGGAGATTCCTAGTGATGCTCATACATCGCTGCGATATGGTTGACTCGCTAGCCAGCCGTGTGAGTTTATCCATGGTGCTACGCAGAGCTACCAGAGTCTGCCTAAACACCAAAGGATCGATATTATTGGCTTGGGGGTCGGTATCTTTAGCAGGCCAGAGGAGTAGGAAATTCAACGGACAAGTGGCGGCCCGGGGGATAAGATACTTGAGGCCCCCCAGGCTCACTCACCTTAAACCAGCCCGAAGAACCCCACATCTTCCGCCAATATTGGCACGTACGTACATAATACTGCTGCCATGACGCGGTATTAGTGATCTACGAGCTGAAGGAGCCGCCTTCCTAGCCGAGTATGGGATCTATAAATTTCAACAGGCGCTTGCTTGCGTGGTCAGTATGACAGTGGATCAGCGGTTAGTCCCCATCAGCCTTAGCCCGGGCTCGAAGCCGGGAGCGTAACCTCTACCGGTAATTTGTAATACGCACCGACATGGGCGAGCGTATAAACCAGGGTCTGTTGCATCAGAAGGAGGCAGTGCGTTGGATGACGATCAGTTGAGGGGATGGATCGGCTCGTTTCTAGAACACCACCTCCATGGGTCGGAGATCTGAAATCACAGCATCGGCACATCACTTGGCGATTGGGTTCTGGCTGGGCTCGCAAGGATGGGATCATGAAACAGGCGAGAATGGCCCTAAGAAGCACATCGTCTAGTGTCCACGCGGCGTTGCTGCAAGTGGACCGACCATTGAATGCGCCCATTACATGTCATGACGCGTCCGAGCCAACAGCACCACCGGGCATTTTATCATCCCCGATATCCCCGTGCTAGTCGATGGAGATCCCGCGTGAGGCACGTGGTCGCTTTCCTAGGCTGGCTTGACATGACTCGTGAGGGACTCAACTTAACAATGGCCAGACAGCTGGATCTTTGTCAGAAGCTTAACTCTCAAGCTTCCTTCGGTTTCAACGGTCAACACCAGCAACTGCTCTACTAGTACACGGCAAACTAGGCTTCTTTGGTTTGTATATTGAGTCTAAGCCTATGCAATAAGGTTTATGCTTCTGCAAGGTTCGGTGATGCTTTCGGGCATCCTCTCGGGCATCCTTCCTGAGCACCCTAGAGCTTGATTAGAACTGGCGAGGTACCGCGAACAACAAGTCACGTCATACCAATGGCATGGCTGAGCCGGCTATTTTTAGAGGAAACATTTTTAAAGGAAAAATATAAATACAATTCTGTGCGCATTCCTAGCTGTCCCCAGAAATGGCAGAGCAATGAAGTGCCATCAAGTGTCATGCAGCCTTTCTCCAATTCCAACCACTCCTCTCTCTCCTTTGAGTAGGAGCCTTCCTCACGTTGGGGGGCCTCTAGTTGCGTTGATGCTTCATCTCAGGCCAAATGCTATCTCCGTCGTCCTTCACCAAGCTGTCCACGGCTTCGAGGATCGATTAGACGCCTCCCAGACTTTTGTCCTGCTTCTTCAGCTGCTCGGTTGATGTTATTACTTTCCCTCGACCAATGAGATTTTCGAATCCCAGGATCGAGGGCTGGCACATACCTGCGTCTCTTGGATGGACGATCACTTCGTCATGGCCCATGACATTTGGAGCGTCAGGCGTTAGCAAGGCTCATGAACGAAGCCGCCATGATGAGAATGTACTTGATTGAGCCGAGGGCGACGGTAGGCGAGAGCAAGTATTGCACAGTGACACGTGGCGCATGCCAGCCAGTTTTTGGCCTTTTAACCTTGGTAGATTGCCTTCTATGGAGACGCTTCGAAGAAGCTTGATAATAAAGCTTCTTCCCCTCGTGTCCTTTGGTGGAAGTTTCGGGTGAAGTCTGTATATTGGGTCGTCCCCTAGAGAAGGAATGGCCGGTGGAAGGATGAAACAAGGCCAAATCGGCACGGTGGTAGTTTGTCCACACCCACAGGAATGAGCAGAGCCAAGACGTCGTAGCGTCTGGTTTTCAGATAGTACAACCCCCAATAGGGGTAATTAATAAATATTAGATGCAATCCACTTGGTCACATACCCGAGGAATCGGTGTGCCTCTGCGGCATGCATACCATCGACTGCCCCAGGCTTCGATGTCTGCCCCTTATGACGACGGCCTCTGCCACCCAGATAATGCAATGTAGTCCACGAGCTCGTCCGGGTACGATTGTGAAAAGATGTCGCCCGCATATGTCCTCCAATCCTCTTCGGCTTCCCCAATCCCGCCCTGCGAGAATTTGACGTACTCCCAATACTCCGGGTACCAGCCCGCCATCTCCCAGTCGATCAAGCCCTGCACCTTGCCGTCCTTGACGATGATGTTGCTGAGCGACAAATCGCAGTGGGAGAGCACTATCCTGTGTGTCGTCTTCAACCGATTCTTGAACGCCTTGACGACGTGCGGAGGTGTCTGCTTCGGCACGACCGAGAGGAGGTACGAGTTGAACTCATCCTCATCCGTGCACGCCGGGGCAAGACGCGTTGCGAGGTCTCGCGAGTCCCTGATTTCCATGCCGTCGCATCCCCCTATCAGGTTCGGCGGCGACTGGACCGACCGCATCCTGTCGATGATCTGCCGTAGCTGCTGTGCCATGTCCCTCTTCTCCGCCCTCGTCATCTTGAGCCAGAGCTTGTCGAGCGTGTCGCCCTCTATGAAGTCCATGATGATGCAGTTCTTGCCGCTCACGTTCTTTGCCGTGTAGACGTGAGGCACCGGGAGGCGGATCTCCTCGGCCACCTGGAGCGCCGTGGCTTCGGACAGTAATACCCGGGTGCCAATCTTCTTGACAATGTTCCCCCGGTGGCGCGTTACTTTGCGCCCAAATATCCTCCAGAGAATTGTTGTTCCTGATGTGGCCGTGTGTCAGTAATTGATGAACAATCAGTCAGTAGTGCAGGGATCTGGCGGTCTACCTTCTGGCTCAAAATCTAGCCCCGAATCCAGGCCGGCGGATGACTTGGTCTGTCTGTGTCTTCTGCGAGCCTGCTCCAGCTTCTCGCGGTAATGCATTGGGAAATCCCTCGATGGTAGCGGCAGATATGGTAATTGGAGGTCGCCCACATGGTCCACCGTCGCCCTCATTACTTCTGGGTTCTCCATCTCTGTGTGATCGGGTACCGTACCGGGCGAATGTCGAAGAGAAGCCCAGTTGAAGCAATTGAAATACTCCAGGTGCGCAATATGCGTGGGGTTCGCAGATTCACGTCGGCCGACTGTCTAGACGTGGCATCGCGAACGGACCCCTATTGGAGATCCGACCGCCCATGATATATGATTCATGGTGAATCGAAGGATTGAATCGTAGCCAATGGGCCGGGAAATCGCGTCGACCCGCCAGATGCTGGTGCGACACGGCAAGGTGACGCTACCCAATGGCCATCCATCCAGGATGCTACGGCACGCTCAGTCGATTTGCGCTCACTCCCTCGAGTTGCGCTCTGACACTTGGCACCTGGCTTCAATCCCCCCAATACCAGCCCAGAGATTGATCCAAATATACATCCCCCAGAGTTTCGAGTGCGGGCTTTTGTCTTGTTTCTGCCACGAATCCATGTCGTATCTTCTGATTTGGCCCGCCGGCCCTTGTCCAGAGAGCCAGCCCATCCAATCGGACGAAATTGGCGCCGGGGTTTCAGCCTCAGTCTCACCTCATATAGCCCCCTAAATGCTACCTCACATTACCGAAACCACCATGTTATGGGGCCGGATGGGCTCGTATTCACACGGCACGTTTCAAAGTTTGCAGAAGCCCAACAACCCCCTCAGATGGTTCTACAATCAGTACCAGCCCGAACCCCTGAGCATAGTTACATCGTGCCCTTCTTCCCGCTCTAGATTTGGAAATTTTCCTACAAAAGACCATGTCGTACTTGCTCAATTGCTCCTAAATGCTCACTCCACGTTGGTAGAGGATCGGGAGGGCGGGATAAGCTGGTGGGTTGTGTAACATGCGGCTAGAGGTCTCCTGCGTCCGTACTTCTGGACGCGTTTGAAAGTCGCGATGGCCGGCATGGATATCAACCGTTTTGAATTTTACAAAGCGAGAACCATTAGCGGCTTGGGTGAGATCCATGTAGATGCACCTCAATTGCGACCATGATTCTTGGTGTGGTCCAGGACGCCGGACGGATTCATCGCGCCCTTGGCATTAAGGGCGCGTCTCAGAATAACACATCCATCCTACAGTAGCTCATCTTGTAGATATAGCAGCAGAGCCAATGGCGTAGAGCTGACATATTTCAATACTTTGCCGTCGGGAGATGTTCAAAACGCTCTCCTTGGCCGGGGTGATTTTCTCTCTAGCAATAAATCGATAGAGAAATTCTAGCGTTCGTCGCACTTTGCTCCAGTGTATTGATGAACTTCCCGTCTTCGGATTGTCATTCCTGGGTAGGCCTTACCAAGGATGTCATGGCGTGTCAGATCACGTTAATGATAGCGAGCAGGCCCTGTGTAATACTTCCGAATGGTTTTTTACCTGATACCACTACCCCGGACTGTCGACATTCGCTCGTGTAGCGTGCGAGCGGATTCTTCGATACCCGGCCTGACATGCATGGATGAATACCACGCCTAAAAATAGGCGTCACTCCATGGATTTCTTGCATGGGCTTTTGCAATCTGAACTGAGCGGACTTTTTTATCAATACTAAACGTTATCATTCGTTTTCCTGTTGCATCCGGCCTCGATTGATTGGTTAGCGATCGGAGATGAACGTGCAGCGACATCTTGCCTGACCTTCGCTTATTTAGCCACGCGTCTACACTGCATGAACAAGTCAGTGGATGAAGAAGCCCAATGCCAAGGCGATTGTTTGCTTGACTGAGCCCGATATTCAATTGCCGCGGTCTTTGTGGGATTTATTATTACTACCATGTATAATCGGTGCGGTGAATTCCTTCTTCCCAGCCACCAGACAAAAACAGGGGCGGATTCCAAAGGGGAAGTTCAGGACTGGGCAAACTCAATGGGATGATGACATGTGAGCGATCTGACCTGGAAATGTCTCGCTAAGCCAGCCCTCGAATGCATCCGGCGGGGAATAAATGCAGAGAAGCAATATTGCACGTGGGCCTTGGCCAGATGCAACGATATGCCCATGCTCCGAACCACAATTCGATTCGGGATTTGCTGAATGCCCCGAACTGTGCAGGCAGCATTAGCAGAATCTGGACATATCCGATCGTCTGATTGTCTATCCCACTTGTCGCTATCATGACTGATTGGGTAGCTCCTATGGTATCATTGGGGGAGTACTGGCCAAAGGTTTATCTAGCCTACATCGTATCCCAAATGATTTTCAGTCGATGGCTTCCAATTGACCATCCGGCTCTTGTTCTCAGTGCATAGTATGCCAACCCGCCGACATCGAGAATCATGGGCATTGTGCTGAGCTCCCGTGAGGGCTTCACCCTCGACTTCGTTGCTCGCTCCCTGGCGACGACAGTCCTCCATCCTGTTCTGACTTCTATGCTGGCCATCATCGCCGGGAGCGACCTCCCAGCCCTCGGTCCCGTCACCGACAAGATCGCCTCCATCTTCCCTCACTACCGTCTGGCGCTCTACCTAACTGCAGGCACAGGGCTGGCCGTATGGGGGAACAACATTCTGAACAAGTGGTCCACCAACAATTGGATCCGCGACCCGACCTGGGACTTCAACAAGGAGATTGTCCTCGTCACGGGTGGCAGCGGCGGCATCGGGGCAAGCATCATCAGCCATCTACTGGCCAAAAACATCACAACCACCATCGTGGTGATCGACTACGTGCCTCTCAACTGGGCTCCTCCCGACGGATCTCGCGTGGACTACTACCAATGCGACCTGAGCGACCCCGACCAGGTGCGCGATGTCTCGGCACTCGTCAAGAGCCAGGTCGGCCACCCGACCGTGCTCATCAACAATGCCGGGCTCATGCGCGGCAACACCCTCCTCGAGGGCAGCTACGAGGACACCTCGCTCACGATCCGCACAAACCTCACAGCCCCCTTCCTCCTGCTCAAGGAGTTCCTCCCGGACATGGTCGCCCACAACCACGGCCACGTCGTCAACGTCGGCTCGATGAGCGCGGTGGTGGCGTGGCCGCGCCTGGCCGACTACGCGGCGACAAAGGCCGGGCTGGCGACCCTCGCGGAGGCCTTGCGGTACGAGCTGGGCATATGCTACGGGGCGCCGCGGGTGCGCGTGTCGATTGCGCGGTTCAGCTTTGTGCGGACGGCGATGGTGCAGGGCGAAGTGGGAATGAACCACTTCCTGTTCCCGTTCCAGCACGTTGACAGTGTCGGCGAGAGGCTGGCGGATGTGGTGGCGAGCGGGTATGCAGAGAATGTGTATCTGCCTGGGACGATGAGATACGTGGCCTCGATCATTGTGAGTCTAGTCTTTCATCCCTTGTTTGGTTTTGCTACGGTTCGTCTAGGTCTAATTGATTACAGTCTGGGGGGCCAGAATGGCTACAGCAATTCCTCGTCGGTCGGTCAGCGCGGAAGGCGACCGTTGTCCTCAAGTCGACGAACAGGCAGCAGATTGATCCCAAGACGGGGTTCTTGGCTAAATGAAGCAGATCTACAGACTGGGGATAATGAGTGGTAATGGTAGTGCTATCTGGTATATGAGGGGCGTTGGCCGGCATGAGGCGAACCTTGGAGACAGCTCATCCATGCCGTAAGATCATACAGACCAGTGAATGGCCTGCAGTTGGATAGCATCAATGGCGAAATGCAAGACGGTGTTCAACGAAATACGAAATGGTTGCCGCATGGGACTGAGCCCCATGACTTGGTGATAAGCGGAGGTCCAGCTAATCACGTAGAACCATTATATTGGATCTTGCCCCGCAGCCGAGGGACCACGGGCACCGTCCTTCAGACTATCCGTCTTCGGTGTTCTTCGCAGAAACTAACCAAGTTAACCAAGTTGTCGGTGTCCGTCCAGGCCACGCTCCAACCCCGTCGCGGTCCCTGTATGCCGCTACAGGCATCTCAAGCTGCTTCTGAGCGGCAGTTCTTGCTTACGGATGGGTCCCCCCATGTTCCCTAGACCAAGAATCTCGGACTCTGACCAATCATATATGAGTATTGGCCGGGGTGGGTGGTACGACAATTTCTGGCGAGCCACACACAGCTCACCAAAGTCCAGTTCTCCAACTTTCATCGACTCCCGGAGCCGAGGCAACCTGGCAAACCCCCGACTGACTATCGCGACCGTGTGCTGTAACTATCGCGTATATAGTAGGTGAGAGTCAGACTCAGCGGAATGATAGGCCCTACTCCCAGGGATGGTCCTACCCCGAATCCTTGAACTGCTCGACCGCCGTTGCCCGGCATTGGATTCCAGAAGCCGGCGAACGTCTCCCTGTTCCTTCCTCCAGGTCTTTATTTAGATCCAGTTAGACTTTGCTGTCAATTAAATAAAAAGGGAGGCTCCTTGCTCAACTCTAGCTGGCCAGAACACGCCGTTGTACGACAAAAGCAAGCAAGGAATCAATTACGCCAGGAGAGGGAGAAGAAAGAAAGAAATCACATCGTAATGGCCGAGCCCGCGAAACCCATGGCAGAGCCCACATACAGCCAGTTCGCCTGCATCGGCGGCGGGTTCTCAGGCATCGGCCTGGGCGCCACGCTCCAGCGCTGGTACGGCATCACCGACGTCCGCATCTTCGAGCGCGACGAGTTCTACGGCGGCACCTGGTGGGCGAACAGCTATCCCGGAGCTGCCTGTGACATCCCCTCGGCCCTCTACAGCCTCTCCTACGAGCCCAACGCCGACTGGAGCGTGCTGTGCCCGCCCCGCGATGAGCTGCTCCAGTACATCATCCGCGTCGTCAAGAAGTACAGGCTCGAGGACCGCATCAGCCTGAACTCGCGCGTGGACCGCTGCGAGTGGCGTGAGGAGTCGCGCAGGTGGCGCATCACCGTGCACAACCTCAAGACGGGCGAGACGTCGCTCCACGAGTGCCAGTTCCTCTTCACCTGCGCCGGCGGCCTCGTGACGCCTCAGGAGCTGGACATCCCCGGCGCCGAGTCCTTCAAGGGCCCCGTCTTCCACACGGCGCGCTGGCGCAAGGACGTGGATCTCACCGACAAGAAGGTCATTGTCATCGGCAACGGCGCCACGGGCAACCAGCTGGTCCCGGCCATTCTCCCCAAGACGAAGCATCTGACCCATCTGGTCCGCTCCCAGCACTGGATCCTGCGACCTCTCCAGTCTGGCCTGGACCCAATCTTGCGTCTCTCTCTCAAGTACATCCCGGGTGTCATGATCCTCCAGCGCCTGCTGGTCTTTTCCATAGCCGAGGAGGGTTTCCGCGGATTCTGCATGACCCGTGATGGACAGCGCGCCCGCAATCACCAGCGCAAGGAGGCCATCACCTACCTCAAAGAGACGGCGCCGGAAAAGTATCACGATGTCTTGGTGCCAAACTACGAGCCCAACTGTAAGAGACGGGTGTTTGACGCTGGATACCTCAAGTGCTTGAACGAGGACAACATCACATTAACGACCGAGAAGCCCATTGAGGTGGTTCCCGAGGGTATTCGCACCGAGAAGGGTCTGATAGAAGCTGATGTCATCGTACTTGCGAATGGATTCAAGACAGGCGACCCGTTCAGCAACATCGAGATTGTCGGCAGCCATGGGAAGACGATCCAGGAGCACTGGGCCAGCATGGGGGGGCCGGGCGCGTACAACTGCACGTCCATCAATGGATTCCCCAACTTTTTCATGATTCTAGGTGAGCCGCCACTCTGATTCTTCATGCACTGACCTTTTCGGAGCTTGTTTTGCTGACCATGTGTGTCATCCAGGACCAAACACACTTACCGGCCACAGCTCGGCACTGTTGGCGTCTGAGAACGCCATCAATTACTCCCTGCGCCTCATCAAGCCCATCTTAGACGGGGAGGCTACGACGGTAGATGTGCGCAGGGAGGCCGAGGCGCGATACAACCGCAAGATCCAGGCCGCATTGCAGGATACCGTGTGGCTGTCCGGCGGGTGCTCCAACTGGTACACCGGCATATTCGACGGAAAGAAGTACAACGCCGTCAGTTATCCTTGGTGGCAACCGCATTACTGGTACAGCTGCCTGTTCCCCAGATGGAGCGACTTTGAATACACTGTAAGTCAAACCCTCATACAAGCCATACGAGCAGGGCTAACATGGACGTTCTTGGCAGGGAATTGGGAAACCGAGACGCCGGCACTCGGCATCGAGGGGCGCCAAGATCATTGCGGCGGCTTTGGTTATCGCCGGTTTGGCATATCAGGTGAAACAGGGAAAGACCCCGACGAGTCTGCGAGAGCTGGTTGCCTTGTGCTGGGCAAATCTCTTGGTTTCGCGTGACGTGATTCTGGCTCACGTCCCCGCGCTCAAGGGGTGATCTGTAGACGGGAGACGTTTCTGTCCGGGGTTGTAACCTTCCTTTTTTCTCTACTATCTGTAGAACATGAGCAATATTGTGACCTAGCTATCAGCCAGAAGTCGAGTTGATTTCTAATTACCCCTCTGTGCCATGCTACCGTTCCCAACAAGAGGCAACATCACGGTGCCGTTCTTCCATTGCAGCGAGATGTCACACGACCAGTCAGATGCACGTTGGGTAGCTTCGCGATGATCTAGACCCTGCCGGCAGCCGCCAGCTTATAAGAGGTCGCATGAAGACGGCCCGCAGACTCTCAAGGCCGCCCAAATACGGTGGGAGCACCGTTCGAATTGACGTGTTCGATTGGCTGCCGGTGGTCAGTGCTGTCGAACCATCATGCGCGTGGCGTCATGAGAGCATGAGATTTATCACCACACATCGAATATTTGTGGATTGATCCGACGGCCACGAACAGGCCAGACAAGGCACAAGAGGGAGATCAGCATTCGCCCCCCTCACGCTCCCTCTCGCTAGGCCACGACGGGACGGCCGGCTGAATCGCCATGAGATCATTTGATTTGATCCTTGGGGGCTAGCCTGTATCGACGTTTACAATGTCCGGGGTCGTCCAATGATGCAAACTCTAATGTCACCCCCCTCTTTGCCTCGCTTCTCTCTCAGCTATATCACGGTGACGACAGTAATATAGCCTCCATTCCTCACCCAGTCTTCCCTGTCCCTAAGAAAATTCAATCCGCGTAGCACACCAAGTCTTCCGCCAAGCTCTATCCTATCCATATCTCAAGATGCCTCTGATACGCCTGGGGACTGCCTCACCAAGCACGCAGTCCACCACGGCCGAGACCCTCCGCCTCCTCTCCTCCATCGCCCGCCGCGCCTCCGCCCAGAGGATCGACATCCTCCTCCTCCCCGAGGCCTTCATCGGCGGCTACCCCCACGACCGCGTGAACAAGACCCGCGAGGCCTTCGCGGAGTACTTCGACCAGGCCGTCGACCTCGGGGACACCGCCGGGGGCGCCGGCGCCGGCGACGCCTGGGCCCACAGAGAGCTGGGCCACCCGGGCGAGAAGAGAGGCGACGGCACGCGCGAGGAGCTCGAGGAGATTGCGCGCAGCTCGGGCGTCTTCCTCGTCACCGGCGTGATCGAGAAGGTCGGCGGGTGCCTGTACGGGTCCGTCGTCTACGTGTGTCCGAGGCTGGGCATCATTGGCAAGCGCCGCAAGGTCAACCCCGTACGTTTTCTCCCAGATGTGACATCCAGTGTTTCCCTCTTTGGCCGCCCTGAATTAACCATTCTGCTTGTAAAACAGACTGACATTGAGCGCTTGTTCTGGGCCCAGGGCGCCCCGAGCACCCTCCACGCCGTGTCGACCACCATACGAGGTGTGCGCGTCAACCTGGCCGCTGCTATCTGCTGGGAGTCGTACATGCCGATGGTGCGCCAGGCGCTGTACGCGCAGAACATCAACCTGTATCTTGCGCCCAACTCCGACGACGGGGAGAACTGGCTCAACTGCATGCAGACAATCGGGTTTGAGGGCCGTTGCTTCGTCGTCGGCAGTAACATGTGCCTCAGAGGGAGGGCAGGCGAGGCTGGTGGGCAATCGAACCGTCTCAACGGCATTGGTAGCGCTATGGAAAGGCACCGGGGCGGCCCGTCGCTGCCTACCGCGCCGCCGGTGAGGAGGAGGAGGAGAAAATCAGTCTTCGACGATGACGGGAACGAGATTGTGCTTTGCTGCCCGGCGGACGAGAGCCCGCCTGAGGCAGTGGATGGGGGCGTGCCTGGACCACAAGAGCAAGGCAAGGATGACACGGTTGGGTCGCTGCCCCCAGTCGCTGATAGAGCACAGCCAAGACGGAGAAACTCGGTCATTTACGAAGACGGGAACGAGATTGTCCTAAGCTGCCCTGCGGAGGATGAGACTCCAGGTTTGGTTCCCAATGGCGTGCCTGAGACTAACGAGGATGACAAGGTGGGAGACCTCCCGTCTGCTCCTCCTGCTAGGAGAACGAGAAGAAAATCCGTTTTTGATGATGATGGCAACGAAATTGTGCTTTGCTGTCCGGATGACGGCACTTCATCTGCGGAGCCAAACAACGCCGCAGCGACAGGAACAGAAACGTCGGAACCATACAAGGGACCATGGACAAGCCGTGGCGGCTCCTGTATCGTGAGCCCTTTCGGCAAGGTCCTTGCCGGCCCGCAGTGGGAGGATGACCAGGGCCTCATCTATGCAGACGTCGATTTCCGCGATTGTGTTCGCGGTCGGCTGGATCTAGATGTCGCTGGCACCTATGCATGCAACGATTCATTCAAGTTCTCTGTTGAGGGCTTGAATCTGAACCCGCTTCCTTATTGAGGGTCTTTTCACTTATGTTCTTGTCATCATATGTAGCAGGAAGTCTCGGTAAAGATTGATAATGAAAGTGCTCATACTAAATCTGCTCAGCTCTACTTTGCGATTGTGAGTAGGACCTGCCTTGCTCTTTATTCGTACCATCACATCACCTTTCTACACTCAAAACAATCGCTGTAAGCCTATGTTAAGAGGGAGCTTTTGCAATGACGAGTCACCAAAATAGCAGGTTGTTAATATGATGAGCTTAGCAAAGAGTCATGTAATCGATGTCATTGTCTATAATCCATTAACCGTAACAATCCGAGGCCCAAATACGTTGACCCAGATCCTTCAATCCATCTCCCCAATATCCCCGTTCTTATTGCCTTCGTTGGGATCGTTTTAGATTGGGCCACGAGGAGTCAACATGCAAACTCCTGGTGTTCCTCTGCAACGCCCAATACAACAAGGCTTCCGGAAACAACTCTCTACGTAAATCGTTAGCTCTGTAACCTCGATGTTCCGGGCTAAACTTACGTCCCAAAAAGACGCAGGTATTTCCCTCCATGGCTTTGCTCTCCTCCGCTGGTGCAGCGGCGGAAGTGGCAAGCAAGCTGGCAAGAGCAACTACAAAGAGATTGAACTTCATGTTGAGGAAACTTTCAGTTAAATATCCGAGATCCGTTTGTAGTAAAATTGATTCAGGTGGTGGAAGATGAGGAGCCACCGTTTCGACATTAACCCGTGCGGGCAGGGCTTTCTTATATTCCAGTAAGGGAGAGATCAAATCTAGGTCGGTGAAGAACACACGGTCAATCATGAGATACTGAGACTCCGTTAAATCCAATCAGATGTAAGAGGTGAGTCCTTTGTTCGTATGACATCCGATGCATGACCCATGTCTCAGAGCGATCTCACAAAAACGGTGTAGAACTTTCTACTCCTGAGATCATCTCAGCTTTTCACTCTCATCATTGGCTACAGCCCGCCGAACTGTCTGCGTTTTTTACGATCCTCCAATGGACCTGGCATGCTGAGACTCAATATGGCCTTACTCTCCTTCGGCGGCTTATCATTGTCTCTCCGACACTCCTTGCATATATGGCGAACAGTGAAGATTTTGCAAACCGAAACAACACTTCGCTCTCCTTTCCAATTCCCTATGTCCGGTGCTTCATCTATAATCTATTACTTTCCATTATTGGCTCTTTCAGTATATCTATCTGGGATGCAATCTACGGAAGAGAAGGAAGAAACCTGAAAGAGAAAAAAAAGGTCCATTGATATCCCACGTGGTCCAGCTAGACACCTCGAACGCCGTCCTTGTCATGCCCTTTCCTTCATCAAGACAAACCATATTTTAGTCCCAAAAAGAATATATACATAGATTGATATGCTGGGTGACTTATATGCCGTTGAGCTCGGCCGGCGAGGGTGGGAACGCTGGAGATGCTATTTTAGGCCGTGCGCTTGGAATCCACGACCAAGTCCAGGAGTTCGGCAGTGAGAACCTCCTCGATGATGGGGCTCTCAGAGTGACTCCATCGAGCTCAAGTCTAGAGTCTCCATGTTTCCCTGATAACATGGCCATGGATGGGGTACTCATAGTGGAGCTGTTGAGTTCATATCCAGACGTATTATATTCCCCGTGACTATCGGAGTACTCGGTCAACCTCGAGTGATTATGAGACTTATTCCTCCGACTCAAGAGAAACCAAATTGCAGCAGCAGCCAGTACTAAGAAGATAAACCCTCCCACAGCTCCTCCAACTATTGCTGGGATGTTGGGGCCGCCTGAGCCAGCTGTCTCTTCCGTGGTATTGTTAGAGTAAGGGTTAGAAGAGAGATCACCTGCATCTTGTCAGCCAAGTGCAGAACTAACAGAATTCAAATGGGCCAACAAACCAGTAGAGAACAGTGCCTTCAACTCGTCACTACCCCATTGTGCCTCTCCTCTACAGGCTATGTCAGCATTTCCGAAACTGCTGGAATCATTCCAGATGGGAGGTGGTGGATGTATTACCCTTGCTGATACCAGGTTTTGAAAGCTTGGGGAGTGTCATAGTCTCCTGCGGAGGCGTTGTAGCTGCTCCTCCAACTCAGATCAACCATGTCGTAGACTCCAAGTGTCTCTTTCCAAGGATCGTCCTTCCATGTGTTTGACTTCCAGCCTGATATACCACCCATAGATATCATCTGGCTTCTCCCGGCCACCGCGCACTGGTGGCTCCATCGGGGTGCACCTTTGTTTGAGTTGGTGACCGAAGTCCATACAAAGCCCGGGAGAGAAAGGACCCAGACATCGCCATATGCAGAATAATCATCGCTTCTTGGGCGGCCTCCGTATACAAAACTTATTTTTTATGCTGTCAGCCATATCCTAAATAAATCCGGAAGATGAGGTTTCATAATGTAAAAACTGACATATCGTATGTGTTGTTCTTCCCCCGTGCACCTACACTGCAAAAATGATACCTTGGTTGGGGAACGCTACCCAACATCGCCGTCGTATTCTGCTTATGCCACTTGTCCGTACTAGGGTCAAACAGAGCAACGCTGTTGAAGTCCACTTCGGTCCAGTCTTTGTCGTTGGTGGTCGTGGCCCCGCCGAGGAACATGACAAGCGGCTTCTTGGAGAAGTCCTCCAAACACACTGCCTGGCCCCATTTCGCCTTTCCCAGCTCCGGGAATCCTGCTTTGCTTGAGATGTTTCCCTCCCATTTGTGGTCCGATAACTCGTACTTCAGTAGGCCTGACGGGATGGCGTATGACTTTGACTTCCCCGCGTTGTCCGGATCGTAGTTGCTTTTGGATGTGACCGAACCGCCGAGATAGTACCCTTTCCCTCCGCAGACCGCTCCCGCGCCGTTGAAGTTTCGGTCCAGTCCGTCCTGGAATTCGTTTCCGTCCGCGGGTTTCTGTATCGACCATTCTCCTCCGCCCTTGTTGTCGGCTTTGAACATCCACATGGGCGTTTGGTCCCCCTCTTCAACGGACTTGTTTCCTCTAAGAGTTACACGCTCGCCACCCCACCTGTGCATCGTGCCGGACTTCTCGTCGGGCCATAGTGAAAACCAGCTGCTTTTGGGCATGTCATTCGGGTACTTTGACTCCTTGAAACTCACTGTCGAATTGGTCCAGTCTTTGTTCAGTGGAATCGACAGTGTTCCATTCACTGGGGAGGGTCAATTCCTAATTGGACCAACAGATAAGAAGAAACAGGGTGGGAAGGGTCACGACGTACAAGCTTCTGAGTGGTCTCCAGAGGAGGGGCACTTGTTGTTTTTACATTTGCTCACTCTTCCGCCATCCCAGTAGAGGTAATTGCCAAGTATGGCCACTGTTGTATGCGAATGTTAGCTGAATGGGTGTGCCACGATAATGCTGTAGACTGGGTAGGCTATAGCTGGAAATAATATACGCACTGCGACCGCCTTCTCGCCGTTTATACATCGCGGCAGATGCTCGAAAGTCCTACCAGTACCACCCCTCACGCGCGTGGCAAAGTCCACCCCGAACATCAGGTTTGGTAAAGACGGGTGAGGGACTCCAGTCTGGGCGTCGAGGGGGAAAACGAAGAATGGAGAGAATGGATGGGTGAGGACTGGGAGGATTCAAGCCCGTGTCAAAATGAAGGAGAACATGCTAGCAACCACCCACTGCGGCTTGGGTATGGGGAAATAAATTAATTAATCGGGCAACCCCCTGCAAGCCAACTATCGGACCGGCATATGCCATCGAGGCTGATGCTGACATTCTAAAAGAAGCACACGAAGAAGCCCTACCGAGGGGCCAAGCCGATCCTTCCATTCCCCATACGACCTTCTGCTGTCCCTGGCAAATGGCAGCCCGAGCCTGGCTGTCCATTCTTCTTAGGAAGCTATGGGTAGACGTGATTGGGGGCTGCGTAGAGAATAGAACTTTTGATACGGTCTCTGATTGCAGAGTAAGCGACTATCCAACACGACCTGCTTTGCCCTCTTGGCTTGCACCCTGTCGGTTCGTTCGTATTTGACCCATCTTGTGGTGGCATTCAGGTCAACAGCCTGACCCAGTGGATTTAACTCTATCACGAAAGTGTGACCTACCAGTGAGCTTAATCTCTTGTTGAGCTTGAAGGAGTGGCACTTCAGAAGACAAATGGTGCAGATGGCTTCAGCGGGCTTCTCCACCGTGAGCACGCCGCAAAGTCCCTGGAGCTCCTACGCCCGCTGAAGAAACCGCTGGAGTACAGCGCATTTGCTCCAAATTGCACTGCCCCTCTCCACAGGCTTCAATCGTTCACCTCTCAAACTTGGAAGGACACAACCTTGAAGACAATCACATCCAAGTTGCAATACGGCAGCCTAGCGCAATTCATTGGTATTACTACAGAATATAACTAATCCATGTCCCCAGCCGTCCTTGTCAGCCAGGAAATACGAGCGGATTCTAGATATCGCCCCTCTGCTCTCCTCAGCCGCTGCGGGCCACTCATCATCCACAACGCGCCCTGGACGTAAGCTGAAGGTTGGCACTTTGGAATATGGTCTGACAAGCCACGGGCCGAATCTCTGCCACTGCCGTGACGTGAGAATGTGGGCTGTTGGTTGCCGAGGATCGCGGTGGCCGGTGGGCGCTTGGCTTGATGTCTCGCCTGCCGTGAAGGTGGTATCAAATCCCCCCATGTGGCGGGTAGTTCCTCGGCGAGAAAGCCCTCGATATCGATGAACATCACCTCGACGTGATCACCTCTTTGGGATCCCTCGAGATCCCGCACCGTCGCTTGTTAGCCGACTGAGTAGGTGCTGGTATTTGCATACCCAAGCGCCCTCGTTTTGCATGTTCAATATTATACTACGGGTTCGTAGCAAACAAGATGCTTTGTTTCAGGCATCCAGAGGAAGCACTCTAGCACACGGGCACCAGGAAAACCAAGCCGGCTTCTGTTCCGTTGAACACTCTTTCCCACGGGACAATGTGGTTCAAACGGAAGTTCTTCACTGTGAGTATATATCTCTCTCCCCTTTGTTTCACGACGCTTCGTCCCGGGGCGGCGATCGCTGGCATGGACGCCATCCCTTCTCTGCCTTCTGCTCCGACTCAGCGTCCTTCCTCTGCCTCTCCATGGCTGCCCGAGCAAGAATCTCTCTTCGACTCAGTCCCGCCGATGTGCCGCCACTCTGCACTCCACCGAGAACAAACTCTCCTCCCTGCCAACCCCCGTCATCCTCGTGGCCCTCCTCTTCTTCACCTCCGTTGACATCCGCCCGACCTGAGATGTGATACCGGGAGGTCTCCGCGATAGTGTGGCCACCGGACTTCCAATCCGCCGCGTCAACCTCGCGCTCAATCAGATGACACAGATCCCAGAACTGGCGGTCGTGATCGCCGTGCACGTTGTGCGCGAGCTCGTGGCACAGCGTCTTCCTGATCGTCTTGTAGTCGCGGTACCCGTCGTGGGCGTCAGTACGAAGGCGTAGCTCAATGACCTCGCCATGGTTGCGGTTCAGGCCCAGGATTCTCGAGGTTCCCTCGTGCGTCTCCTGCGTATACGAAAGGGGTTCCATCTCCGTGAGCAGCGACACGGTGAATTTGTGCTTCTTCATCGTGGCGACGATGCCCGGGTCGGCCTTGAGACGCATGAGAAGCGCCTGGCTGCGTCCCGGGTTGGGGAGGCCGTCGAGAGGGCGGACCTGGAGGAACGTATACGGGGAGGAGTCTGCGCGCTTAGTCTTTGACCGTGATGCCTTGAGCTTGCGGCCCTGGGCTTGGCGGGCGGCGTTTCGTCTGGATACGCGATCCGCCATGTCCTGCATGGCCTGGACGGTGGACGCCCCCGAGCCCATGAGCATCAGAGACTTGCCCTGGAGTGTCTGCACCAGCTGGGTGGGGTCCTTTGCTGGGGATGTGAGGAGCGGCGCCTTGGGAATGATGATCTTTTGGTTGGCGACAGGGATGTCGAGGGTGGCCTCGATCTCCTCGAAGAGGTCTGTGACGGTGGCATCCTCGTGGAAATGGAAGTCGTATTTATTCTTGCGGAAGCTCAGTGTTACTGTGACCATGGGTGAGTTTGATCCAGTGCTGGATACGTCGTCTGCATATTCATCTGCCATGATGGGTAGATGCCGATGTGATCAAGCTGGATGGATATCAATGCCTGAAAGAATTAGGTGAATGGAGTGGTATGTTGCGTTTGGTTTGCTGGGTTCGAATAAGAATATTACGGGATCCGCTTGCTGAAGCTAAAGACTATATATATAGACGCAAAAATGGGGATGGATATCTTGTGCAAGTAGAAGCTGTTTGGTGAGTTGATGGTTACGAATGCTTAGATAGCCGATCGCTAAGGTAGCCTCGTCGCAGCGCCTTGGGCGGCATCACGGTATTAATAATGGCCCCTGGATCCATGACGACGGCCTGGAGTTCGGGGGGCTTCGCTGTTTGCTTGGTAATCGAGCGCCAACATAATACTCGTAATTACCGTCCACGGGAACACCAGATCTTTGTAGTGGCGTTCCTGCGCCACACTTCGCTGGTTTTCTCTGCATTAAGTCCGCAAAGCGCGGCTTGGCTACCCTACATCTGAATGCCTGCTGACACATCGAGAGCAACGCGACAGAATGCAACAGACGTCATGTCACGTGCACGCCAAGGGGCGACAGGCCCGTGCTCGCGCTGCCCTGCTCCCGGTCCCCCTGGTCGTAATGGAATTGCGCGCCGGAAGCATCAGTGAAGCTACGTATCACTAGCGGCAGCCATCCAATGAGCTCCCTGCGTAGCGCGTCGTGTCCTCTTTGCCTTGGCAGATCTTGAATTCTTCAATGCTCCCTTGTCCAAATTGTTGTCCAGCGCCTACAACATCCTGACGACTCTCAAGCACACCCGTCAAGCTCAGCGAAGCAGCTCGACCGTTCATTCATTTATTCCACCACTGTTCCGCCCGCGCCTTGCGCTGCCATCCCCTGGTCTAGCAAATCTCCAAGCTCGATTTCAAACTCCATCCAACAGCTTCGAGTCGATATCATGCCCAACGCATTCCGAATCGCAGGTACGCTCCGGGCGCCCAATCGCCGACATGGAAAGCTGGCTCTAACCTCTACGCAGCGGATTTCTCCCATCTGGGGAGTATCCTGATTCTGCTGCACAAGATGGTGCAGCTGAACGTAAGCACCCTGTGAATCGGCAGGCGCCGCGACCATCGCTAATAGGAGAACAGAGCTGCTCAGGCATTTCGTTCAAGTCGCAGGCTCTTTACTTCTTCGTCTACGTCACTAGATACTTGGGTATGTCCCAGGAAATCAAGACCCATCGTCCAAGCAATCGCTAATCCCCCGACAGACATTTTCACCACCACCAGTATCTACAACCTCCTCTTCAAGATCCTCTTCCTCGGCTCCCAAGGATACATCCTCTACCTCATGACGAACGCCTACAAGCCTACCATCGACCCCAACTCCGATACCTTCCGTGTCCAGTATCTCCTCGCAGGCGCCGCTGTTCTTGCCATCATCTTCCCCTACAAATACAGCTTCTCCGAGATCTCTTGGGCCTTCTCCATTTGGCTCGAGTCCGTCGCCATTCTCCCCCAGCTGTTCATGCTCCAGCGCACCGGCGAGGCCGAGACAATCACCACACACTACCTGTTCGCCTTGGGAAGCTACCGAGCTCTGTACATCCCCAACTGGATCTACCGCTACTTCTCCGAGCCCGACCACCACCCCGACTGGATCGCCATCCTTGCCGGCATCGTCCAGACCGTCCTCTACAGCGACTTCTTCTACATTTACTACACCAAGGTCATGAAGGGCAAGAAGTTCAAGCTGCCGGTCTGAGCGTGCTTGACCACTTGGTTGGTTTCTAACCACAGACCCACGCTCGTCTTCTTGAGTCGCATAATTAGAGAGACTCGAAGATCGATGCGATTTACCCGTTGCCCCGGACCTGCCCGACACCAATCGTTTGGGACAGGTGGCAGGGACACGGCAGCGATTGTCAACCCAATATGGTCAGCCATTTACGGGTTGTGTTGTGCATACTAAGGCGTTGGCGCAGGTTGAGGGTGTACATCGCAGCACAAACAAAGGATCATGCGATATTTTGTAACTTCTTATTGGGACCTCGGTTAATCAGATAGGTATTTTCGTGAGACGGATACTGTAGTAAAAAAGACAAAATTTGTCCAAATATTCCAGTTGGCGATGCTTGGGCGACTGTGGTTGTACCTCGTACAGATCTACCTTCTCAGGTATACCAGTAATGCTATTGGAACGATAATGACTTGGCTTATTATTTACGTGCGCTCACACCGAGCAGCTCTGCATACCATTCCCTATGAAAAAAACCAAAAGTACAAGTGCAGGCAATTGAATAAAGCCTTTTTATTATTCCGCGATCAACATATAATCGTCGCAAGAGAAGATCATCAGCGACCCTTGGAGAGAGTGGCGGGCTCACGTGACCTAGATCGCGCTGCCATGACGCACGCTCAAGCATCACTTCGTTAACTTCCCTTATCACACCTACCAAGAAAACATCGGATTAGGCATCGCAAAAATGGCCAGCGAAGCACCCGACATCACCGAGAAGACGGCGGAGCCCGTGGCCAGCGGATCTGCGCCCCCAAACTCCCAGCCTGCGCCTGACACAGAGGAAGTCAACCCCGTCGCCATTGCACCCGAACGTATGCCAACACGCAAAGACGTCCCTCTGCGCGAGCTTCTCAACAAGATCGACGATTATGCGCCAATTGTGAGTACCAAACGCGTCTCTATATGCAGCGCTCTGCGGCATGCAGATACAATGAGATACTAACCCTCCCTCCCCCAGATCCCCGACGCCGTCACCCACTACTACATGACAAAGGCCGGTCTCCCACCGCCGCCCCAGACCGACCCTCGCCTCGCGCGCCTCCTCGCCCTCGCGACCCAGAAGTTCATCGCCGACGTCGCGGCGGACGCATACCAGTACTCGCGGATCCGCGCGAGCAACACCAACGCCAACAACCCCATGGGCTCGCTCGGCGCGGCCGCCGGCTTCCCCATCCCAGGACAGCAGGGAGGTGTTGGGCAGGTGGCGACCGGCGGCGCCAAGGACCAAGGGAAGGGCGCGACTGGACCCGGCGGTGCGCCGCTGGGCATCCAGAGGCCTGGGTACGGCGGCGGCGGTCAGGGCGGGAGCCAGAACCGCACGGTCCTGACCATGGAGGATCTGGGCATGGCGGTTGGGGAGTATGGCGTCAATGTCAAGCGGAGCGAGTTCTACCGCTAGAGTTGGGGAGAGGGGGGGGATGGATTACTTTGGTCATATTTTCAAGGCGTTCTTTGTTCAGCATTCATCAATCTGGAGTTTGGGATTGGATCACGCTTTGGAGTGGAATTGTTCCTCTTTTAAAACCATAGGGTATTACTCTGGCATTAGAGATCATCAGACCTGGGATGAAAGAAACGACGAAAAATCAATTTTGTGCCAACGTCTCAAGACTATTCTATCTGCAAGGCAGTCGTGGTCCCTTATTGATACATGTATGTTCGTACAGTGCTTCCGGCCCGTGATGTCGGGCCTTCTCTCGATTTAGCCTCTCTTTCGCCTGTCCCAAACGATACCTCTCCGGGTCCTAACGAGCAATCTTGTCAGCAAAGGGTTCCCCCTCCAAGCCTTCGCGCGGGTAAAGCGGCGGTTGCAGTAGGGACAGGAACGTACGGTGCGAATTCTCCTAGCTTGTGTCCGACCATGTCCTCGGTGATGAGCACGCGGTTGTATTCCTTGCCATTGTGCACCTCGAACCGGAGACCGACGAAATTAGGCAGAATCGTCGCGGAGCGGGCCTGGGTGCGCACGGGGGGCACTTTGTCGTCTACGGATTTCGGCCATACGATTGGGAGGCTGTTGCTGGGAGTCAGGAACCGTTTCTTGGAGGGTAAAACTTGGACGGAAATCTTCGCTTACGGCACGAGATGGGGCCCTGGGTGGTTCAGAGTCAGCATTGCCGTCTAGAGAGAGACGTGGGGGTGAATTGGAACATACCCTTCCATACAGAGCGTTTTAACAATGCCCGTGTTGCCTGCATTGTTGCTGGGGCAGACCGCTTATGGATTTCGTCGTGAATTGGAGTTGGCAGTTCGTGATGCTCAAATGCTGGTATGTCTCGGATAATCTATTTGTCCGCCCCGCTTTCCAGTGGGCAGCATAGAAGTGACACACCAAGTTTTGTATGATTCCAGCACGAACTCAAAGAAAACTTAATAAATAAAACACATAGCCAATATAGAAATATGGAAATTTTGTAGCTACTCACCATTGTGATTTTTCTGGTTAGGTATTTACATACTACCGCGACGAAGGAAACAGCTACTCGTAGCTTTCCAGGTCCTCTCCGCCGCTACCCTATATCGGACCTCGTCCAGCACATCTTTCTATTCCGTGGCCTTTGTAACTTGGTGAGCTGTAAATATATACGAGATAGATATTTATTACTTTATTCCTGTGTAAATTATCCTAGACATAGTTATAGAAGATAGCTTAAACAAAGCTTAAATCTAGACTCTACGTGTTTCTTATTGCTGACTTCGATGATGCTTCATAAGCTTTTCGATCACCCGTGTTTTGTTGTCCACTCTCCAAAGGACTATCATAAGAAAAGACAGGTAGCAATTTAATGAAATTTAAATTATGCTTTTTATGACACTCCCTTTCTTCTGAAGACATTGATTAATTTTTGGACAAAACTATTTTAGATTCGGCAACCAATTTTGGGCCTCGAAGGCTGGACTAGGGTTTGAGGCCGGTTTGATCCTGGCAAGGCTTTGGAGATCGTCTTTATGTCGAAGAAACGGTACGCTCGCCTAGTTTTTTTGAGTAGTTGTAGGCAGCAGTCTAATAGCTTAATAATCACCTAAATTTGAATGTTAGTCTTGCTGTTGTCTTCTAAGGGGGTCGGACTTTCACCGCTATAACGAAACACTAGGACACAAGGGTTGAGGGGGAGAAGGGGGTTCAGATAATACGCATATTGTTCTTCCATTACTGGTTTCCGCAGCTTGCCGGATGTAAAGGTTTGTTTTTTCTGGAGGCATTATCAAGAAATGCCTTTCCATCCCTATAATTAGAAAGCATGCATCGCTTTTTATCCCCTTGATTGACGTATGCATATCTAAATGGAGCACGGTTCAACTCCAATGCTAAAGCCAACACTCCTCGAAGGCCGTAGGAGTTAATGCAACCCCCGAAGCTCTTTGGACCTGGGTGCGCCCATTTCGATGACTGGGGTGTGCTGCCAGAAACCAGGCTGAGTCAAAAACCAAGGATTTGTTTCATCAGGAGAATTACATGAAATTGCAATCAAGAGAGACCTTTGGACAACGAGCCAGAGAGCTTTCATGCAAAAACGTGGTTGAAGACCGAAAGACGTTGAGTGGCTTTTCGTCGGCGCATGTGACCAAAACGTGCCATGAGAACATGAGTCGTAGGTATTAATGAGTTCAGCTAAGTTAGCAATATGTCCGTTTCGTGGGATTGGAGACGACTGGAGGCTGGCTGCATTTACTTGCCATCACGGGAAGTACATAGCACGAAGGAGTTGTGTTGGTTCTAGCAGATGTGCTGATCAGAGCCACCTCCGTTATTGTGTGGGACAAGGCTCTGGAGTCAGCCTGAATTTTGATCCGCCAATAAGCAAGATAACATGAACTTAAATCTTCATATCTGGGGGTTGAACGTAAACTGGACCTGACCAGACCGTGCTGTTGGCGGCGTCTGAAACCGGCCAAACTCCCAGTACATCCGACGTGAAAACACACCACTGGCGTCGTGTGTGAGAAAGCTATATGTAGTGAGTGAGTCAACCTGAACAATGTGGCGGGTTTTGGAATTGGTAGATTACAAGCGGAGCACAGAGCCACAATATCATATTCCTCCCAGCTCGTCATGTAATTGGAATAGGCAATGAGGCAGCCCCGTCGCGCATCTGCCCTCTGGTCCCAAGTACGATTCTTGCTGGATCCCGTCATTGCGGATCGGGGCCACGGTAAAGGCCCTTGCCTTGACAAGCCACGACGGACGGAGTGTGGGAGGCCAAGTGCCGGCCGGGTCTTCGCCCCATTGTCCAATGGGCGGACCAACAAGTTACAACGCCACCCCCAGCACAGCCCTCTTGTCCTAGTTAATTTACTGGGTCTGGAAGATGTGTGTATCTTTGCCTACCGCGCTTGGTAGGTTCATATTAATGATATTGAAGAAAAATGTCTGCTCTATAGTTCTCGGAAAACCCTGGTTGGGTCTTCTGTGATAATTGCTCTGGCATCTAGTTGAGGAAACCATTTCTTTTCTGTGAATGATGTAATTAGCGTGTTCCTGGCCGGCATTTCTAAAATCCCTGATCGGGATGTATATTTAGATGCGACCAAACGTGCCACGGGGCCCCCACATCCCACGTCTTGTTCCCTCTTCTGGACCAACAGTGGCTGAACCGAACCAGCCCGCGAGAGGCGGCGCTTGTGGCCGGCCTTGACTATTTTTGACCACAGTCTTTAGATTGGCGATGAGATCTAGCCAGTGTCAAATAAGATGTTACTGCTTTTGGTGGAAACATGACACTGTTGGAGATTGCCATGCAACCAACGTGGGATCTGCGAGGCTGATTGCTTGCAATCGTGTATCCCAACATGCCATCTGGCCTCCGTTCTGCCTCGACAATCCCATATCAGAGATTCAAGAATAGCATCAACATCAGAGAACTACAAACTTCATAGTGATTAGGTCGTGAAAATGGGTATAAAGAGAACGTCTTCCTTGCCCCAGAATGACAGTCTTTGTTCATCATCAACCATCTAACAAACAACAAAAACAATTCACACCTAGAGCTGGCCTCTATTCACTCCTCTCTCAAATATTCCTAAACATTTGCTTTTGCCGGACATAAACACTTTTCTCTCATTATCATCTCTTTTGCGGATTTTCTTTTTACTTTCCACTTTCTACCCACTCTACATATTCAAAATGGTCTGCCTTAAGCAACTCTCTCTTACCGCCGTCGTGGCCCTCAGCCTTTCTGAGACAGGGCTTGCAGCGCCTGTTTATGCCCCCATCCACGAGCGTGCCCTCGAGGATCGAGCGATCAAGAACGTCATGGCTGGTGTCCGCAAGCATGGCGGCAATGCTGTAGACGACACCCTGGCGGGACTGAAAATGATCGCGCAACTCAAGAGTGCCTTGGCACCCCAGCCTCAGCAGCGCGGTCTCTATGATCTTGACGAGCGTAGCCTCGAGTACCTTGAAGACCGCGCCCTTAAGAGCCAGGCATTCAAGAAAGCTATATCCGCTCTCGGCAAGCATGGCCCGGCGGCTCTGGGTCGCGTCATTGAGGGAGCGACTGTGGCCGCGGAAGTCAAGAATGCCTTTTTCTCTCAGCCACAACAGCCGCAGAGAAGAAGCCTCGAGTACCTTGAAGACCGCGCCCTCAAGAGCCAGGCGTTCAAGAAAGTCATATCCAGTGTCGGCAAGCATGGCCCGGCGGCTCTGGATACCGTCTTTGCGGGAGTGACTGCCGCCGCGGAAGTCAAGAATGCCTTTTTCTCTCAGCCACAACAGCCGCAGCGAAGAAGCCTCGAGGAGCTTGAACAGCGCGCCTTTGAGGATTACATTAGAGAACTTTACTTTTAGACTTGGTTTTGACTAGCACTGTGTTGATTGAAGGTTGGGTGGCCTTGTATAGATAGGAGAGTTAGTTGAATGGAAATGATTGCGACTTTAATTACTGATTCGTCTCAACATGCCGATCGCTGTGCGAGCAAAGGTGCTCAAAGGAGCACCGTAGTGTTCGAGGAAGGATGCTGCTAAACGGGCTTTATTCAGCGTTGGAACAGCCTTGATAACTTTATCAGCCAGCTTTGCTGTCGCTTCATTTCATTTTACTTTTTCGTAGATCACCGTGGTACGGAAGTTGGTAAGAGCAACATGAAAGAAAGTAAGACATGAAATGGGAAGCAGAATAGCCTACGTAATAACCTTGAGATTGCGATTGCATCCCAAAGAGAATAGTAGATAGAGAACCTGGGTTACGGCGAAGACAACTAGAGCGACAAATGAATTCCATGATACCATTTTTGTTGTTGAATAGTCCCTCGAGAAGATGACGAGGGGCTCAGCTTGGGAACGAGGGAGCCTATTGGAAACACGGCACGCGTGAGTTGCAGGTAATTGATGAATGTGTTACACGCCAAGCCATTTTAACGCTGTTGCGCAGACAAAAGAAAATATTGTGACATAAAGCATTCGACCTCTTGTATGAGGAAAAAAGTATTCCGCGATGGTGTAATCACTCCACCGTTCCAGGGGTATTCAAAAACTCGGCGAGTGGCCACTGGCTGTTCTCCTTTTCTCGACTGTTGGCGAGGTCTGTCGTCTCAACCTCGTCAACTTCCAGCCAACACACTAATATCCTCGCTCTGTGTTCCTGACCCAACAGGGTCTGCTTATGGGGGTCTACTTTGGTTTGGGCTGCCAATAAGCCAATGAGAGCGGACTGGGAAGCAATGCGACCCCTTGACAGTCGCTTGGCATAGTTTATGCACCTCGTTCTACCGCCCAAGCGCCAGGGCGGTGTTTCAACACACATCAGGCTTCTCCACTTTGTTCGGTTTGCTGGCAGACCGAAGCGTCTAGATGCGAAGACCCCTTGTTTTTTTCTCGCATTCGATCGAGGCTTTGTCTCTGCTCAAGCTTGTCCTCTACGATGCCCCTACGGACATACACCCAAGAGAAGCCGGAATGGATGGGCTTATTGAGGCTAGCAAATGCCGCGGCTCTACCTACAACTCCTTCGTATGCTATGGGGAAGAAGGCAAGCAGTGCTACCCACAAGGCACGGCCACTGTACGCTACAGTTGCGGGAAGGGAAGTTCCAGATCACACTGCCCCGCGGCGCAGCCAAAAGGGGCGACGGCGTAAGAGCTCCCTCGTTTCTATATCAACCGGTAGATCTTATTGCTAAAACACTTGGACATGCAGTTGTTGCGCAAATGAGGGACAGATTGCCTGCCATACTGGTTCAGGCTCACTTTCAGAAGCATCATCTTTTAATTGCATATCGAAAGATCGGATATGCTGCGGCTCAGGCGACTGTTCGAACGATGAGTCTTGCTTGGAGGAGTGAGTCACCCCTGCCTCACATCTGAGAAGCTTAACTTACAATAGATGAAATGTTAGGAGCACCTGCTGCCGCAAAGAGAATGTATGTGGTGGTAAATGCATGTCAAGCGGGCAACAGTGCTGCGATGGGAATATTTGTGAAACGACGACAACGACGACAGCAGTAACATCAACAAAGACATCAGGGACGACATCGGGGACGACATCGGGGACGATATCTGCCCCTTCATCTACCACAAACACCTCGGAATCGGCCACAAGTACCCGGTCATCATCGGGCTCTACATCACACAGCACATCTGGACGATCAACTACGACCGGGGAAACTGCACCCACGTCTCTTCCCACGGACAGCATCTCGGACATCATCCGGACCGCCATCCCTACCTCGGCGCAGACCGAGCCCACCGCGCCCTGCTTTCTAACTGCCACCGGAGATTCGGTGTATACCACACCTGACTGGTATACAGCATTGCCTAGCGAGCTTCAGAGCTATTACTCTTCAGTCAATGCCGGCGCATCCCTTTCAAGCTACTGCACCGCGGCGCCTACTTCTCCAGGTGGTTCCCACGGCACGCCGGGCTCTTCTCTTTCCAAAGGCGGAAAAGTCGGCGTGGCGGTCGGTGCGGTCGCCATCGCCGTCGCTCTGGGCGTTCTCATATTCCTCGCAGCGAAGACGGGCCTGGTGGCCAGATGGTGTGCTTTGTGCGGCGTAGGCGCGGCCGCTGCTGAAGAGCGAAGCACGCCTGTGATCCCCACCACGAGCAGGCTGGGCTCAGGAATGCTCCGTCTGGGCGGTTCTGGCCGCTACCGGACTGGGGTGTCTGGAATCATATCCGGAGACAGTCGCAATTTGATGAGGGGCGGCGCAGGAGGAAGCGTGCCGCCCTCGCCGCCGGTGCACGATCCCCCGGCGGTGCCCACCGCCGTGACATACGTATCAAAAAGCGATGAGGATACGAAAGGTGTAGAATCGCATCACGCCAGCATCATGACGGTGTCGTCGTTAGAAAGCAGCTCAGGCCATGAGCTTGCGGTCATGCCGTCGCCTCCATCGGATACGAGGTCCGGTAAAGAACCGGCGTAACAAACATCCCAGAATGCAGTAGCTCTATAATGACATTGGAGTCAATGGTCGATGTGGCGATCTAATGGGTATTAATTCGTAATGAAGAAATTATGGGCACGATGATGAGGATGGGAAGAGTTATCTATCTTGAGTTATGTATAATGTCCTTGTGGAGTCACATATTATTCTTAATGTACGAAATAGGAGATGACGAGGCATCTTGAATTTAGAATAGATAATACCTAGAAGTGAGTTTCCTGGAATTGGACTAGAAATATGGCTGGCCACTTCTGGTACCTGGAAGTTCCAAAGCTCACAAGGCGTGATCTACAAAGTAACAGAAACCTTGGCTCAATACTGGTGAACTAGCAGACCGGAGCTATTGGTTGACTAATTTCGGTGCCTGTTGTTAACCTGAGCAGTAGCCAACCTTTGAAGGCTCACACCCATTGCTGCATCCATCATACAGGACGCAGGGGTGGTCGGCATCGGTGCAGACATTGATCAGCGTAGCAGTATCGCCGTAGTTGTAGTTGATGCCAACAACCTCGCCACCATCGTAGGCAGTTGTGCCTTCCACATAGACATTCCTCTGGCACTGGCTGCTACAGTTACCACAAGATCTGTATACCTTGCCGTAGTCTTCGGCGTAAAAGTTGATGATGTTGACGGTGCCGCAGCCATTGTGCTGGACGATCTTGTCTGAAGCATGATACGCGCCGCCGCCGATGATCCAACTCTCCTCGCCCTTCTTGTCACCTTTCTGAACGATTATTGTTAGCACCATTTCGGGTGATGTCAAATGTTGGAAAAAGCACTCACGATGGTGATAGCATCCTCGCAGACATCTTCAAACCAGACAAACCGGAGCGTGCAGGGCCCAAGGCAGTGAACGCCCTCCATTTGATTCTTTCCAATGATGACGTTTTGGAGTGTGGCTCCGGATTCCAGAAGAAACACGGCGTCGGAATCGCCTGTTTGAGTAGAAAACTAGCAGTTAAAAGAGCGAGCCAGTCATTAGGAGCAGAGGTATGATACGAACCTCCTTCGCCATCTTCGCAAGCACCGGAACCACGGTCATATTTCACCCACCCAGCGTCGAAAGTCTCACCAGCACCAATTGTAATGGGGGCTGAGATTGTTTTGCTCGAGGTTGGTGTGGGCAGTCCACCTTCCCATCCAAGGCAGGCCAAAACAGTTGGGACTATCCCGGCCAACGCAAACGTGAAACGTGCTGGGGAGTACATCTTGAACAATCAGTTTTCAAGGAACTTTGATCAGGGGTTGAGTGCTTGAAGTTATTTTCTCTTCGACACATGCCTACGTCTGAAACGAGGAAGCGGAAAATATTCATAAAAGTTTGCGTTCTGGACTTCCTCAGCTCTCGGAATCTTCTTCTCATCCCATGGGAGACTTTCGTGATGTGATTGATGGAAATAAGCGCAACTTTGTTAACCATCTAACCTTGCTATGTGCCACCGAAGGATAGCCTTGGGGATACAGCTCAACACATGCCACTAATCCTAAATTCGACACGGACCAAGTGATGACAACGAGATAGGTGGAAATAATAACCGTTCTATGATATCCCATTACCATCAGTATAGTGGACCAAGGATTAAAAGTGAATAAGATTCATTTATTGGAGCGCGTCACTCTGATGGGGAAGCAAACGCGAAACCTACCACCCACCCGCGGCTCTGCCATACGACATCATATGCACGGTGGCCTTGATCTTCTAGATTGCCGACATGACAAGACTGCCAAGACGGGTAGTTGTGCAGAGCACGTTGCGTAAGCTTTGAGGGATCTGCGGCCGCGTTTTGTGCAGGATGGCGTGATGCTCCTTCTATCTAGGACTTTATTCCAGGTTTGTTAGGAGCAAGCTCAGGGATATATCGCGGGGTTGATCCAATGGCTGCACCTGTTGGTCTCCAAGAAGGGAAAGTTCGCAACTCAACATCCGAATGACAGATCGGGGCTTAATGTCGACCCAAAAGGGATAGATTTCAACGATCACTCACGCTTGGAAGGATCGGTGCTGACAGTATTGGTGGGAATCCATAGCAAGGTCGCAGTTCACAACGTGACAATCTGAGTTTCGATGGATCGTTCCTCCCAGCCCTCACACACATCACTCCCAATGCAACAGTGAAGTATCAAGGCCCTGGTTGGCGGCCTCCGCTTAATGACACCTTGGCGCCAGGTACCACTTAGAAGCTCTTCCTCGATGAAGTCAAGCGCTATAATTAAGTCATAGATATCGAAGAGTTAGAGGGCACTATATGTCGGCTGAGTGACTAGCTGGAAAAGAATGCATCGCGCAATAATGCGCCAAGGGCGCTCAAAAATAAGCATATCCAAGTGTTTTTTTTTTAAACTTTATAATGATGGTACCAAGTTATGTATACGACGACCAGAATCAAAGTAGAATCCCATTTAGAACATGAAAAAGCCGAAAGTCCTCATACCGTCTCCCCTTTTTCTTTCTCTTTTCCCCCATCCCCATGCTAGCAAGAAAGACCGAGCTAATAATGAGGAAAAAAGCACAATTAACTGGTCCATCTTCTGGTCGGATTAATGCCAGTTATGACCGAGTGGAATGCCCTGTCGGGTGATTTATCCCCGGGCCTGCTGTACATATGATTATGAAAAGCAGCGATTGAGCGGATAAATTTATCTCTTTCCCAATCGTACGGTAGTCTCTGGATAGATGTGAGCTAACTTCGAGAATGAGAGTCGGTGGGTGCTATCAATGGATTCAGTTCAAATGTAGAATAGTCTTGGAAACACATTGACCTTGATCCAAGACTTATCCTCGGTAAGTTCTATATCGTAGTGGATATCAGGAATATCGCGGTAAATGGGTCAGAAAGCAAAATCTTGCGTTCTTTGACCGGTAACGATCTTGAGATCAATACATATTTGGTCCTAGATGTAACCGCGCGTGATTACATTTTCTTCCTGATCTGGCGACGAGTACCTCCAACGTTCCGTGTTTCCTTAGTTGTCCGGTGGCATCAAGCAACTAGGAAGTCCCGTTTTTAGATAGATGTCTTCAGGTCGAGTCCATGATGCTCTGGCCGTTAAGATAGATTGCGGAGTAGGCTGCTTTTGATATCCATGTTTCACGCATGGGCAGTGGTAAAAAAGGGTATCCAATAGCTCCACAAGGGCAGAATACCGGAGAATCTTGAGAATTGTAGAGTCTTTCCGCTCTAGGCATCCTCGGTATACCTTCCAGTACTGGGGCAATGTCATAAGACTCGTTCCTGGGCTTCCATCTGCCAATAGAGCCTTGGAATCGTTGAAGGTGTTCTCTGACAATGCCTTCCATTCAGTGGAGCAACGAGAGAATCCCCTTCGCCATGTATACACTTGAGGCTCCAGTTCAACGCACTTGAGATCTTCTTACCAACCGAAGAGCTCTTGAGTTCGGGAGACGATAAACCTACTGGGGGTTTGTGCGAGAAATAATCGTAATTGGTTCTTCTGCGATCAGTGACCCGTCATAAGCGCTAGTCCTTGACTCATATTGTTAGCGTCTAGATTAGGCAGATGCTGCATGTTGAACCAACATGCAGTAGACCCTTGTAGAACTAACTATGTAAGTACTGAGGCTGAGGCAACTTCCCCTCCTCATTTTTCAGTGTTGAAACCTACCCCCCAACTTTTTCTTCATCTCTTCTCTTGTATCTACTCACCACCATTTGTATTCTTTCATCTTCAATTTGCAAGCTGCTGCTCTCGCTATAACCCAACTACCACATCAGACATCCATTATGGCCACCCCATCAAAGACCATTGGTATCAAAAACTCCAATATGACCTACACGGAACGTCAAGCCGTGCGAGCTGTCACCTTCAACGCCTCGGGTCAAATTGCACTGATTCACGCTGAAAAAGAGGATTACTATAAGCTTCCAGGTGGCGGCATTGATCCTGGAGAGGATCATATCGTTGCAGTTGAGCGAGAAATGAAGGAGGAAACTGGAGCATTAATCAAAATCCGCCCCATGGGCTGTGTTGCAACAACCGAAGAGTACCGCAATGATCTCCATCAGATCTCTTACTGCTATTGCGCAGATCTTGTCGACGACTCTGGCGCACCCGAACTGACAGATCTCGAGATTGAAGATCGCCTCGTTCATCGTTGGGTCTCTGTGGAGGAGGCTAAGAAGCAAATGGAGGAGGCACAGCCCGCGTCTGACTTCGGCCGCTTCATCAAAGAACGCGATATCTTTCTCCTTGGTGAAGTTCTCAAACGAACACAGCCCCTTAACTGATCCAGGATTTCACTATATGACCACCATACTTCACTGTTTGGCCATCTAGATGTGGCTGAGTGGGGCTTGGAAGCTGATATTGCAGTTACCCATACTGCCTACTTATATAGGTAGATAGACTATATACTTATTGGAATATGTAATTGCTAAGCAGTCTATCTAAGCAAGTGATGTACAGTTGACCTCTCTGTCTGCCTTCAAGACGAGCGATCGCTGCAGACCTGACATGGCTATCTCTCATCAAGACCAGCGCTATCGCGATGTAGTATTATCTAACTATATAGCTTAATACCTAGCTATAAAATAAGAGCTATTTAAATAAATATAAACTACTCTAGCTAGTATAAATAGTATAATATATAATATTAATATTAATATAAAGTTCTTATCCTATAGTTTCTATACTTCTACTTAGATCTAGCTTTACTACCTTTATATAAAAAATATATAATAATTAGAAGAGGCAGGATAAATACTTCATACGCAATTAACAGCTGTGGTTAATAATGCATCTGACAACCTTGAACGCGAATGCTGCAGCCTACAACTAGCATTGCCTACATCCACAAGGAGGACCGCTTCAATTAGATTCCCGAGTGTCCTCTCGAGGCATTCCCTAGACTCTTGGAATCTCCAGTCCGCTCACACTGAAGAGTCCTGAAAGGGTGTAAGGACATAAGCCAGTGTTTATGCAGTTTATCCTACTGGCTAACAATGTATGTGATATGTGAATTTGGTAGATTCGTCAATGGGGCAATAGCGTTGATGAAGGGGCTTCGCTGGAGAGTGACTCCCATGGTCGCTGGATTACCTGTCTTGAATCTGGGAAGACCACTGTTACGAGGCCGGAATGTGCTATGGACGTAATATTGTTTTGTTTTTTTAGGGGAAGATATATATTTCTTTTCTCCTTCTTTGCCTCTAGTTACATCGCTCGTTGGATTGATGAAACGGTATCATCGGACGCAAATTCAAGATCCTGATTCGATACGACAGCCAATCAAACCAAGCCTCGACATGCAGTCTGGCTCCTGATTAATGCGGTTGACAATGGAGTGGCCTGATGGATGTGCATTGATGTTTAGTACAAACAGGAGGAACCAATGTGCCGTAGTGCTCATTGCATGATGCGTCTAATGATCGCCGTAGGATTTCGGGGCATGTCACCGTGGCAGGGTTGGTCCCTGTGCTGCTCATCCCTCACCCTTAAATGCGCCTGACAGCTCTCATCCCGCAGTAGCTCCCAGTCCATTCTCCCATTCTTAACTAACCGTCACAATCTTCCGTACCAAAACAATTATGTTGTCCATTAACCAACCTCGAAAATTGTCCACGCACAAGGCAGTGATACTTGGTGACGGTGGAGTCGGCAAGACTTCCATTACTACTCAGTTCGTGAGACAGTACTTTGTAGAAACAGTAGTTGTCTTTCCAATGCGGGCTGCGAGGGGAATACAGCTGATATTCTGCCTAGTATGACCCTACCGACGACGACAATTACAGAAAACAAATCGAAGTAGATGGCGAACCTTGCTTAGTAGAAGTCTTGGAAGTGGCCAGTTCCGCCGAATACGAAGCCTTGCGAAGCCTATGGACCCGAGAGGGCGAAGTGTTCATGATTGTTTTCAGCCTGTCGTCCAGGAGTTCATTCACCAGGGCCAAGAATTACTATCAGCAGATTCAAGATGTCAAAAAAACAACCGTGCCTCTGATACTGGTCGGGAACAAATGCGACCGAGCACCCGAACTGCACGAAGTGTCCCCCCAGGAAGGAGAATCGCTGGCTCGAGAGTTTGGCTGCACATTCATGATGACATCTGCCAAATGCAACAAAAACATAGACGAGGCATTTGCTCACTTAATCAGATTGAATGTAAAACAAAGAGAAGAACAGAGGGCGAAAGAGACGGCAGCGGCTATCACGTCTGAACCACAAGGAAACGAAGTGGAGAAAAAGGGTTGGAAGAAGCGCCTCTCGAGCCTTTTAACGTCGCTCGGCAAAGGCAATAGAGGTTAAATAGTCGCTTTATTTGTGTTTTCATTTATTTCCAGTAGTTAAATAGTGCATTTGTCAGGCACAACAGCAGAATAGCTGCTCCCAAAGACGACGTTGCGTCGTGAGATGAGCCGTTGAAACTTATTTCAGTCGAGCACTTGTGCTAACAGCTATATTATGTTGATTGATGATACGGTTCGAGATTTTAGCAGAACGTGTCTGGCTAGATTACCAGCTGATAAGATTTAAATGGTTTTACTCAAGTCCTCAATGGCATGTTGCATGAAGTAAGGGCTATAAAAACAGACCATGATGGAGGACCCCTATATCATCGGTCCAAGCAACTGCCAATGGGTGCACGGCATCAATTCGTTCACCAGACTCTCTCTCTTAGCTTCCAGCTTTGACTTTTTCCTTACTAGACCAAGCAAATGGTCATCCAGTCTAGCGACTTTAGAGAAATGCTCGCATCCTCAACAAAAACACAATCAAACCACCCGCAAGTGAAGCCGCCTGATCCAGCTCTGAGATGCTCATTCCTGAAGGCGGCACGTACAAATGTCCAGGAAAAATCGACGTCGTGCCCGGACCATGCGCAGACCTGTAATACGTAAAAGCTCCCGAACATTACGATCTTGGAAGCCAAGTCAACCACTGTCTTGCGGGGTACACTAGGTACCCACACCCCAGCAGCGCCCGTCTTTTCCCACCGTGCCGTTAGCAACAAACCAATCTCGTCTTGCATATAAAGTGGCATGGCAAGGATCATGTGCCAAAAGAAAACCCTCGCGGCAAAGGACAGAAACGGAAACATGTGCCAGCCATGAGGTTGGTTCCAGAGTCGACTCATGATCATTAAATTCCCCACCAAATGCCAAGCAAACACCGTAAAAAGCGCTATTGCTACCTTCCCAGGGTGCCACTTTCGCGGGACAGTCACCGAAATTGCCAATCGCAGAGAATTCATCATAACTACCCAGAAGATCAAACTACCGCAAACGTGCGAAACGGTGGAAGCCGAATTGATGGAGAGTATTTGAGCATATACTTGACTGTGTTCCGAGAGAGAAGTGTCTGGCTTGGCTTTCCCAAACCCTTCGTTGTCGGGTGAAACAGGGCCTTCGTAATTTCTTCGCAGGTTGTTCATAAGATTGACAGCAAGGTATGCTTCCATTCCTGACGGAAAATTCGCAACTTGGATTATGAGGTGGCCTATGGCGATAATAGGGTATAATAGAGCGACCAGAAATTCACTCGTCAGGCGGATCTCAGCATCCGGATCATGAAGCCAGGGGAGTACCACTGATCCAATAGACAGATACCAAGCGGCCAGGGCGCCAGGTCCGTAGAAGCCGGAGACGAGTTCGAATGGATCAGTCGCGCCATTGCTGTTTGAACTAGATTCTGATTCCATTATTAAGTAAACGAAAAAAAAAAAAAAAAAAAAAAAAAAAAGGGGGGGAGAAGAGCTTTGCTAGCTAGGTAAGCTGTAAAGAACTAAAAGCGTTGGGTCGAAGCGGAAGACGGCACTGCACTACTTAAGGAGCGATATTGTAACCCCGGTATTACGTATTACTACATCTAAGCCCCTCTCAGCCTCAGCCACGACTTGTTGGCTCTCTTCTACCTTGTAAATCACGCCACAATTCCGAGAACTACATGGAGCTACTGCAGAAAAGCGTTGTGTGATCTTGTTTAGCCTACTTCGTGCATTCGTCCCGATAACCTACATATGTGGCAGGGCAACCAGGCCAAGTATAAGTAGTGAGGTAAGTGGAGCTTGAGTGGCGACTGTCTGCACGCTGCATACAGCCTCAGACAGGTGCATAATAAGCAAGGCAACAATGGATAACGGATCTTGCCCCATTGCTTTTCAAAGAATACAAAATTGGGCCAGCGCAAGCATTGGGCCGATCACTCAAGTCCAAGATATTGATTTTATTGCTGCTCTTTGAATACTAATATATATAGAAATCTGTTTAGATATTCTGCCATAGAATATACGTAAATTGTTTTAAACTTTTTAGAGTTAATTCCCTATCCACGTTCGGCTCTTCAGTACCTTACTCTAGCGCATGGCTCCTTAGATGCGCTGGCCTCTCGATCCATCTACCGACAGCATCCAACTCCTCCACTTATACAGCGGATCGCCGTAGTCTATTTCAATTTGAAACATATCAGAGTATCCCTAAGCGTGCTTCCTACGAGGCCCTATCACTCTAGACAACGGCAAGAAACGTCGTTCGGCATCCGGCAGGCTGTTGTACGGTTCCAGTCACCAAAACCCCGGGTGGCTCGGGAAGAAAATAAGGAGGAGAAGTACCTGAGCGGGTTATCGTGCAATCCACAAAGGCACAAGATTCGTACAGTATGGCTCTAGTGACACTCTACAAACAAATCAAAAAGATATATCACATGATTTTCATTCTAGATTACTCGCCCATATCCCATTGCAAGGAGTAGATCGCAGACCATCTTCCAGTCTACCTCATTGCATACATGTACAATAGTTTAACCTATTTGAGGCCCTGGACTAATCTGGGGCGAGCTAGTTGACTTTTTATTTATTCTAATCTAATATTTAATACTGAGATATATTAGGATATAGTCTCTCAAGCATCCTGCTAATATTCTTGTGATATTAAAGTTGCAGCGTACCTAGTCTCCCGACACTAGTGTGCCCCGCTGATTGTCAACTTCCTGGTCCCCACCCCTGCCATCGAGTGGATCATCCCCTGGTCCAGTCAATATGTTTGCCAACCACTACCTCCGCTTTCCAGGCATCAAGTCCTCTTCCTTTCCATAGGAGCCTTAGAATTATTAGGTTACGTCGAGCCGGCTGCAAATGACAGTCAATCTATGTTAGAATAATGCTGAAGATCCGGCTGTTTAGCTCTTGGGTTAAGTCAGCCACTGTGGAAGGGGAGAGAAGTAGCATCTGGATGGAGATACATCAAGCGGAAAGCAAGTCTCTATTATCATTACAAAAGGAATAGATTTTTTAAATGGCAGGTAAGATCACACGATTCTCTTGTAGGTATCTTTGTTTGCCCCATGGGCTATAATAGTCGCAATCCATCTGAACAAAGACGCCAGAAGAGCCACGCCAACCGCCAACATGGCCGACGAAGCCACCACCATCACACTTCGCCAGCTTCTTACGCAAAAAAAGCCAGGTATTTCATGCATTGCCACCACCACTAAAAATACCGTAAACACTTCCTGACCGGAGATCGAGCACTAAAACGCAACTGTTTGGAATGCGTTCACCATAGACACACTTAACGCTAGCTACGGCTATGTTCTCGATTGCCCTATTTTGGAGCCTCTCGACGTGCTTCCCTCACTTAAAGAGACATTCTCCGGCCTTGCAGTTAAGATAGACCTAGATATTAATCATCTGATTGGCTGGAATGCTGCCATGGTGAAGGCGACTTTCGACTTCTCCCGGTCTCGACTTCATCTTAATGATGAATCCGCTCTGTACTAGAGCCACACGACACCGAATAAGTCAGCCCTTGCCAGGCTGCCCGAAAGGTATCCTAGAACATCACAATTTGACCACGTCACCGCCATTGACAAATACCCGGCCCAGAACCTTGTTGTTGGCTTGGCTAGAACAAGCATGAAATGACGAGGAAGGGAACTCGTAACTACGCTGCGGGAGGGTCAAGAGGCTTCCAAGGAGCTTCTCTGGCCAGCGAGGCAGCTCCTAGCAATCTGTAAGGTCGCTGGAACACGATACGGCTACATCCAGACGGATATGGAGCTTGTGGTTTGCCGCTTCACCAAGAATGTAGATGAAGAGTGGAAGGTGGCAATGATGCCAATCCCAGTGACTACTTCTGGAGCGGGTGCTCTTACGGCTGATCTAGCTCTCTGGTGGATTTGCATGCTAGCTATATCGTCGCCTACAAGCTCTGCCATTGTGCCGGAGGGAGAAGTCGTCGAGATTGATCGGTGGAATGTATCGGGAGAGCACCTGGGATTCAGGACTGGTTGCCATGTGTACTCAAACTACACGGCCCCCTGGTTGGAGCCCTACGAGGATTTCCCTTCCCAGACCCAGGCGAATCCCGACAATGTGGCCAGTGGTGTCGACTCTACCGATTTGACCACCGGTGTCAACTTTGCCGATTTCACTACCGGTGTTAACTTTGCTAATGTAGCCACTTCTGTCAACCCCGAGGGACTCGAGCTCCAAGAATTGTCCCCATTGAGCCAGGTTTTTGAGTTCAACGAGGGTTCGAGCCAGGTCCAGAAGTAGCGCGAAAAAGCCATTCGCAGGTAGTAGGGGAAGTGAAGCTAGGATATCGCGAGACGGGAAGGTATCTACAGGGTCCAAGGAGTGTTAGCTTTGGGTTGGGCGCCATGTAGTGTCACATCTTTCTTATCCTCTTAGTGATGCCGTTTTCGCAGCCTAGATAGCCAAATTTACAACTTCCTCACCCCTCCGCATTTGAGGAGCCTCCTTGATGCATTAATACTAGTCAGAAAACCTGTAGTTGCCCTTGTTGAATACACTATCCTCCTGCCAACCAGCACCATGAAATCTAGATTTTCTCGATCTACTTCTTCTTCAGCGCACCATACACAGCCTCCGAGCAGCCAACACCTCGCACGTCATGTGTAAGGTATGTAGACTTATTTTTTCTTCTGAGGAAATATATGACCATCTCTAAACACCCAACTGAGAGAGGTACTAAAACCATATGAGCGTTTCAACTTCGCCGCTACCTTCTTGCTACAATCATAGTACCATCGGGGCGGCTTCGCTTGGAGCCGTCGGCGGGACTTTGAAACTCCTTGAGGAGACTTTCCAGGGCTGCTAGGCTTTGTTCCTTTGCCTTTTCCGACCTTTCCCCCTTTGGTCGACCTTTGCTCCTGTCCAACGGCGGACACCTTCCAGTCATACAGTCTTGGGTCAACGAAAGAATAAACACGTTCACGCGACGGCGAGCTTCTCAAGTCGTACTTGATATTACATCCAAAACCGCCAGGAAATGCATGGACTGAGATTTTATTCTTCTGCTCCGGGTGTTCCTGATTCCAGATGACCACCATCTCGTCAAAGTCCCAGAAGTCGTTGATACTGAACTGGAAGGTCTCAAACTCCATGGCAGATATCCACTCCGGAGTCAAGTGCGGGTTGAGCTCAGGAGTCATGAGATAATGCGGCGCGGTCATGGCTGTGCTGAAGTCGGAGATCTTGCCGCCGACGATCTGTCGATCGGCCACATCGATGTGAATAATCCCAAGCTGCTGCAGTTGAGTGATATCCCGGAGGATCCTGCGCATGTCAGGGTTGCGCAAATCCTGCGCGGCGGGGCCAAACTCTTTGAGGATGCCTCGGATGGGCGGCGGCCTACCGTCTCTACCCAGAAAGCGCGAGCGCATGTCGTCAGCTCCGGGACAGTAGAAGCTCCCGTTCAGCTCAACATTGCTGAACTGGCTCAACATGGCACGCTCGTGTTCCTCGTCGAGCAGCACGTAGCCGAGGCACTTGACTGCCAGCTCTTCATGACCGGTTTCGCGAAGGCGACCGAAAGCACGGCACTCGCTGGTGAAAGGCTCCGAGTAATTGTAAAATGCAGTCATGGCCTCGAGATCATTCTCGTCATTGTCCGGGCCACGGCCCAACCAATCTTCATCCCATGTGAATCTAAACTGCAAGCAATTTTGGTATTAGCCGCCTAGGCTTGGTCATGTGTTGGATGCGACTTACCAGTTTCAATGCATAGATCTGACCCAGGATTTTGACCTTGAGGACTTGTGCATGCAATCCATCTCCGAGGTGCTCTAGGAACTCGATCTGTTGCGGGCCCTTGAAGTCGAACGGCTCCAGCTTGGGGCCGTCGCAGCATGGCAGGGGCACTAGATCTGCGTCAGATCTGGGCCAATCAGGATACATGGCAACGTCCGTGTACAGAGCACTAACGAGGGCAATGGTGAGAATTGGAGGTTGACGGCCCAATTGGAGATTGGCCCAATGAGTGGTTCTCTACAAAGGTTTACGTGAGATTGCCAATAAATTAAACCGTCATCTGGCACAGGGAGAGCTTTCCTACCACTCTTTTATAAAAACCCATCTCATCATCTTATTTCTTGTCTCTGTCGTGACAATAGCATAGGAGCCACGCATAACCCTTGCATGGTCCATGAATTCTATTAATAAGCAACCTAGGTGAAGGTGGCACGTGCAGCCCAAAGGGTGCTCTCAGCGTAAGGGATGCTCGCTCTCAATGCAAGGAGACCTTGGTAAATGCATTGATTGAGCAACCAAAGAAGTGGGCGCCATCGTGCGTTAAAAATAAATTGTAAAAATCAATCCCGTCTTTCGCGCGAGTCAAAGGCCTTGTTTTGGATGCTATTCAGAGGTTAGCGAGGGCCCGAATCTGTCTTGAACCTTGAACATCCTTGTGTTTTCTTGGTTCCGCCAAGGGCTGCTGCCCATTCAGCGAACGTGGAAGTGTTGTGGACGACTTTGACTAGTCGTTGACCGGTAGGGGTTGATGCATTGATGCGTTGATCACATTGTCAGTGTTTTTTTCTATATACCGCCGTAGGTGTATGTCAAATGCATGCTATATTCCTCTAATCGTTGGGAACAAGACTTCGTTCGTGACCATCTCCAAGAGAATACCTTAATCTCGCTATTAAGCATCCCCTAGAACTGCTGTTATGGTTTTATGGTGGACTTATCCTAAACCCTGCCCATCTCCGCTCAACCATATAATCTAGCTCTGCCAAGTCACCCTCTTGTCTCTGAACAAAGTAACCATTCCCATTGGCAAAAGGCCCTGGTCCACGATGTTCAGCGCCCCGAACCGCTTCACAATGTCCGGCCCGTGCATCATGACTACCCACTTCCAGTAGGCATTCATGAAGCCCCAGTGCCCGCTGATGCCTCCCTGATGGGAGCCCGACTGCCTCAGCAGATCCAGCGCCGCCGACAGCGAACCGGTGTCCAGCCGCACGCTCGTCTCGGTCGGCTGCTTCATGAGCTGGCGGAACACGTTGTGGAGACGCGTGGCGGCCGAGTGGTGATTGAACCTGAAGTAGGCCCGGTGGCGGATGTACTCGTCAAAGGTCATGAACTCGTCCCGCTCGCGCGCCGAGGCGGGCACCCAGTCAGGGTCGTCGAGGGCGTAGCGCTGCGGCTTCACGGCGCCGCTGAGGAAGTGCTCCTTGGCGCGCTCGTAGGCGCTGCGCTCGGCCTCCTCGAAGTTGTCGACGAGCTCGGACGGGGACGAGATGACGTCCTCGCGGATCTGGAGCAGGGAGATGAAGGGCGACTGGAGGTTGAGCCCGCCGAGCTCCATCGGCCAGTACAGGTAGCCGTCGGGGACGTCGTCGATGCCGAAGCGCTGGGCGATGGCGCGCTTGAGGTACTCGGCCACGCTGGCGGCGCGCTCGTGCTCCCCCACGCCCTCCCCGGCCATGGAGGAGAAGATGAGGCGCTGGATGCGCTCCTGCGTGGACAGAATGCTGTCGACGTGCTCGCGGCCGAAGCAGTTGGCCGCCTTGGCGAAGTTGGTGGTGAAGAAGCGCCCCGCGTAGGTGTTCCAGGCCTGCACGAAGTCGAGCACGCTCTTGCGCTTGCTGCTGAGCTGCTTCTGCAGCTCCGCGATGTGGGTGTCGACCATGTCCTGGTCAATCTCGAAGCGCGCCGTCTGCGGCGAGAGGCGCAGGAAGCCCCAGCGGATCTCCCCCGCGGGTAGGGCCGGGTCGATGGGCAGCTGCTGCTTCTCGTCCTTGGACACGCGGGCGGTGCCCGTCTTGGCGAGGTTGATCTCGGTGCCCGTCACCTCGGCGAACTCCTCCACGGTCTTCCAGGCCTTTGCCGCCATGGCGTGGTCCCGGGACCAGAACCAGAAGTCGTCGTGGATGCGCCACAGGTTGGTCCCGCACGTGAGGCGGTTGACGGCGAAGTCGAGGCAGAAGAGCGTCGTCTCCCCAAAGACGTCGCTGAGCGTGTGGGACGCAGGCACTCCTCGGCGACGCTTGCGCGCGGGTGTCGATTCGTCATCCTCGGCGAACCTGAGGGGCGCCTCGAGGAAGTTGCGGAAGAAGTCGAGCCACGCGGGGGAGACACCTAGGAACTTGAGGACGACGAGCACTGTCTGGTGCGGCAGCAGCGAGTTCCAGCTCTCGAAGACGGAGTGGAAGGCCGTCAGCTCACCGTATAGTCGCTTGTTGATGGTGATCTCGGTCGCCAGGAGATGTAGGAGCTGCTGCTTGAGCGCCATGGGGCTGAGGCGATCTCCGTCGTCGACATCGACCGCATCCTCTTCCTCCTCCTGCTCCTCGTCCGAGTAATCAATAAAGTTCTCGGCATGCACGCCCCCTGTACTAGGGGCCGACCTCCTAGCTGCTTTGCTGGCGAGCTGCCTGCGTGGCGCCGCTCCGCCGGTCGACTTTCTAGCTGTCTGCTTCGCTCGGACACCCACCTTGCGCTTCTGGCCTGGGGTCTGAGCGGGAGGATTGGCGGACATAGTCACCTGTTCGTACTCGGCCTCCTCCTCCCCATCCTCCGTGGTTGTAATCTCCTGCTCGTACGCCATGAGGTTCACGAGGAAGTAGCGCATGGCGTGCACCTTGTTGCGCACCTCATCCAGGCAGGGCTCGTCTTGGAGCGGGCCGAGATAGTAGCCGAGCCTCCTCTTGTCCTCCTTTGGGATTGCGTCGCGCGCGGACAGCCACGTGCCCTCGGCCGTGCGGAGCGAGTCGAGGGCGTTCTTGAAAAACACGCTCCACTTGATGCCGATGTAGTGGAGGAAGATGGCCTGGAGGAGGTCCTCCTGCATCGTGATGTTGAACATGCCGCTGATCTTGCGGTTCATCTCGACCAGCACGGGGCCCTCGGAGCTCCAGGACCACGAGCTTAGAGCACTCAGGCGCATGTTGAGCACGTCGGCGATCTCGCTCAGGATGATGCTGTTGTTCTCAAAGTCCTTGAGTACCTCGCGCTTCTCGTCCGAGAGTAGGTCAGAGGCGTAGAGGCTTTGGATGACCCACTTTAGAGACGTGACGTTGAACTGGTTCGGTGCCGAGAGCGTCATCTCGAAGGACTGCACGGACTCCCTGAGCTGCGTGAGAGCCTTCTGCAGGCCCTTCTTGGACTTGTCCCCGTCGTGGAAGACGCGTTTCAGGTATGCTTCTAGAGCATCTTCATCTACTTCAGCAGGCTCAAACACCATCTCCTCCCACTCCATCCTCGACTCAAGCTTCTTGCCGTTGTCGACAACCTCGTACGCTTCATCCATGGTGACATCATCACCACCAGCCGCCGGCTCCTCCTCCTTCCCACCTGACAGCCACTCTGTGACAAGTTGCCCGTACAGCGAGGCGTACTGGAACTTGAGCGACTGCACGTCCAGGTGGCGGAGGAGGGACTGCTCCCAGGTATCCAGCATGGTGCCGGACACAGAGGGGTCGTACTTGACCTGCTCGAGGAAGCGGTCCAGGTTCTGTAGCTCCGTCTCGAGCAATCTATGCTTGGTCTGCTCCATGACGACCTTGCCAGCCTTGTCGAGCTTGACGGAGAAGCACGTCTTGACGCCATCGCAGAGTAGAGAGAGGCGGCGGGTGGGGTCGCTCTCGGCGCGGGCGACCTCGAGCAGGGACGTCTTGGCTTCCTCGAACCTGCTGCGCCTCTTGGAGAGCTCGTCGAGCTTGGTGTTGGTGATGCCCTGAAGGGTCTCGGAGAATACGCTGCCGGAGGTGGCCATGGTGGATACTGTACTATGGGGTGGTCCTCAGTGTCTGCGTATACACGGCTCGGGGTGATATGATGAAAGGCTAAGAAGACGGATGAAAACGAGAAGGATTAGAGGATGGTGTATGGATCATGCGTTGCTTTTTATACTCGGGGACGTTGAAAAAGTGGGGACCGTCAAGACCAATGGATGCCTGGTACTACGCCGCTTCGGCATGTGGCACGGCTCGGGGAGAGCTTCTCATCCGTACAACGTCTTGCTAATTCTCTTTATGTCTATGGTTCTTCAAACTGAAGCCAAGCACCAGGTTAAGTGAGCGACGTAGTCTACTTATGGCGAGTGGACAGCAGGACCATGTTCTATTAAGTGTATCAGCCGAGACTGGCAGAGGGATGATATAGTATTCACACGTATGTTGTCTTAGCTAGTCATAAGACGTACTCTTCCTGTGCAACTAGCCTACTGTACCTATCTCCATCCTTGTCTTAGCACCTGTTTAACTTGATACCAAATCATTTTTCGATTCATGTATACATTGTTGCTGATGAGCTTTTGGAAAACATTGCTCACCTTAGGTACAGCCAGTCGTGCCTTCGAAAACCTCCAATTACCATTCATTATTCTGGCCCAATGCTCTTCTCGATCAGGGCCCAGGCCTGGGAGGTGAAAGTCCCATGTAGCCAAACATCTCCTCGGTGATCCTTGCCAGTCGTGATCAGGTAATTCCTGTTCGTCCACGCCGGCTTGACAGTAAAGGCGTGATACAGAGCTGGACTGCCCAGAGGATTTTCCCTCTGCTGGCCTGTCTCACCTTGCTTCACTACAGCCGGCCCAAACTGCGCAACGGTGAAGTGCTTGGCCGCTGCCCAGTTCGTTGTGATATACAGTGTGCTCTCTGGCTTCGTGTGCATGGGCGCCGCATTGTCACCCTTGTCCCACTGCTCCTTCTTGGTTCGCAGAGCAGCAAGAACCTGCGCCGGGGTTGTCTGCCTCATTAATTCCTTGCGGATGTTCCACGCAATGCTCCCGACGGATGCGTTGGCCTTCTTGGCCGACAGGAGCGTGAAGTTGTTCAGCACCATGTTCTCGACGTGGGTGTCATCCTGACTTATCACCCCAGGTAGTCTTTTCCGACAGTCAAACGGCAGACACATGGTGAGGGAATTGGGCCTCGACTGCGATCGGGCCAGGTTGCTCAACCAGAGCGCGAGGATGGCGTCGAACTCGCTGATCCACGGCTCCGGGCCGCCTGCTCCATGCTGCTCCCTCTGGGCCTCATCCAGTGTCTCGGCACGTAGCTTTTGCACGAACTCCTTGGGGAGGTGTACCACACGTGATTCCATTTTGTTCCAGTACATGTCCCAAAGCAGGCTCCGGGCGAAGGAGACCATGCTGAGGCCGGATAGTCGCGAGTCGGCAATGACGCTTCTCTCTTGCTGCGCGGCGTCTGAGCTGGCGGCTTCGTAGAGAATGTCTCGCCCAACTGACGAGACGGGCGGCACCTTGTCTTCCTGACCGGCCAGGACAAGGGACCAGGCATTGACAAGAAATCCTACACCGTTGGCGTCCATCAGATTATGGGGCCATGTCAAGGAGACAAGTGTAGCATCGCTGAAGGAAATGATGCGCAGCGATAGCACTGGCTCATCTCGGGCGAGGAAATCTTGGAGCGTTTGCGGCTGGTCTCGTCGAATGACCAGTGGCCCCAACTCTTCTGACGCAGGATGGAAGGAGGGATGATTCGTTGGTTTGGGGATCTTGTCTCCTAGGGCATGTTCCCTAAGCTTCATACTGAACGCCTCGTGTGAGAAGGCAACCGCAGGCCTTTGGCTGGTGTAGGGAGTAGGGACATGAATCTGCAGCTTGCGCGAGCCGGCGACTCGTCTAAAGCGACCACCAAGCTTCCTCCAGTCGCCGATTTCGAGTAGACGATTGAGGCAAGAGTGTAACTTGATGGGATCAAGAACATCGTTGAATTGCCATACAGAGGCCATGACGATAGGTTCGAACACTTGCGTGTTATCGTGGAAGCTTGTTTGGTACACCTGGTCGCTCTCAATGAGAGTCACAGCCCCCTTTCCACTGAATAGTGAGCTAATCCACGCCATTTTTGTCGTATTTTGTGTAAAAAGGTTGTAGAAAAAGATGCTCAAAAAAAACACCGAAGTAGAAGAGGGATGGCGACTGTAATATATGGAATTGCTCTCCATCTAGGATTGCAGGGTGCAACCTGGTTATCGAGCGAAACGCTTCTCAGTAAGCACTACTATAGGTGACGAATTGAGTCAACATCATATAAAAGAGGTCGTCAGCCGGGACCTGTTATTGGAGAAATTGTTAGCCAAAGCGAGTATAGCCTCGATAAGCTCGCCTAGAAAGTACCTATTGGTTGTCTTTGTTGCTTCTTGGGCGCATTTTGGACCATCTCGTGGCCCCATAATCTCAGTCGTCTCACATCCGACGTCAGCGTCCAGGAATCAGAACCTTGTTGGCTCGGATTTTGCCCCAATTCCAGAACAAAAATTACCTGTTTGGGGAAGTGGACGTAAATACATGTCTTGTTCTTTTCACTGCTTATAAATGCGGTATGAAAAGTACTCGAGCGGCATAAATCACGGTTCAACTCCATCAAATGCAGGGTTAATTATCACGCCGTTCTTTTGACATGCTGGCATAAACTCGAAAATGTATCAAAAAATTTCTATTTCTCTCCTCTCTAGTAAATGCGCTCTATTATTATCGCTGTCTCTACATATATTATTATATCCACGTCTGAACCACAGTACGGGCGCATTTTTGTTGCTCGCCTACGCCAGAAATCCCCTCGCAACGTTCCATAATTGGCGTTCTCTCCTCTTCGTACTCTTCTACTGTAGACTCTCCCTCAGAACTCTCCCCGGAAGAGCTCTCCCCGGAGTCCCCCGCTAGAATAGCGCACCCCCCCTTACCAGTTTCCTGATATCTTATCCTGAGAAGACCAGCTTCTTCGATCTTCTTCCCGCTCGCCAGGTTCCCCAGGCCCATGCCGCCAGTCGAGGCCGCCACAGCCACATACCGGAGGTCGGTCATGTCGAACTCGGGCATGCCGCTCCACCACGAGGTGCGTATCACTTCTGCGAGGAACAGCCCGATCACGACGACATTCAGGACGAAAACAGAAATGGCGTACTTGAACTCCCCGATCGCGATGGCGGAAACGCGGATCGTCGTCGGGGTGGTCTGTGAAAAGTTGCCAATCATCACCTGCGCGGCCGCGTAAGCGCCCAGCATGTCATCGGTCATGGCCGTGATTGAATTCCGCACGCCCTCGAGGACGACGTCGGATTCATTGGACTTTTTCGGGCTGTTCCCGGCCGCAATGGACGTCTTCAGGTCCGTGATGGATGCGTTGAATGCCGACCCGACCATGGACACGTAGATGTTTGTTTCGTCGTTGGCAATCAGCTCAAACTGCCGAAGAAGAGTGCCCTTGAGACGGCGGGTGGGGTCAATATCTCCCACCCCGAGGATATCGGCCGGGCTCACGGTGATGTTGCGGCCCTCGATGTTTACAGTGACGTTGAACTTGGTCGGATGGAAGTCGACCGAGCATTGCACCTTGTCGAGAAACGCATAGCTTTCACCCGTGGCGAAGGCCAAATACCTCCTTGGCGGCAGCTCCGGATCCGAGGCATTCTTGAAATGACCCACGCCGATTGCCACAATGCTGGTGCCGTCGTGGCCCAGGTAGCTGGAGTACTCTTCTGTGTCGTCGGAGTCGGGGAGCATCCCACGGGCGGTGTAAACCCACTGCTGCCTTGAGCTCTCCAGCCTGAAGTCGCTCGTCTCGTTGTAGATGCAGTCCACGTCGGCCCGGTACCCATCCTCCTGGTACGTATACAGCATGGCGTGGGGGTTTCCTTCAATCTCGTCGTCGACCAAGCCAGCGGTGGATCCCATGCCATACGATCGCCCCATGTAGGTGTAACGGGAGTTGTCTATCTTGCGTTGCTGTTTCGATCCCTCTTCTATCGGTGTGGCCGAGGAGGCGCTGGCGAGTAGACTGCCGAGAAAATCGAGACCGACCGCGTATGAGAAACGACCGTGTGTATTCTGTATCATCGGGCCTCCGTTCCCAATCTCGGATGCGTATTCCCTCAGGAGCGACACGTCGTCCCAGCTGGGAATGGCCACCTGGCCGGCTGTCTCTTTCCAGGTTATGACGGGTGTCAGCGACGCCGCCCAAATGCCCCTAAAAGTCTTGGTCGAACCCAAGAAGAGCAGGAGGGGAAATAGAAACTTTGGGGGCAGGTCCCAGTCCATGTGGGTGACCATGGCATCAGACCACATCAGCATGGTGTTGAGATCCATCTCCCTGCTGGCAAAGCGGCGGCGGATGGCGAAGTTGATCAGCCGGCATAGCACGATGACTTGGGCGGCGGAGAGGAAGTTGGCGATGAGCTGGACGGCGAACTGGACGCTGGGTCGATTGTTGCTGATGAAGTCGAAGAAGCCGCCCGGGAAGCGGATGGACTGCACGCTCGCGTACAGCAGAAAGAAGCTGACCGGTGTCGTGAACAGGAGTGTGAGGAAATTGAAGTGGCCAGCCGAAAACAATGAGGCCTGCCCATTTCGGGGGCCCTTCATGCGATCCGACTTGGGCATCGCGTTACGTTTTGCTATGTCGGCAACGTTGCAATGGAAGGACGCAGGTGAAGGGAAGAGGAACTGGGGCCAGAGGCGGCGGTGCCCCGATTCTTGAGCCTCCAGGACCCAGGCATGTTGGCAAGATCATACGCCGCCGCATGAGTATCTTCATGCTGTTGGTTGTTGAACACAACCAACATGCATATGAAGACATGAGTTCTGGGTGGTCGGTGACATCGAGAATCTGGGTCCAGCTCATTGCCATTGGTTGATTGGCTATGCCACTATTACGTGCTGCAGGCTGCTGCAGGTTCAGCGGCAACAGGGGCCCTGGCCGCCTGTGATTGGGCTCCGAAGCGCTACAGCCAGCGCTGGTCCACCCACTACCAGTAAGGCGGTTATCGGCCGGGGCTGAGACAAGAATAGATGCAAACCAAGCCTAGGGGGCCAGCAAAGTAGTTGTACATGAAGTCAGAAATGAAAAAAAGAGATGTCCAAGAAAATGCTGTGGAAGACGGACAGATCGGTTGGTGGGTGGGTGAGATGTGGCTTGCTCAGCTTGTTCAGCTTGGGCGGGGCTGCCGCCTACATGTATTGAACATTGCCTCCAACTAACATGAACCCTCCTCATCCATTACCCGATCACCGCCCGATTGAACGGTTACTCCTGTTCTACAACCCAGTAGGCTAGGCTCACTCGTCCAGGGCCCAGGTCTTCCCGCCATCTTCCTCCTCGCTGGTGACTATCACCATGGGAGATTTCTACTGCGCTCTGTGCGGGGGCCCAACGTTTCAACCCATGTGGGACCCGGTAGCAGACACGGATGATTTAGGGGAGTCCCGATACTCGATTGACATATTATCTGGTCCTGGAGACCCTGAATTAGCTTGGCTATCCCGTGTCAAGGTTATTTTTGAGAACTCGGGGCAAGTCTCCCGGGATCGATGGCCTACCAATAAATACTCACACTGACCGTTCTCAAGCCAATTTTCCGGAAGCACATCGCTGGCACACGGTTCGACTTCGCCGTCGCAAACATCCCAAGAACAGACATCAGCCTTACCCCAATTGCCGGCATCATATAACACTGATCATGGGGGTATCCCGGGACTTTCAAGTGGAGAAGCCAGCAGCACCGAAGCTCGGGATATCAAATGGGTCGAGAATCATGGTGGACCGCAGTAGGTTGATTATATTCTACATAAACCAAGTGACAGAACTGATATATCGGACAGCTATAGCTGGGGTATAGAAGATGACATCTATCCGTGGCGCGTCCCGTTTCATTCAGAATGTATGGAGATCCTTTACCGATACTTAGAAATACCAATGTCGCAACTCAGCAACAGGTCCTTTTATGAGGTGCTCAAGGGTTTAGATGAAAACGCCGAGTACGGAACATCTCTCAATATCGAATATGGCGATATCTCCCCGGCGATGGGCGATACATGGTGCAGAAATGGAGGCGAAGAGTATTTCCTTTTCAATCCAGTTCATGTGACAGGCCTTAAGGAATTGTACCAAAATCCTCCTCGCTGCGATGATTCGATTACATACGAGAAAAAGATGATCAATGTGGAAGGCGACCCTTTCAGAAAGTTTTCGCAAGAGATTATTCTTCTCATAATGTCGGAATTGGACGTGCCCACCATCTTTAAGATGCGGCAAAGTTCACCAGCTTTTTCAAACACTGAGCTTAGAGTCGGTTTCTGGATATCGCATATCGTGGGCGATATGCCTTGGCTGTGGGATTTCCCAGCTTCCACTTTGATTCATATTGATGGCGTTGATTGGGAGCAAATCTACCGTACCTTGTACCGGGGAAGTAGGTATAATATGGCCCACGGAGTCCAAGTCAATGGGCTGCGCAACAGGAGGAGAATCTGGGAACAAATGTGCCCTGTATTCGCTGTACCATATCGGGAGAACGAGTCTGGTTGAAGATATTAGTGTTCCTGAAACCAATCACAATGCTGCACATGATGAAGCCCGCACCAAAAGTATTATCAACGCCTTGACGAGGTCTCTACTCTGGTGGTTTTATATCTAGAATAGCAGCAGAGAGGGCTTTGTTTGTTTGTTTTCCGTCGCGTCATCATCTGCCCTGATTTGGTGCAATGCAAGATGAAACATGAAATTGCAAACCCCGAATGATCATTGGCTATGCTTGAAGCAGGAGGCCTTCCATTATGAATGATATGTCACTTTCGTACCACGGCGACGTACAAGCAACGTTGCCTAACTTTACAGCAGCCCGCACCACCAATTTGTATCTTTGATTTCTCACACAGAGCTTGTTTTTCTTCTCAAAGAAACACCAGTCGAATTGCCTCACCTTTCGCTCATCTGTCACAAAGCCGCCGCAACGATGGATATCGATAACGGATCCAGCATGCCTGAGTTAATGGCAATGCTCAAACGACGGAAAGAAAACCTTCGCCAAGGTGAAGCTAACAGAGGAAAAAAGATAGAGTTCACGGCTCCTAGGGCAGTCATCATTGCCAAGTTCCAGTTCCAACGTATGATGGAATTGCAAAACCCTTCTCACGGCCGAATTCATTTAGCTACGTCCTTCCTTCCCGCAGCCTACCCGCCCAGCACCAAATCCCTCGGCGAACTCAAAAAGAAGATGATCAAGGACCTTCACATGGAGCTCCACCATGAGGGTGCCTTCCTGGTCGTGAGATCCATTGCTCCGCCAACCAGGCTGACAAGTATTATGGCCATCGTTGAAGACGAGAATCAAGACGTTGTCTTGCTCCAGCTGTACAATCAAGAGAAGGAAACAGAATATCCTGCAGATGAAATCCTCGGGGACGGGATGGTCGTTATGCTCAAGAACCCTTATCTCAAGACGACGTCAGATGGCACCTATGGGCTCCGCGTAGATCACCTTTCTGACATCGTATGTCTCGCAAGACATGACGACCGTGTCCCGTCAAAATGGAGGATCAATCTCCGCGATGATACCAAGAACGCGCTGTATTGGAAAAACCTGGGAAATCGATTCTTCGGTGACACCCAATACAGAGCGGCCATTGAGAGGTAGGTGAAACCTTCCACGTTGTCACGACTCGCAGCTCACATCAGTTTGTGTCTTTAGGTATACCGAGGCGCTCAAGCATTGCCCAACCGAGGATGAAGAGCGCATCATCAAGCTCAATCGCTCGATAGCCTTCCTAAAGACCGAGCAATTTAAGGCTGCGCTCTCTGATATTGAGTCCGCACCCAACGGGCCCAACTTGGTCGAGAAAGCTCTTGATCGCAAGGCCCAGGCCCTATACGGTCTCGGAAAATATCGAGAATGTTGTCATGTTCTCGAAGAGATGTGCGAAAATTTTACAAAAAATGCCTCTGTCCAACAGCGCCTCACCCATACCATAAAACGTATCAAGGAGCAAGAGCGCGGCCTCCACGACTTTGCGAGAATGCAACGCGAGGCCTCAGACAAACGCCCACCGCATCTAGATTTTGCCACCTATATTGGGCCAGTGGCATTAGGTCCGTCAGGCTCAAAAGGGCGCGGCCTCTTCACAACGAAAGCCGTCAAAGCAGGCGACTTGTTGTTGTGCGAGAAGGCATTTGCTCATGCTTTTGTTGATACTGACGGTATCCACACGCAAGATCTCACGGTCCTGATCGATGCACAGAGAGATTTGATCACCGTCGGGGGGCAGGCTGAGCTCATTCGGCTCGTGGCTCAAAAAGTATACCAAAACCCATCGATGGCTGCCACTGTCACTGATTTACACCACGGCTCGTACCAGCCTGTAGATGTATCTGAGGTGGATGGCATCCCAATCGTTGACACGTAAGTTGCTGCTTTTCAATCTATTGGCTTGGGCACAATGCCCGTATATTCGGCATGCTGAACCACTAATCTTTGACCAGATTCCTCATCTCCCGTATCATTGCACTTAATTGCTTTGGCTGCCCTCTTACAACTCTTGATTCGAAAACAGGGGGTGGTAGCTGGGGAGGGTCAAGAATCAATGAAAGGATCCATCACTCAGTTGGACTCTGGCCAATGGCTTCGTACATCAACCACTCTTGCGACAGCAATGCCACTCGCGCCTTCATCGGCGATTTCATGATCGTTCGCGCAACTCGGGACCTTGATAGCGGTACCGAGCTCAAATGGTGGTACTACGACCCAGGCCAAGACAACAAGAAGGGTGCTGACAACCACTGGGGTTTTCAGTGTGACTGCGTCATATGCACAGATGATCAAGCCACTTCTCCTCAGATACTAGCTGACAGAAAGCGACTTAAAAGTGCTTTGAAATCAGAGGGCAGCGCAGCAAAGCCTGGAAAGATTGAATCCATGCTGGAAAAAATGAAGCTAACATACCGTAAGCCACCTTCAGAGGTACCGCGGTTGGACATGTATAACATCCAGGTCAGTGTTGCGATCAGATATCTGGAAACTAACCAGCCCACCAAAGCGGTTGAGCGGGGTTTGGAAGCTCTTAGCTCTCTCGGGTTTATCATTGAGGGAGCAACTATGCCTCAGTGTGGCACTTCGAATGGAACGGTTTTGATCAAGCGGTGGGGGCTAGATTGTGACAATTTTAAATGCTGGCAGGTTCTCTCAAATGCATATTACATGCTCGGAGCCTTTGGCCTTGCATCCCAAGCAGAAAACCTTGGCAGGATCTCTTACAAAGCCTGTATTGGAGAAGATGTCTCTTTCGACGTCTTTAGATAAGTTAGAGGTTGGGGAACTTATGAGAACGCTATGCTTGCCTCGTAAGCTTTTTTTCAATGAAAATACTCCGATATAGCCATTCCTGAGAAACAATAGTCGCCTATTTCTATTACCAAGTAGTCATGAGCTAACGCATTCCAGCTTATTCTTCGTTGGGTCAATCTTGAAATGGCATGCTGCGGAAACACGCTTGTTTCCTCATTAATATCCATTATTTACGTAAGCATTTTCATAACAAATTGAATAAGAAAAGTTCACTGATATATTTATAGGTCATGCAAGTCTAGACGTTGAGCCAAACAAATGAAAGCGGATGGTAGATGGGCCGCTTACGGCACAGAATGCCTCACGGAGTGCCTTCTTTTGCATGTGCAGCCACGTCAGCAATCATACGTCAGACATAGCCACATTTTCGTTCACTTTGTGGCCTCTGACTTCTTTTAAAAAAAAACAGTTTCTACTATTCAAGCTGCCGATTTCTTGCTCCCCCCCAAGCTTTCCTATGCACTCACGCCATGGATCTAATCAGCCTTGCAAGAGCATCATTTGAGTTAACGCAGTTAGTCAAACGACTATCCAGGACCTACGATGAGTTAGAATCCAGAATAGATCTCATGGATGCTGTGTCAAAGCAGGCCTTGATCATTTCTAGGATTTCAAAGTCCAGAGTGCCGGACGAAATGCAGTACTCATGTGCAATAATTGAAAATAAGTGCACTACGATTTCGAGCGAATTACAGGAATGGAAAGGCTACTTCAAAGTCGAAGGAAAGAACAAAAAGCCTTCGAGCTTCAAGGGTTCGTACCTCAAGATCAAGGCACAGACTCGGCTTCCGGAGCTAGCAGAAGATCTAAATGACATGGCCTTGCATGCAAACAAGTAAGGATATTCCGTTTATAGTTTATTTATATCTAACATCTAGCAGCTTGCTCCTCATGGTAAACATGGAATCAATGGCCTTCATGGCGTCCTCCAGAGAAGATTCCAATAAAAAGGTGGACAATGTCTTCGAGATTGTTTCCCGTCCACCCATGGATCTCGGTCTTCCACGTGAACCTGGAAAATATGTCACTATCGATGATGGACTGAATCCAATTTTCCAACTACCGCCCAGTTTGTGCAAAACGCCTAAGGTTGGTGGCTCGCTCCAAGAACAATCACTTATACTGACTGCTGGGTAGCGACTTCAACGCACACTAGCTATCATATTTGAAAAAATGCCCGGCTTAGCACAGATTGAGCGAGGACATTTCATAGCATACCATTGGAATACAAACCGCCTAATTTGCGCAAGTGAATGGCCGGCAATTATCAAAGAAGGATACGGTATCAGAATTGCCTTCGTGATGGGAACGTGGCTTGGCCAAAGCCGAAATAAATGTATTCGGTGTCTAAAGCCCATGAACGCGAGGCCAAGAATCACAAAAGGAGAGCTGAGAAACTGGTATGTTTGTTCGTTTGTTCAAATTCGCGGTATTGCCCTTACTAATTCTACATTGCAACAGCAAGTCCTGTAATCTTCAGTTTTCCAGATTCGAGCCCTTGGACTTCCATTACAAGCCGCAAGACGTCAGCTTCGACTTCGGAGGTTACCATAGGTACAAACAGGAATCCTATCGCAAGTCTTCGATATCGCCTTCTCCTACATTAGCTGTCGGCGATGCCTCTCCAAAAGCCCGGGACCTGAAACGCAACATCGCCAGTACTGAGCCAACTCCTATTGATCTTGTCTGTCGACGACTCGTTATCAAATGGGACCCTATTTTCAACATAAGTTACAGGTATCTATTCTGTCGCTGCATTGCGTGGGCGAGCACCCCATCACAACTGGTGCCTGAAATGACGGTCCCTCTCGCGGCCTCTTGCCCGAGACACAATAACAAGGGCATCTCTTTCCCGGACTATGGGAACCTCGATTACAGCGATGATCACTATTTTGATAAGTTTGGAGGTTACGGACTTTTCCGCCTTCAGGTTTTACAATTATTTCCATACCTCTACCATATATTGGGAGGTCAAGCATTCATGAGTGACTCTGATAAAGCGACTTTCATGGAAAAGATTGACAACGTCTCCGATGAAACATTGGCTGCAATTCGTCCAGCACTCATAGAGTATCACTTTGAGCGCTTTGATAGACTCGAATTGGTTGGGACTACGTTTCCAAGTAACGTAACACAGTGGCTTGCAGAGCAGAGGTTAGAAAGAGGAAAGAAAATGAAAACGCAGATTCGGTAAACCCATGTGCAGTGGCCTAGGAGCATATCAGTCGGCGAAATCCTCAAAGGGGAGTGGTCAGGAAAGCCCCGTTGGGCTCTACAATTATTAACTATTTTCTGTTATAGAAATCTCCCAAGTACACAATGAAGTGCTATCACATAAAACAAGGGATAATATTCTCGAGGAAGACAGCCTCTTCAAAAGCATAGCATAGTGTCAAATCGGTCGAGTAGCCATGATAGATAAGGTAGTTGCTCGTTGGAACAATTGCCGGCGAACCGGGCTCGAGTCTGACTGGACATTTACCGTTCTCAGCAAAACAGACATTAAGAAGCTATTGAGCCTCCTCCTTAAATTTTAATATTTGGTACAGCTATGGCACAAGGGTTACAGGGTAAATGCCGTCTGATATGGTACGATGACCTGCGGCGATGGGACGAGGAGGTAGTACTTCCCATAAACCAGAATGTAGGTCATTACAAGCGAAATACGTTGGCTACAAGCACTATTATAGCTCAGTTGACGTCGGTTGACCTCATAATAGCTCGGTTCTGGATTATTTGAGGTCCTAGCCTTGCTCAGATTGTACAAGCATCAATCATTTTGAAGAATACAAGTAGGCCTTAGTGTGATTGTTTAATTTCAAGAACACGAAGCGACCAGAATTTGACAATAACGGAGATGATCTTGTAACGATCGGCATGTATCTGCCACTGTATCCCAACAATAATTCTATTATACAAGGTGGTCCCTAGTTCACCGAGATGGTGTATTGCGAAGTAGTGAAGACGCAGTTAGAACCGACGAAAGGCTCAGTACCTGCCTGAAGACTGGTCACAACCATGTCTGTGCTGACGCCCTGGCTGGTGGTGAGGTAGTCGAAGAACTTCTTCAGGTCGCCACTGAAGTTTCCAATGTTGCTGGGCGCGACGAACGAGTACACGGTGGTGTCGCCATTAGGACCCCTGAACAGCTTCCACTTCGTGCCGAGGATGGTGGGAGTAGCAAGTGGTGTGTCGTTGGTCTCGGAGATGGGGCCTGCGCCTCCGTATGAACCAACCCAGACCATGATCTCGTACTTGTTGTTGGCGCCAACTGACGGAGCCAGCCACAGGTCATACGAAACGTCGGATACCATGTTGGTTCCGGAGTATCTGGATATTGTCAGCTACGCATTAGCAACATGTGGAACTGGAATACAAGGATGCGACCATACCTCCAGGTCCAGGTAGAAGGGATCGAGCTGATTGCAGACAGCTTCTTGTTTACTTTCTCCAAAGCAACGTTGGAGTACGACTTGACGTGAATGTTACCGCCCTGCCAAGTCCAACTTGTTGACCAAGAGAATGACTTGCTGTTGACGGAGTTGAAAGTCGTGCACTGGGAGCCAGAGGTAGCTTGTCCAGCACCCCAGTTATTGTGATAGACGGTATAACCTTCTGTTGTCAAAGAGCCCCATGAATCGCACCATGTGGTTGCCCGCTCCTCGAGAGTCGGAGTAGGCGAGGCCAACGCAGCAGAGGCCAGGAAGGCCGAAGTGAGGAACGAGGACAGCTTCATGGCGCAGATTTGGGGTGAGTACACTGATCGTGAAGCGAGAGCGTGTTGATCGAGTTCAAGGAAAGGCATTGGGCCCGCGTCGTCAAATATATAGGGACCTACCTCATGGGCTACTGCGGAACCAGAGCTCGCCCCCATATCGAGCACGGTGGCCCTGAGAGTTCGGCAAGTGGTTGCGCGCCAATGGAAACAGGCGATCTACCCTAACAAGGGCGTTTCGGAAGGTCAACATCCATTTAGTTAGCCGTTACAGATCAGTAGCTCCAAATGGAACCGACAGAGCCGAGTGGCCCACTCAGACTGGTCCCGCCGGTGATCCGTGTGCCGTATTTAATTTAATATCACGAGACATACTTCGGCACTCGGATGGTAGTTGAGAAATGGGCTTGGTTCTAGAACGGCAACAAAAGAACCGCTCGGGCATTAATTTAGCGACACCATACATGAACAAACCAACCAGCCCCGCTCAAAGACGTTGTTCCCCTGAAATACCGCCTTATACATCTGAGTGATAGCTCCGACTCTGCTAAGAAGGAACCTGTTAGACTTGCTAAATCCGAGGGGTTGTATGAGGTCGATGGGAATTAACTACTCAGTCTAACCGCTTTTTATTCTTTTGTGCAGGCGTTGAAAGGATTCATAACTTCATGATGAAATAAAGAAACCAAAACTTACTGAAGACGATTTTACCGACTAGGTTTAGGGTATCTAAAGGATAATATATCGCATCATTGCCGAATTCAACAGACAAAGAGAAGAACGTAATAACTCTTCCGATATACCTCATTAGATCGTTAGCTAATGTGAAAGATAAATGGATATGTTGTAGCATCTCTTGGTTACCAAAACTTGATACGGCGTCTACCTTCCATCTGCTTAGCATTAACCAAGTCGTCGGTAGACAAGGTAGCCCAAAGCACCGAAAGCTGAGGAGATGAGTAAAGCCAGACTTCTTGCCGTAGGGGCTGCTAACTCAAGATTCCATTTAGCCTCCCTTCCTTTTTAGCCCTTAGATTTGGCATTGATGTGCGGAAGACGCGTTGCAGGGGACCTCTTTACCCAGAAACTTGGGTAGTGGCTCCCATCCAGCCTAAACGTTCTATTCGAGGAATATATTATGTATGATCACTCGCTCTCCAAAAGTACCTGGGTCGTGGGATTTTAAGCAGGGGTTGGCCATAGTTCTCGTCGCATCTTCCCGGTTCTGGACATTGATGGGTGATCAGCGCAGCTTTTGGTACTTGCGTTGCTACTAACATGGTAGAAGCTGCAGAACATGTTATTATTGTTACCAAATACTAGCCCTGAGATCCGACCAGGACAAAGTCTACTCCATCGTATGCATCCGAAATGTGCCAGTTCTGATTGGTGTTGGCGATCGACCTCCTCTATAATCCCCTTTATTGGAATCCCCAGAGTTCCCTAAAATATCTTAATAATTACCTTATCATAACTAGTTATGCATGAATAAATTGAGAGATGCCACATGAAAAAATATGCTGGAAAACCTGTCCCTCAACTTTAGTAATTTAAGGTGAGGCCATAGCCCAACAAGGGGACGAGAGAGGTCTGAAGAAGGAAGTCCGAACTGCAAATAGCTGGTCTAAAAGCGCTGGCCAAACCCACATAAAAAGCAGCGTTTCCCTATTGAAAGACGTCCCTTGTAAAAAGCAAGTCATCAGAAAATGTCAGTGGTGGAGATATTGCTACCAAAAGCCCAATGGTTAGCGGCAGTGGAAACTCTTGAGGAAATCAGAGCTCCCGACATGCCTCACGGCCAGCAGCCAATAAGAATAAAGGAAGATAATCATGGGTCCGATATAACAGAAACTAGTAGATGTTTAATGCAAGTTTGATGCATGTAAGAATATGTCTAGACAATAAGCACACGTCACGCAGTGGTATCGTTCTGCGTATTGTATTTAAGAGTGAGCTTCTCACTACCACTCTCTTCCCCCCCCCCTCAGACGACTTCCCCTAGACATACTAAAAATGTTTACCGTTTATTCCTCTGGAGGGACAGCAATAGCTGTCGGAATTGCCATAGTAGTTCTCTACGTGGCATATCGAGCTATCCTACCGAAGCCGCTCCCAAACATCCCGTACAACCAAGATGCTGCCGGAAAGCTGTTCGGTGATGTCCCAGAGATGATGGGCTATGTCATGCGGACAAAGCGAATATTTGTAAGATAAGATGATCATCTATTTACTGGTTTGACTCCCCTACCAGCTGTGTACAGGTGACTAATTGCGCCTACGAGCGAGTAGTGCTGGCTAACATCACTCACCACGCGGCACCAAAGTCCGATTGTGCAGGCTTTTATTAAGCCAGGTGGACTGCCATGGGTAGTGGTGACGGACCCTTTTGAAAGCCAAGACATCTTGCTTCGTCGTATCAAGGAATTTGATCGCAGCGACTTCTTCGGCGAGCTCATTAATGGGATCCTGCCTGAGCAGCATATCCAGTTCATCTCAACAGATCCCAGGTTTAAGAACAACCGAAACCTAATCAACCACCTCATGGCGCCTACTTTTATCAAGGAGGTGAGTGCGCCTGAAGTATACATGGCTGCCAACTCTCTGGTCAAATTATGGAAACTCAAGAGCAACATGGCTCAAGGCCGCCCGTTCTCTGCCCACCAGGACATAACGTTTGCCCTGCTCGATTCCATTTTTGCTTCATCGTTCGGTCTGAAAGAGTCTGAGAGCAATACAACTCAGCGCATCAAGGCATTGGAGAGCTGGGAGGCTGAGATCCCCAGCAAGGTTGATGAAACAGTCTCATTCCCCGAAGGCCATGTTCCTGAGATCTTCTCGGCTGTTCTCACCCTGGCGAATTCAGTCACCGACACCCAACTGTCTCCGGCACCCGTACTGACTTCATGGGTTATACGAAAATTTCCCTACATGAGGAGAGCAAAAGCTATCAAAGACCGATATATCCGCAACAAGGTTGAGGAGTCAGTTAAGCTGATCAACGAAGGCCAGACCAAGGCCAAAAGCGCACTCCATTCCGTCCTCCTCCGCGAGCGTGATGTCGCATCTAAGGAAGTACGGCAGCCCGATTATCGCAAAGGGGCGATTGCGGATGAGTTCTTCGGATTCATGACGGCTGGTCACGACACATCGGCTACCACAATAGCCTGGGGCGTCAAACTACTCACTGACAACCAACCGGTCCAAAGTCGCCTTCGGGATGATCTGCGGGCTGCTTTCCCCCAGGCTGCCCGAGAGGGGCGTGCTTTAACCTACTCGGAGCTGATGGATGCACACATCCCCTTCCTTGACGCTACAGTGGACGAGATCCTACGGCATGCGAACACGATTGCCTTTGTTACCAGGCAGGCCCTGCAAGATACCACTGTCCTCGGCCGACGTATCCCCAAGGGTACAAATGTCTTTCTCATGGCCAATGGCCCCGGTTACCTAGAGCCCAATATGAAGCTCAGTGACGAGGCGCGTAGTCCTGGTGCCCGGAAGACGGCCAAGTCGGTGTTGACCGGCGCCTGGAGGGATGATGATATTGCCATGTTTCGCCCGGAGCGCTGGCTGGATACGGATCCGGACACCGGTGCCGAGGTATACAACTCCATAGCCGGTCCATCACTTGCCTTTGGATTGGGACTTCGGGGGTGCTTTGGGAGGAAACTTGCGATGAATGTTCTCAAGATTCACTTTGCCCTTATTGTATGGCACTTTAAGTTGCTCCCTACGCCTACTGGATTGGGTGGCTACGAGGCCGTGCAGAAATTTGCACGGGAGCCAACGAAGTGCTATATCCGACTAAAGGAGGTCAGAATTTAGATTAATCCGAGCCTTTTTTGGTGATGGATATTGAAAGGTCATTAGTAGGAGAGGAGGATTAATTGCATAGGTTCATGGGCTCGGTGTTGAATTCCCTCGCGGGTTTCAAAGAAACTAGTTGCCGATCCTAGCCAGGGACCCTAGAGCTTGCCGTGCTTATACCTAGAAAGTAGTCTTTTAGCAATATATCACCTATGATTCAGAGTGGTTTAGAGCATGGAATGAAACCGTTACGTCTTGCCCGAATGTACCTACGGAAATAATTATGAATGTTAGCCGTAGCAATGTCAAGGTCTGTACAGTCTTAAACCCTCGGTCATTGCCGGATGTTGCAATCCCCTAAGAGGTGCATTTGGGTCCCCGGACGCTGACGAATAATATGCTCAAATTTCCTATACTTCTGGGACATTCCCTCTGCGTTTCTTGGTGCAGTTATGGATTCTTACCCCGCCTTGCCATCCATTAAATCGCGATCCATTCTCCTGACAGGATAATATTGATTCAAGAATCTTCAACCGGAGTTTTCAGTTGTCAGCATATTTGTCACCATGGCCGAGATAGACGCCATCCTGCAAAAATACACGGACAGCGAAACTGGCAGTATTCATGGCGCCAGTTTCGTGGCTGTCGATGCCAATGGTATAGAATCTCCGAAACGTTTTTGTTACCAGGTGCCGACTGTTCAAGAAGAGCCAAGGTGCTGACTTTCATCAGGCAATGATATATATCGAAAATCATTCGGCCATCAAAAAGTTGACGTAAAGAACTCACCACCACTAACACTGGACACGGTGACATGGATCGCCAGCCAAACAAAGCTCACCACATCTGTGTCAGTGATGCAGATTGTCGAGCGGGGATTGATTGGACTCGATGATGATGTACGCGAAGTTCTCCCCCAGCTCAAAGAGCTGAAAGTCCTGCTTGGTTTCGAAGCCGAAGATGGCGACATCGTGGAGCCTGAGCCCACAAGCGAGGATAGTGAACGGGGACCATTTAGCAACAAATATCCCCCCAAACCTAAGGGAAAGCCGATTTTTGAGGATTTGAAAGGTCCAATTACTTTGCGGTAAGTGTGCTTTGGATTCCCCTTTCGAAACGAGCTTTCGGTCAGCGTTCAAATACTAAATATGGCCGCCACAGCCATCTCGTGACGCATACTTCTGGGTTGTGTTATGACCTAGCAAGTCCACTTTTGATGAAGTACTCTGCGTGGATTGGTCGCCAGGAGAACATGTTCTCCGGCACAATCGAGGGTTTCTTTCATCCACTACTCTTCCAGCCGGGCACGTCCTGGACGTACGGTCCCGGACTCGATTGGGCAGCCAAAGTAGTTGAGAAACTGACAGGGCTAGAATTCGACGAATATCAACAGAAGAATATTTGGCTGCCTCTCGGTGCTAGGAACACGACATTCTTCCCGGCGAAACGTGGCTTGACCCAAGAAGATATTCACCAAACGGGATCTCGTGCCAAAGGCAAAGGCTCTCAAAATCTCGAACCTGGAACGTGCGTTTGGAAATTTGAGTGCCGCGATGCTTTGGGAAGCGGAGGGCTGTTCTCCACCACCAACGACTACAGCAAGCTTCTTGCGGCGTTGCTCGGCGGGGGAGGGCCGCTCCTTAGTAAAGCCTCAGTTGATGAGCTTTTCCGTCCACAGATCGGGCCCGGTGCTGTCAAAGGGCTACGGGAGTTCATCATTGGCACCAATTTGGATAACACTCAAGCTCCGATCTGGACAGGCTCTGCTGAGGAATGGCAGGATGTGATGGAGCTGCAGCATTCACTGTGCGGAGTTGTGAACACTGAAGATGTCAAGGCTCGCAGGAGGAAGAACACGGTTCATTGGTCAGGTTTTCCGAATTTGATATGGTATATTGACCGGGAGAGTGGTGTCGCGGCGACATTTTTCACTCAGCTGATACCAGTCGGAGATCGGCCAGCACGACAAATATGGCTAGATTTAGAGGAGGCTCTGTACAAGATTGTCAACAAGAAATCGACACAGGAACTCACTGAGGCAAAGCTTTGAGTTCTAGTCCAATGGCGATATTTAGTATACTGCCCTGAAATTGAAGATACGTAAAGCGTGCAGTTTAATGTATGAGGGATACAAAACGATCATCTAAAGGGATATCCTTCCTTCTTAGTCTCTACGCTCTTCTTCGCAACTTTGACAGTACGTTATGGGCGAGTTCTAGACAGGCACAGAGGTTACCAATAAGATATCATTATCATCATCATAAGATAAACTATGTTCTCAAAGATGAGAGCGGACCAGGTTATCGGCGTTGCTCGTATTCACGCGAGCGGGATTATCTAGTATTTCTCTCTTCAGAACATGTAGAGACTGGCAAGGAATGCAGCAACAACAACGGGAGCCTTCATGGTTTGTCCACCGGAAGTGGGTGTAGAGGAAGACACGCCTGTCGATGAAGAGCGGGCACTAGCGGTGCTCACTGAACTAGGGGTGGTGTTGGTACCGTTGCTAGGGGAGGTTACCGTGGAATTGGCTCCAAGACCACCGACCTTGCTAGTCGAGTTCCAGAGATTGACAGCAGGTGGGATGAGAGTCAAGATATCCGTGGTGTTGCCGCACTGTTTGGGGCTAGGGGCATCGTAATCAACGGTGAAGAAAGAAACGGCAGACTGGCAGCCGCCGTTGACGACAAGAGTCTCACCAGGCAGAGAGCAGTCGCCATTGATGCACTGGTTGACGCCGTCGGCAACCAGATCGCCGTAACGGAAAAGACCAGTGGTGGGATTGTAGACGGCCTTGTCGACAATAGCGCCGTTGGTCATGCGAGTTAGGACGTATGGAGGGTTCACGCAAGAATTGTTGGTGAAAGACGTGATGTAGGGAATGTTGACATTGACTCCATAGCCTAGTGGCAGGATACGCTTGCCAGCAGCCTTTGTGATGAAGGACTGGGCGAGGTTGGCAGCCAGACGGCCCGTGATGACGGCAGGGTCCTGCAGCCCGGCGGCGGTCGACTTATTTGTCCATGTATAGGGTGTTTGAACAGAGTAGGTGGCAGAGTAAGCAATGGCGGGAATACCACGCTCGACCGCGGCATAAGTTGCACCGATGGTACCAGACTAAAGAAGATTAGGCTTTCAGCTTTGGATGCGTCTTGGCTTGAAGAATGCTCACAATAGTATAGAGGAAAGGACCCAGGTTGAGACCGAAGTTGGGCCCAGAGAGAACAAGATCAACTGTGCTCAGATTGGCATACTTGGGCAAAACATAGTCGAGAGCGAGAAAGACCATAGTAGCTGGAGTTCCATTGTAGTAAAAGATGTTGGGGTCGATGGGGTCCTGGCCAAAAGCCGGAGCACCAGCTTTGATAAACCCTGGCAGCACAATTAATCTCGCCGTCTCAATTAAACAGGCGTTTACATAACATACCGAACTCGGAATCAGTAGTGAGGTTCTTCTCAGTACTGAAGACAGCACGGCCGCCCTGGCCAGACATATCGGTAGCCGAAGCTACAATCCAGGCATTATGACCATAAGCCTTGACAGCCTTGTACAACTCGCGGATGTTGGAGGTGAAAGCACCATCATCGTTCTAACACCAGCATCAGTTACCAGTCGAGCAAATCAGCTATTGGGAGTGTCAATTTTTGTGGCTTACAGTGATGAGGATGTTCAGTGCCTGGGTCGCTGCGGCAAAGCCGACAACGGAAGTGAAGGAAAATCTCATCTTGACGAGCGCTCCACGTTATAGTTTCGGCTTCGAGAATGATGGAGATAAAGAAGAAGTCGGAGATTTGGCGGAGGCTAGCTCACAGAGTCTGTCCAAATGCTCTTTATGGGACTGGGGAATTAGACTCTAGAAAATGAACATCGGGGAGCAACAGCTTTTTGTATCTATCGTGCAATCGCTGCACCATCAATCGGACGTATTTATCCAGTTTCTTAGCGTACTAAAAAGCTAGAGAGACCAGGATCAAAGAACCTAAATGGACAAACATCAATACTATTGATACACGTGCTACACCAGCAGATCTCAGTATCAATTATAAGCACCATCCTGAAGCAGGGTGGTTGGGGATCTCACCATGCCAAGAACACGATCAGGCAAGACTGCAGACGCTAGAAGAAGTCCATTGCCAAGCTGGGCTTCTGATTCCGATTTACCCGCTTCGGATTTGCCTCTACTGCGCGAGGCTACGAACCAGTTGGTTACAGTCCCGCACGCAACCTCGTTGCATCTGCTGGATCCTCTTGCCGAGACTCCGAGTAGTAGAAGTCCTTCTGGGGGTCCCCCCATCAGGTAGCAGGGCACGTGAAAGCAGACGCCGTGTGGTTGGTGCAAGACAACTGTGGTTGTATGATGGGCTCAGAATAGTTCGATCAGTCCATGGGCCATGGGTCGGATCTGGCGGCAAGATAGCCCACGTCATCGTCGGCACAAGAAGAAAGAGGGGCAATTCAGAATTGATCAATCAGCGTGTAGAGCCCAGGCGTTAATTAATTAGTCTCTTAAAGTAAGGTATGGTTCATAAACTCGCATGTCTAATTGAAGGTCTTGAAACAACAGGATCGACCTCATCCTTTTCCTTTGGGAGCCTGATAACTACGAACTGCATAACAAAACAATTTAGACTGATTATGGATGCTATCCTGTTTTGTATGTAGAATTGATTGCCAGATCTTAGACTGAATACTCGCATTCAAATGGAAATGCTGCTTTGATGGAGATCTGGGATCAATTCACCCGAATTCCATCTGAAGTATATGTTGTACTCAATTCTCAACAATCCGCCCAATTCGGAAATGATCAAATCCAAAGGAATGGCAGCTCGAAATATGGGACGGTAAATAGTAGAATCTGGGGTTGATTCTATGAGTATATTTTCTTATGGAGCGAGTTCGTGCACGAGATCGACTGGGGAAATAATCTACCTCCCAAAATCCTTGCATTTTTAAAACCAACCCTGCGAATGCCGAATCCCAGCTGAAGATCACCAAGGGTGGTATATTGGCAAGGCGAGCCAGATTTGTTCAATCTTGGAAATAGGAAATGCTATTCACACTAACATAGGCAGGGCATGAAAACTTGTGACTGTTGATTCAAAGTAAACATGCTCGGCCGAGGATGAGAAGGTCGAATTTAACTTCATTACCTAGTATTTCCAGTCTTTTGCGGCATGTGAGGAATGTGATTACCGCTCTGAAGTGGCTTGACTAGACCAATGCTCACAGACTAAGGCGTCGTTACTAGTATGCTTTAGTTTGAAGGGCCAGGTTCGCAAGACCTAATACCAGTTTGTCGAAAGAGATAGTGGAAGATTAGCCCCATCATTCAAGTTCTTATATACTGAAAGCCACCTGAGCACGGGCTATTTATCACTGTGTGGAGAGATTAATCTACTCTGTGCACAATCTACTCTGTGAAAAGCCGGCAAGCTCTCCAGCCATACTGGTGGAAATTAGAGATTTAAAGGGTCAATTCAGGCTAATATCTCATTAATCAAGATCAAGGTGAAAGCCGAATGCACTATGCCTGCTAATAGTGACATTCCTATTGCTTCTGATTGGGACCTCACGTGATAATCCATCCTGTCCTGTATTTCATCCGTTATCTGCAATGGAGTTATAAGTTTTATCTCCGAAGCTCTTGAGACGAATCGTCACCAGCGCCCAGGGCTGATTCTCAATCCTACCAACCTGCTTCGCCTTCAGAAGACCGAGTTGCTAAAACAGATATCGTAAGGCCATGTCTTGTCCCGAGTGCTTCACTGGGGCTATCCACCAGGGTAAGCTCCTCGGGTCGGAGGAAAGCATTGCAGGGATCAAGACGTACGTCGCAAGACCGTCTTCCAATTCAGCGTCAAATTCGACAATCATTTTCATCACCGATGCCTTTGGTTTCAATCTGGTCAATAGCAAACTGCTCGCTGACCAGTATGCTACCAAAATTGGCTGCACTGTCCTGGTCCCTGACATTATACCCGGTGGCGGGGTGCCCTTGGACACTCTAGCTCTGATGGAGTCGGTTGGGAAGCCGGTCGGCTGGTTCGATATTCGAGGTCAGATCCAACGTATCGTTTCGTTCGTGCGGATGATTTCGATTGTCATTCCCTTCGCCATCCGCACTCGCAACGCCTTCCCTGGGGTTCTTGCATATGCTCGAGCCGTGAGGGCGAACTTATCTCCTGAGGGGCGGCTAGGAGCGGCTGGATTTTGTTGGGGAGGTCTGCAGACAGTCAAACTCAGCCAGGAGCCTTCCATTGATGGCGGAGGCTCGCGACTTCTTGATGCCCATTTTACTGCTCATCCGGCTGGCTTGAAAGTGCCAGATGACTACCTGAAGGCTGCCAAGGCATTCCATGTCCCGATCAGTATCGCTGTTGGAGACGAGGACCGATTTCTGTCAAAGAATGACGTCGAGGCCATTGAGGCAGGGTTCCGGCAGGAGTATGGTCCATTGGAGAATGACTTCGAGGCTGTTGTCTATCCCAGCTGTGGGCATGGATTTGCTGTTCGTGCAGATGCTAGCAAAGCTGTCGAAAACGATGCTGCAAATAAGGCCGCGCTGCAAGCTGTTCAATGGTTCAAACGACACTTGAATTGAACTGGTTACAACGTTTGTCTACCCAACCCTAGCTGAGCCACTCGCGAGTGTCCCGATAAATGATTAGCCATGCGAGGAAGTAAGACACATTGCTGTCGCTACCTTTTACTATGGGGCAGGCCGTGGGAAAAAAACCTTGATCTTCGTGTTCATCCGAGTTCCGCTATTCAACCTTCGCTTCTCTATGCCTAACACATTGGTGAATACCAGCAACATCTACCAGGTCGTCGAGCGGAAGGAGGATGCCAGCCCCGAGGATAGTTTGAAAAAGGGAGATATAAAGGCAGAACCGCTTATAGAAAGATAAAGCTATATGTATAGCTAGCTCAGGAGAGGTAGAGGTTCCATCTAACAATTGGTGGTGTTATCGTATTCTCAATCCATGATAGCAAGGATATCTAATTGATGACCAATTTTGACTCTGACGCGAGTTCCTTGGCTGAGCTTAATTAATTTCGCTGGGATTAATAGTGAAGCTGATTGCATTAACAAGCGTCACGGCAATCGAAATGCATAGATTCACAAACTCATCGGTATTCTGAACATCGAGAGATTCTGTCAAGCACATGTATCTTCGTAAGAAAGACCACGAGTGCCGGCTCGCCACCTTGACATATGAGGCTGCGTTTGAAGACGATTTCGGGGACAGTTTATTCGAGTTGAAGTCTAAATCACTGCCATAGCTGGCCTCGCCTTTTACTGTTGTGGTAATCACTCGTCGAAGTAGGGCTTAGTTAGGAGCGAAACCGAACCAAGTAGTCACGCTGGTCGGATACAGTGACCATCGTTGTTAGATTTCGGCAGAAAGCGAGATCAATGTATAACTACCATGAGACGCAAGAATATTGTTTCATATCCACGGTGGATAAAGGCACCCTAAAACCCGCCATTGTCAAGACTTCATTCATCCTCACTTACACCCATTTGTGATCTGATAATTTAAGGCTCAAGTAACTGAAGTGACACTGAGTCACAACCCAAATTCAGTTTCAGAACAACTTTTACTTTTATTCAGTAACACACTGCCCACATTACACCGCCCTGGTATGCACGTTTGTACCATGTGAATCAAAACGCTTTGTCTTCATTGTGTTGAGATGTCGGGTCTGACATCTTCATTGTTGTTTTTACTTTGTGCCCGAACTCTCTCGTCAGTGAATCAGAACGCTCTCACATTTTCCTAAAGATATAGGTATCGCTCTGCAGAATATATAAAGGCCCATTCCCACCAGGAATATGTTTGAAGTCTAGATCCTGAGCAACCCGACCGACCACTCAAAGTCAACGCAATACTCCCAACATCAAAAAAAACAGTTTAACCAAAATCAACCGACACACTTGATACCCTTGAGCCAATCGTTGTCATTACGAAAAGCATAGGAAAGATGGACATGAAGGAAGGAAAGATGGACACGAAGGAAGCAAAGATGGCCACGAAGGAAGCAAAGAAGGAGTTGGTCCAGAAATTCGTCCATGAGAACGCGGTGAGCGTCGCAGTGACGAGGGGACGCATCGGCCAAACCAAGGAGGATATTGGGAAGGCCGAACAGGATCTTGGGAAGCCGAAGGGTAAAGACTCTCCCAAAGGTAAGTAACTTCCGTTGGCGAGAAATCGGCCGTTGAATGAATCCAGGATAAACTGTTGGAGGAGCCAATCGCTAACTGCCGGTAGAAGCGAGTCCTAAGGCCGAAGCAAGTCTTACAACTAAACAGAGGCTTGAAGGTGACCTAGCCGTCTTCGAGAGCGAGTTGAAGGTCCATAAGGCTGTGGAGGAGGAGTTGGACAAGATGTTGCCACCTATGGAGGAGCGCTGAGACACCCAGGCTCGTTACTGGATATGAATTCGTTTCTGGTTTCTGTAGACCGACCTCTTTTTCGTTCTAGAGAAGACTGAGAATTCAGAATACAACGTTTGAACCGCTTAACTGATAAATGTTACATATCACAGTGAAATATGATTCTAAACGACGATATGAGTACCTGGAAGAATTCCCTTAAGCGGTAGGTTGAGTATGCTACTACGTAAGTTCAAGAGGAACAAGTTCCAAGTGTATTAGTACAAGGTGCCTAGCAGTATCCTATTAGCGACCTTGCCTTTTATTTTTTGTCCCCAGGTGAATTATCCAGACAGCCGTATGCTCCGATATTAAACACTACTTAAACACCGATCAGACAAGTAGATCTCGTCGATCAAATCTTCTAGGTGGCGAATAACCTAGAACCGCCATGCTTTTTCTTTCAAGGCCTCCCTCCCAAGGTATGCCGGGCGCTCGTGCCAGAAGAAGTTGTCCACCTCCAGGGAAAACACCTGATAGATGAGATAGATGGAGCCGACGGCCGTCCAGGCGATGAAAACACTCCCGAGAGCGTCCCCATTCGAGGTATCAATGTCAATAAAACCCACCAGCGACCGCTTAAAATAAACCCCACAGAGAAGAAGGTCAAAGACGTGGCGGGCAAAGGTGAGTGCATAGACATGGCCAAGGGAGCGAGGGGCCTAGATGTGGCATTGGATCAGTAACGCGGTGCCCAATTACGCGGCGCGACAGGCTACTCACATCTCGAAGAGTCTTGTCCTTGGCCGTCAGGTAATTCACGTAAGAGAGAGCGGCGAGGAGGAAAAGCAGACCGGCCGTGCCAAACTCGATGAGGCAGCTCACCCAGTACGCCGACCCATTGTACATGCTGCTGAACCACGCAACCAGGCGGACCAGCTCCAGCAGAGGAACGCATTTGAAGGCAAGAAGACTGGCCCGGTGGACGGCGTTCCTGTTGGCGCCCTTCTTCTCGTCGCCCTTGATGTAGTCCGACGGGTAGCGCAGAGCGGTGGTGAGCTCGATCTGGGCCAGCAGAATGACGGGGAGGACGAACCTCGAGACCAGAGACATGAGGTGCTGGGTGTAGATCCGCAGCGCCCAGGAGTATATGTACACCCAGTCGGCGCTCACGCGAAGGACCAGCGTGCAGCCAGCCTCGAGCACCCAGAGGGCCAGCAGCCTGCCACGCGAACGGTTAGAGCCGATAACACAGTCGACGGGGCGGGTACGTACACTGTGACTCCCGCTATCGACTGTTTGATACGGGGGATGCACGGAGAGTCGGCCTGTCCGCGGTCGCGCAGCTTGAAGTACGAGGGCAGCACATGGCGAAGGTGGTAGCTGGACGCCGAGGCGACGGCGGCCAGTTCGAACAGGGCGCTGAGCAGCTCTTGGATATTCATCGTGCCCGCGGAAATGGAATCACCCCCCCAAGAAGTACCATTGGCGCTGTGCTCGGGTAGAGAGGTGAGTGTAGGACGCTCCCAGCCACCTTTCCGTTGTGGCCAGATCACTGCCGGTCCATCCATAAGCAGAGGAGCAGGGGGGAGCTTTCTTGGCAGTAGTGCTATTAATAGACATTGTGTCTCATCCTCCTCACATTTGTGTCTTGGGTATCATCCAGCATGTTGTGAAATACGACCTGAATATTCTTTGCGGTCGGGTGCGTGCTTGAAGGGGGGGAGCAGAGCCCAATGGTGCAGTGCCCAGAGCGGCCCGTGTTTTGGGCAGCAGTCCAAGGTATATGTAGCTACGTAATCAAGGTTGGTTTCACTGTATGTAGACAACCGGAATCTGAGGTTGTATTGTTTATGCGTTGGATGTAGGTAAGCAGCCACTGACGCACAATACGACAAGTGACAGAGGGGAGAGAAGAGGGGGAGGGAACACAAAAGCTGAAAGCCCTCTCGCGAGTCCCAGCCTAACTGACTTCCCTCTTTCATCTCAGGCCTGGCACACGACAAAGCCCATCATGGCAGAGTCTCTTGCCCAACCCTCGCAGCCACGGGTGCAGAGTCTGTTCCCGGGCGAGATTCACAACAACATCGTTCGGCTGCTCGGTCCCGTCGACTTGATCTCCCTCAGCCAGACTGATCGTTACTTCCGGCAGCTCATCAGCCCTGGAAAAAAGGAGCTTGCAGAGCGTCTCCTGGTCATAGAGTGCCTTGAGGAGCACGGAGGCGGCACGTCCTTATTCTTTACCACCCCCGAGGATCACACACATGTCCACGAGACGCTCGGTCCATGGGAGGCCAACCGCTGGGCTTGCCCGGGCTGTCTCAAGCTGCTCCCCCACCACCGGTTCGACAACAAGTCCCTCCTGTGCTTGGAAACCCGGAAGCCAGCGCCAGGAACACCAGCCGCTGATATTGCCAGCTCATGGGTCCCGACACAGCACAGGGAAAGCCCCGCGCAGGAGGCCAGACGCACCGGCCGACAAGTATACGACTATTATACGAGGGATTGTTCAGGCCATGAATCCGACCCCGTCACCGAAAACGAGCGTTGCGGATTCCACCGTCATCTTCGTAGATGCATCGAATGCCAACACCAGCTTGGGGTGATCGGAGGCTCAAACCTCCCACGGATGGGCCCCCTTCTGCAAACAAATCCAAACCGTCCCTCACGTGGGTGGGCAAAAGTCAGTGCCCGTACAAGCCGCGGGGTCTTGCTGAGCTCCGGGTTTGTTCGGTTCTGGCCCAAGCTCGACGAAATGCTTGAAAGCAAGGCCCCGTCCATCACGCCTCTCAGACCCAAGAGCATGCCCTGGCGCAGAGAGAAGAAGCTCTGGGAAATGTACATGATCCGCTGCGGTGGGTGCGAGGAATGGAAGGAGCTGCGAGCGTTCCGGATCGAAGGCTCGCGTCTGGACTGGTTGCCCGTTCGCATTAACAATGGAATCCCTCAGTGGTTCCCGCGTGACAGGGCCACGGAAGGCTCGAGGGCCAGGCTAGAGAACCGCCCGCTGGGAGACCTTCGGTGCCACCACTGCTTTGCCCGGGAGCACGGGGCTTTAGCACTGGGCGAGATCCTCGCGATCCGGTTCAAGATGAACATCCAGCCGCACATGTCCGAGCTGGAGTATCGGTTGCACTCCCACTACAACGCGGTCAAGTACCTGGCAGCCGAGGGGGAGGCAGAGAAGCACCGTCCGGCAGAGGATCCCTCGGGAGACTACGACGAACTGGTGCGGTTGGTGCGGCAGGGAGAAGAGATCAACACGGAGTTGAGCGAGAACCTCCAATGGAGGCTCAACCAAGCCCACGTTGACAGGCTGCGAAACGAAGCTAAAGAATTCAAAGCCCTATGGATCAGAATGCGCAAGTCTCATCCGAGCCTCGCTTCGAAACTTGGTAGAGACAAGAACTTTGTCTCATGGGTCAACGACTTTAAGAACTCAGAGGTCGAATGGAAGTGGCTCAAAGATTGCGAGAGCAAGGTCCTGGCTAACCCTACCTTGCTGCTCAAGTACGCGCTGAACCAGGATGTCCCGGGTTCGTACTGAGCGCCCGCGCGGCATTGTCTTTGCTCGCAAGATGAATTGCCTGGGGATGTGACAATGGAAGGGTATCCAGGCATCCAAGACTGCTTTCTTTATGAGGATTTCTTAGTATGTGGATGGCATGATATGAAGAGATGCTGATTGACTTGCTTTCTTGTTGGTACAGAATGACCAGGAGGATATTGAAAGGACCCAGTCTCTGGGGATTATGATTAATGAATAAAATTTCCTTTGTTTCTAATGCTAAGTGTTTGCAATCGCCGCTCTTGCCAGTGAACTACGGAACTGCTCCGCGTGACTTAATGATGCAGAGGGGCAGCTTTGCCCTGACGTTGAATGCCGATGAGTGTGGTGGAGAATGGGCTGCGAGATGAAAGTTCAAGCTAATATCGACCCTTACTCTATTTCGACGTCGGGTAAATCGGATGGGCAAGTGGGTGGGATAGCTGGACGAGGGCAGTGGTGACAATGGCGACGGCACAAAGGGTGCTGGTGAGCCACTTGGGGCTACGTGAAGCTACCACCACATGATGTTCATAGCCCACTGCTCGCCATTGTTCACTTTGTTTGATACCAGCCTTTGATTTCTTGGCACGTACAAACGTACCAGTCTGGCACTGCTCTGGTAGTGTATGCCACCGAATGGCTATAAAGGACGCCGAGGAAGCTCTAAGGATCTTGGATTTTTCTCCCCCAGACACTACAGTATCCCAGGCGAACGTATGCCAGACAAGCTCGACAAGCCCGTAAAATCGTACCTATCTTGCAGCGACAGTAGCATCGTTGTGCGCTACATCATCTCCGTAAAAAATGGCCTCTAGACAGCGAGAAAACACATTCTCCACGGCACCGTGGAAGGCTCCAGCCAACCGTAGTCATCACATGGATGTGGGAGAAGCCGGAAGCTGGATGGATGGCTTTGGCCGGAGCAGTGGCTCCGGTGAAGTGATCCATCACATCAGTGAAGGCTACGACTTCACTAATGCACTCACATCACCGATTTACCCCTACAGTAGAGATGCTCAGATAGTTAATGAGCAACTAGAACACTTTTATCACGACGAGAGCCCGTCAAACCGCGAGGTCCGGCGTTGGCTTGGAGATCCGGACGATATCAAGCGACGCGGTATCTTCATCAACTGCTTCATCCGCCACCAATGGCAGAACCTTGGCGTGTGGAATGACAATTGGGGCATCCCAGGCCTCCCTGGCTACCAAAATGACATTGCCAACTGGAAGTGGAGATGGAAGGAGAACGAAGACCAGTACGACTTCCTTGCCGCATACCGGGAGAAGAAACATCTCGCGCATATACGGAGGGCAGCTCGAATGGCGTTCGCCCTGACACCGCGGAGCAAACAGGCCTGTTTGAGAAGAAAACCCACCGTGGCTGAGGCTGAGGGGTACCTCAGCTCCCGGCCGTGGTTTGTGCATGGTGTGCAGGTCAAGGCCATGAGGGCTCGGGTTGGAAATCACGACGGCCATAAAGCGGCCCGGCGCGTGCGAATTACATGGAGACTGCAAGGCAAATGGGAGTCCGAATGGGATCACTATTCTCCCGGCTGGAGATGGGGTGGTGACGACATGGCGATCGCCAACCCCCAGTTCCTGCTGAATTTGCTGTCCGACAATGAAAAGAAAGCCTTGGGGCTTCAAGACAATCCCGCCTGTCCTCCGAGACACAGGGGGCACTACTCCTTGTCAGCAGGCCAGTCCTCAAGGAGCTCCGATACTCGCTGGAATGAGACCCCCAGAGGCCAGAACGTTGGCCACAGAAGACACCAGAGCAATCAGTGGCCGCCGGATATCGGGCATCATCACAACGGCACAAAGGCCTGCGCGTACCAGCACAAGGAGACAACGAGAGACAACAGGCCTCAGGCATTCACCGGCTATCGGCGCTTCAGCGAGGCGTATTTTGCCCGTGACTGGTCTCCCTTCGGAGATCATCCGGCCTCCTCTGGTGCTACAGGTCCTGTGCAGATCCTTGTGGATGGGGACAATGGCGAAGAGATATCGGAGGCCATCTCTCCTCTGGCACCGAGGATCCAAATTTCCATTGAAAATTTCAACCTGGGCCTGAGCCCTGCTCAATTCAGTCTATGAATACCTAAGCCAGGTTACAGATGATGGCAAAAGATGAAAAAGAAAAAGGAAAGCTAGCCTAAGGGAATACCAGTGGTGGTAATATGCTAAAAATGACAGGTCGCGTATCCTGAGGCCAGCTTTTCTGTAATTTCCCCCCCTCCAGCTCGTCGCATTCATTGAAGGTATCCCCGTGTAAAATGCAATGTACCCAAGAACCCAAAGCAGTAAAATCGTATAAACACAAGCAAGAATCAATCTGTTTAATACCCTGTCCCTGTGATGGGACCTACCTGAGGTCAACGTATGTCTTAAAATCCCAAGAAGCAACGCCAAAACGCCATATCCTTCTAGCAGTGTGGGGTCGTGAGATGGATATATCATGGCAGAGAAAAATATGCACCGTAGTCGAAGTCATCGTCATCATCATTGTCATCGTCAGATAGGTCAGCATTAGCAGGTTGATTCGTGTTCCCGGGTGGACCTTGGGGAGCCGGTGGAGGAGGAGGAGGAGGATCGAGGTAGGATAAATTAGGGTCGATCGGGATTTCTTCCTGGTCCAGCGGGGGGATTGGGGAGGGACGAGCCGGGCGATGGGACCGCTGACGAGGGTGAGGTTGATGATGAGAGTTTTGATAGTACATATTCATCCCCATGCCCATATTGAGGAGAGATGGAGAGATTGTGGTGCCAACGCCAGAGGGAGAGGCAGCCGCTGAAGCAGCCCGGGCAGCAGCAGAGGCTGACCGCTGAACACGATGCGGCAGCGAGCTTTGGTGATGGGGCAGCAGTGAAGGAGGCACCTGTAGCGGGTGAGCTACAGTGGGAAACAGGCCAGCAACAGCGGGGGCATGTGCCGGAGCCACGGGCTGTGGCTGTGGTGGGGGATGAGGCTGGGGCTGAGGAGGAGGCTGCTGAGGCTGCTGTAAGGCAACCGCTGGACGGTTCGCATGGGGATGGGCATGGAGATGGTTCGCATGGGGAGGAGGAGCATGAGCGTCGGCATGGGCATCGCTGGGAGGGAACCTAAGCCTCCGAGGATGTTCTGCCTGGCTCGCAAGCTCCAGCATCCGGCGGCCAAGGTAGTCGCTCAAGCGTGAAAGCCAGGCGGTCATGTCTTCGCCCTCTGCCCGCTCGATGTTGATGGCGGGAGGTGGGGAGAGCAGGGCTGTCTGGAGTGCAGCCTGGAAGTCTGGGGAGAGAATCGACCGGGTTTCAGTCAGGTAATCGGGAACGTAAGGTGATTCCGGCGCAGGATGCTTAAAGAAGAAAGTTTCCCAAGCCCAATAGTACTTTCTCTCATCGGTAGCACCTCGCGGGGCATACGCCAGGTGCTCGATCTCGTCCACGGTGAAGTTCTCCGGTCTCAAGGCAGTATTGGGCTCGTTGCAGCTCTGCGAGTGCAGCTCCCACGCGTCATGGTCCTCAAACTCCACGAGACAGCATCTGCTACAGTAGTACTCCTTCACCTTGTGGCAGCGAATCAGGTGTTGCTTCACATCAGCGAAGCGCTTGAGCTCATACTTTGCCCAGCAGCGAGAATAGCGGTGCGGATCCATCTTGTAGTACGGACACGCCAGAAAGCGGCCGTCCCACTCGCCCTCGTCATCGTGGCGATGGAAGGGGCCTGGGCCGCCGCGCTTCTTCTCGTCTCTACCATCATCTTGGCCCCGTTTGCGTTTGCCCGGGCCCTTTTTATTATTACCACTACCTCTACTACTTCTCCCCTTGCCGCCTGCCCCATCCGCGGACGGCGCCCAACCGCCCGTCGATTGCGAGCCCTGAGCCACACCACCGAAGCTGACAATCCCCGCAGACAAGACGGCATTGGCCAAGACCCAGCGAACAAAGACACCTCGCGACTGGTCCTCGATTTGCCACTTGTCTTCGTCGTGTGCCGCGGTTGAGGGAGAGGCGGCAGCACTGTTCGATTTTTGGTCGGTGGGCTCGTCGCGTTGGGGCGGAGGGTGGACTACGACAGGCTTGTGGGCACCATCATGATCGTAGGGAGCATCAAGGGGAGCGTCGCAGAGAGCAGCATGTTGGGAGGGCTTCGGTCCGGCTTCTATTGGTCGTTGGTGTTAGTTGTCATGCGAACCAGGGACGCAAGCGCGTGGGGTGGAGAGAGGAAAGGAAAGTAATTACCATTGGCCTCATGGCAGAGGAGGTTGTTGTCAGTGGAGGAAACGTAGTTGGCGAAGTACCGGTAGCAGGTGGTCACCTGCGCTCCTGCCGTTGCCTTGATGTTGCTGTTGGCCTTGGAGCATGCCTTGGGAGCAGCCTGAGAGTGGGAGCCCTCGTCATCGTGATTGCAGACCGGTGGCGGCAGTGGCTGCGCGCCAACGGCAGCCGTTTGTTTGGCACCCGCGCGATTGACACTGATCTTCGCACTGTTGGAACGCTTGAGGGCTCTGGCTGCTCGCTTTTCCCTTTCTCTTTCGTGTCGCCGCCTGACGGTGCGGGGGAGAGATCGAGGAGAGCTAAAGGCCGCGGCCACCACTGCAACAGCGCTGTTGGCGATCCCCACAGCGGCCTCCAGGACGGGCCGCAGCGCTGGAGGCCAGCTAAAACGTGACTCAGCACACTGGACGTACTGGATGCCCTGCGCGATCAGCGTGGCCGAGAGTAGAACAAACATCCAGTCACAAAACGAGGAGCCGACAACCATGCTATCCGTCTGCATTGCGGCGGCTGTTTCAAATGGGACCAATCCCTTGGGCGGAGTCAAACTTTCTTTTCGCTTTCTTCTTTTTTTCGTTCTTCTTTTCTCGTATTTCGGTAGCAAGGAGACACGGAGTGAGGGTGGACGGAGAGGACAAGTCAACTGAGGCCTGCAGGGTAGGTAAATGAGCAAGACCCTACGTGGCTGGCCTCGATTGTCCTCGTCGAGTGAGGCGGGTGTGATATTATGCAGATTACGGTCGTTGGATGTTGCGATCACTGTTGGTCCGGGAGGGTTGCCTGTGCTTATAGATGTGGGCATAGCACTGGAAGCAAGTATACAGAGGTACCATTCATTCTTATTCGAGGCCATCAGCAGCAGAGCCGCGTTAATGAGCACAACAGTCACTCTAGCACAAATGTGCACCCCGATGGGATGATGGGATGCGCGAGGCAACACCTCGCTCTCTCCACCCAGCAGAGAGGCAGACGCTAAGCTGCGTAGCATCTACATTAGCTCTACAGGGGCTATGCTGGAGTACACCTTACTGGCTGAGCCACTCTCGCTCCCAACCTGATACAAACGGTGCAACTGGATACCCGACACGGCTGGACGTTGGCTTTACGAGGGAAGGCACCGGAAGTCAAGCGAACCTGATAGCAAGAGGGAGCCACAATGAGAAGCCCAAGAGAGACTGAGGAATGTGGGAGAGGCGTCCAAGGGCCCCCTGGCTGATTCGCCCTGTAGGTCTATAGGCCTGTTTGAAGGGAGGCATATACTCGATCTAGGCCTGTCTGTAATACGGACCTCCATCGATGCTGTTTGCCCGGCCTCTGTTTGTTTGATTGCTGGCAGCCAAGCCATCCAACCACATCCGTACCGGACAGAACATCATGATCCATCCGGATCCCATCCAGCACCCTGCAAGCCCCCAGCACCCCGATTCGGCTGGGCCACTCACCACTCGGGCGTTGCTCGGCTGGCCGTTTTTCCACATACAAGCCGCTAGGCGAGATCCCCGCCTCACCTTTGGCATCAGATTGGCTACAGGGGCTTCGGGGTCGGGTTTTACGGTTTCACCTCCAGCAGCGATGGCCCACATTGGCCCTTGATCTCGCAGCACCAAAGGGACGGTACCTAACAACCCATCCGTGCGTACATTTGTACGGTACAACTTCGTACAATGTCCCGAATGGCAGGGAAATATCCGCTAGTACCCCCGTGCCGAGCCCATCCAGACGGACCACGTCAGTGACCCCCCCAAGCAAGCCCAGGTCACTAGTACAGCAGTCCGCAGATGGTTCGCAATTCCAGTGGGCACAATCCGGATAAAAACAAAAGTCATATGATCCTCTCCCAATGCTCAACAATCAGGCCGTAGCGTAAAGCCACTAGTTAGCCAGCCAGAGCCGTTGCAGACGTTTCGCCACGATGCAAGCAAGCTAGAGCCATAATTCACCGGCCACCACTCAGTCGGTGCCAGCAGAGCAGCCAGCAGGGAACCGGAGTCGATCGAAAATCATGACTAGCCTGTAAGATGCCCGGGATGTGGGGGAAGCACGATGGTTGGATGGCAATTCTCCCCAATTCCCATACCCGTGGCCAGTGCGCGATCTTGTCTATATTTTAATCTACGGCCATCTCCGTGGATTGGGAATCCATCTGCCGCTAGAGATTGAGATTAATGACATGCCAAAGCCTTCTTTGTGCCCAACAGAAAGACCGGTCGTGCTGTGCCGCCTCAACATGACGCGGCATAACAGATTGCTGGCACTCCGTCTGCGGAAGGAATTTGTCCATTCCAGACTAGATGAGGTTGAGGTCTGGAATCGCCATTTCCGAGCCGGTACTTGCGTGTATGGCTATGTTGTCACATCGCACCATGACTAGTAAGTTGGGCCAACACAACGGCGGATGATGCCACTGGCCGAGGCGGCATGCCACGACGAGGAGGCCTGCGAGCCATTCGATGGGGCACGAATCCTTTCTTGGCGCCCAGGTATTGAGTGGCATAGGCAGCTGGGTGGAACGAACACTCCCCAGACCAACCCCGAGGATCAGCTCGTAGCCCCGGACGGAGAAGCGCCAGTCGGCCGAAAGCCAGACAACTGATGATATTGGGCAAGTAGCACCATGTATCATTGGGCTCGATGATGCTTCCTTTGTCCCCTCACCTGATTAATGTTTTGGACCTCGATAGGATGGCATCATGCGCGCCTTCTCGGTTATTTTCGCTCTTGAGGCTGCCGTTTGGTGCATTTGGCCCATTGATCCCTCCATGGCACCCTGCCACCAATAAAAGATCGCACACATTTGTGAGGACCAAGTCTGACATTGAGCATTAGGCACAGCCCCAGCCCCAATTTGTTCGCCCAGCGTCCGCCTCATCATTCCTCTGGTGAAGTAGGCTGCCACTTCGCACATTTGCTAGGCGTGTACATGCATCACACGCGCTTTCCAAGCGATTTTGTGTGCGGATGTTTACATTGCATGTATCTGTCTCGCGTACCAAAGAGAATAGAATAAAACCAAAAGTATCCATCCAGCATTTGTGATTCCCATCCTTTGGTGCGCGCAGAACCCCTCACCATCGCTGCCCAACGACTGCTCAAACCCCCAATCCCTGGGCCCTTGATACTTCACCTTAGTCAGTTTCCGCGCCATTATTGACAGGTTCACGAGTCACTGGACTCGTCTAGCCTAAAATGAATCCTCCTTCGTATAACATGAGCTTCTGCAAGGGGGGAGGGTACATGTGGGAGGAAGGGCAGAATACACGATCGCAGCCCGAGCATGACCAGAACCTCAAGGATATGGGATTCAACCTGCCGTACGATTGCTATAGTGCGTCGCTCTCATCGGGCAGCGGCCTGGAAACGGCGGCACCCTCACCAGGGACCGAATTCTCTCCGGACCTGCGAGCCATACCACCAATGAGTGACATCTCGCTCGACAGTATGACCCAATCTCTTCCCATATAATAATGTACCATCTAACCCTTGGTGACTAGATCTAGCGGGTGATATCTACTTGCGGAGTCTTAGTGATCCTGCCATCCACCACGTCCACAAGTATGAGGGCACGGTTATGAACCCTCAGTATCCGCCCTACATCGAGGACTGTACGCTCCATCCGGTTCACCAGCCCGTTGTGTTGTGCAACGGGACGTACCATCCTCGAACCCAGTCTTTGGACAGTTGTCTGTCGGCGCCAATGATGCCTGCTGGCTCTGGCGAGGACTATCTAAGTGAGGTGATAGTCCCGGCGCCACCACCAAACATGGAGAGAAATGGACACTTTGAACGCGCCAATGACTTGGGAAGCAACAAAGACCAGAATATCGAAATTCCCCAAACAGCAAAGACTGGAGAATCAACATCTACCTCTGGGGCAATGTCAAAAGCACCAGAGGAAGAAGCAGCCCAGGTCAAGGCAGAAGTCAAAGAAGAAATCGTCTTGCAAGTCAAGGACAAGTCAGACGTTGCACAGAAAAAACGCAAGCGAAGCCAAAAAGACAGCATAAGCGAGGATTCCACCGAGGAGTTGCTCTTCGCGTGTCCCCTCTACAGGAAATATCCGCTTCAGAACATGGACTGCGTAAACCGCAAGCTCACGCGGATCCGGGACGTGAAGCAGCATTTGCTGCGACGGCATCTTGCGTTTCGCTGCCCCATCTGCAATATACCGCTCCCTTCCGCGGCGCGCAAGGAGGAGCACATCATGGAGCAGGACTGCAGCCCGGCCGAAGCCGCGGAGAGGTTCGGCCCTGATGGCATCACCCAGGAAGTGCATGACATATTGAAGAAGAGGAGCCACAGAGGGAAGCCCCCAACCACCAAGTGGTATGAGGTGTGGGAGATCATCTTTGGCGACACGAATCGGGAAGAAAGACCGTTCCTGGGTCCCATGATGGAGGAGACGGCCAAGTTGATGCGGGACGTCTGGGATAAAGAGAGCAGATCCATTGTCCAAGACGTCGTGTTGGATGGCAGTGACAATCAAAATAAAGCTGAGCAACAAATGGAGGCCATGATGGCCATGTTCGAGAAGGTCCAGGACCGATTCGAAACACGCATCCACGAGCTGACAAGTCATGAATCCTCATCTGAGAAGAGCAGCCCCGTGATGGCTGCCAACCAGCCGCTGGCGAAAGCAAAATACCCCAGCAACACACCAAACACAAAAAACACCGGTAGAGTCTCGCCCCAGCCGGACGGCGGCGACCATGCCCCCAAAACAGAAGAGTCCGGTATCCCATCACTACCCTCTAGCTCGGGGGATACAATGAGCCATTATACGTTATCTTCACCCAACGATGCCAAACAAGGCCGTGGGCTCAAAGGCCACAGTGCCAGCTGGCCTACCACATCGCAGGCCTCGCTTGACAAGAACGGATCTCCGCGGAGCGTGTACTCGATGGCGTCACTTACACGGTCTCTGACCTGAAACTAACGAATGGTATCTTTTATTGAATTTCGATTATGTCTTCTTCAAGCCTTCTGGTGTTGGACCGGATAAGAGGGACTATGGAAGCACAGGTAAGTCACATGTGGGTTTTCCGTCGAGGTACAGGCGGCCCTGAGCTCAAAAGGGTTTTGCTCGTGGTAAGATTCAAACTAGAACCGGACTTACAGGCATAGTGCACCAAACCAAGTGCTCCCAGCATCCCCGTTTCCAGTTCTGTGTGTCCTTAAACGACAGGACGTTTAATTTCCTCGAGTCAACACAGACAAAAAAAAAAGTAAACAAAAAATTATAGAAAGAGCATTATATGAAAAAAAAAAAAGAGAGATTACTTGAAGGATTACGAAAATTTCGCTATTTCCTTTCATTATTCATCATTAAGTGTTAGACAATCCAACTGAATCCATGTAATTCGCTCGAGCTAATAGACGTTCAGGCCTTTGCTGAGAGTCCTTGTGCCGTCAAGTTATCTTTTTCTTTGACAATTATCATTTCAACCTACCCTCCCTTATGTAAGTTGGCAGGAACCTCTCTGGTGATTTAGTTACAAAAGTTAGGTTCGATCAACAGCGCATAGTTGACCCTATTTTCTCAACTCTTAGATACGCCCTCGTAACGCACTGGATTTGAACATTCAACTACCTGTGACTATATGGAGCAACGCCTCGTTGCGTTGTATGGTTGTCGCCAGGGCTATCTTTTGAAAAGTACACGTATTCCAAAACCAAACAGTTTACCGAGGCTCCCGCTTCTCTAGGCCGAAGGGATCTAGTGGGAAAATTGGGCTGCTGCATGCCGTCTGGCTTATCTAGTAAATCATACTACATCCCCCTCGCATATCATCCCACGTGTCGCTATCGGACTAGCTAAACAGAAGTAGTGTTCCCGTCACCTGAGATCGTGATGACTCTGTTTCCGCCTCGAGCCCCAAAGATGACCTGGTCATCTCTAATAGGCAAAACTTTTCGATTCTTTGATCGTGAACTAGTGTGTCCATTTGTGTTCGTAGAAACAGCATGTAAACGGTATGAGACTTGTATGAGCGTGCTTCCGAATGTCGCTTTAATTTTCCTTGAGACCTAGAGTCTCGGCCCAAAGAAAAGTATACTCGAGTTCTAGGTAGTTTAGTTTGAATATTATAGGCGAATCCTCCATAGTCTGGTCAAACAAACTAGATATGGGCCTTATAAGCTCACGGGCTGAAAACTACGATCGTATGATTTGAATAGTATCGTTTATCATAGACTAGATCTCGGTAGTCAACTGGAACCAGTTAGAAAAAGCCGCAGGTGCGATGGCGTTGTTTTTCAAGACCGTTAGCGGATTTAACACATCAACACAGAATATTCTGACTCTCTGCGACATAAAGTGCGCATAGTTTGCCAAGCTAGAAGACCGTAACGTGCTAGAGGATGTGGTTTGGTTCTCTAGGGTTAGAAACATTGATACTTGTCCTCTTCCCCTTGAAATATGAAGGGCCCCATCAGAGGGGACAGGGTACTGACAGATTCAAGATTGGCGGATCAGTTGTCGCAATGGTCTATAGCCTGAGAAGATGAAGACTGGTATAGAGCTGGCTGGGTGCTCGTTGGTTAAACTGATGATAGGCCCTGCATCACCTTTCTGTTAATACATTATGATATCATGCTCAATCCGACTGTCACCCCTCAAAAGGACGATAGATAGTTTATCTTCTAGAGGCGCCGTTAAACCGGGTATTGATTTATTAATTATTTTAATCACTATATGTAAGGTATATCCTAAGATCAGGCCATACACATAATATATACTTCATAGAGGTTAATATAAATTATACTCTTAAACCCATTAGATCACATAATCGTTCGCCAGACATAAAAAGTGAAGTTACCGAGTATCACCAGATTTTTCTGTGGCTGTTTCTACTGGTACCCTCTTCTCTAGCACTTTTAGTAAAGAACGCAAGCTAAGCGGTAAGGATAACAATTTCTTACGGTTTGTAGTGACGCTCATTTGAAGTACCAAAAAATGGATAATATACGGTCAATCGAGAAGCCCGGTTCGTGGATGCAAGACTTCAACCAACAACTCAATCGTCTATACTTATGTGACCCCTTTTGGGCCCTCAAGAGGTATTGAGATTTCTCTATAACTAAATCTTTGGTGTGGTAAGATGAGACTTTCAGTGAAACCTTCCCATGCATTGGGCGTTTTAAAGTTCAAAATTACGTATCTCCGGTGGACGATGGTGTTCGACTAGCCCGACTGGTACCGACAAAGAGCCAACTTGTTCAACAATAGTCCGGCACATATGATGGAGTCAGTCTATGTTGATGGGGTGAAAATTACTTTTGCGGTTTCATGAAGGTTGTGCCTGAACTTGAGAGGACAACCCCGACCTGACACACAACTTCCCAAGCATCGCTCGGGAAGCCCAAGGTACCCCCCTGCTAGTGCTGAGTCTGGTGAACGCTCGAGTTTCTATGTTAATACGAGTACAGCCCTTTCAGCCAGGCACCCACCGTCAGACGGGTCCATTATGGAGAACGTTCGGGCTTCCTGAATCCAGAACCGTGGCCAACCCCCGAGCCCCGCCACCACCACAAGCCAATCAGAGTTGCACAACAAATCACTCGGACTTCTACATCCTGCCGAAACGTGCCACTGCTGATGGGGGGTTAAGGTTTTGATTTTATTCGATTCATCATTGATTTGATGAACAGAAACAGCAAGGACGCATCCGTTAGAAAGCAAGAGAAGCATTCTAAGCCCCAGTTCAGCACATACTGCATCACCTCCCGCAATGGCCGCCATCAATACCGAGGTGCTGGCACAACTTTCTTCCACTCCACTCAAGGAATCGATCCCTGCCGAGGCACTCCAAGACGCCCTCTCGCGACCGCCTTTTATCGCCTTGCCCGGATCGTTCAATGTTCGTGATGTAGGGGCCTATTCGGCCGGGTATGTCAAACCCCGAGTTATCTTCAGGTCAGGCATGCTGGACAATATCCCAGAAGCGAGTTGGCCCATCTTGAGGAGCGAACTTGGTCTCTCCAAGATCTACGACTTCCGTCGAGCAGATGAGGTCAAAGTCCCTCTCTGTAACACGGATGGCATCGAGGTTATTTCCTGCCCCTATAACGACGGCTCAAAGGACGCCCCAGAATTCTTGTCCGCCGTTTTCGCCATCTCGGATAGCGCCGCGGTGGATAAGGCGTACAGCGACTTGTACGATGTTATCCTCAAAGGCCATTTGTCCGGTTACAAGCAGGTCTTTGAGAAACTCAAGACCGCGAAGGAAGATGACGCTGTGCTCTACCATTGCACCGGTATTGTTCCAAACCCCCTACAATAACGTCAATTTCTAATTCTTCTGGTGCAGCTGGAAAGGACCGCACTGGCATTATGACAGCCCTGATCTTTGATCTGGTTGGGGCTCCCAACGAGGTTATCGTGAATGAATATGCGCTCACAAGAATCGGCCTGGAGCCCCACCGAGAGAAATTCCTTCCACATATCATCAAGAGCTACGGCAAGGACAGGTCGGTAATAAACCCGGATGGCACTCCGAGCGAGGAGGTCATAGATAAACTTTCCCATCTGCTTGGGTCTTACAAGGAGGTCATGGCCGCCTTCCTTGAACGCCTTAAGGAGGAATACGGAGGTGCAGAGGGCTATATGAAGAATCATCTTGGGCTATCAGACGACGATATCAACGAAATCCGAACAAACTTGAAGCCAAGCGCATAAAGTGATGGATGAGCAAATATTTGAGACTCGGTTAAGAATGGGCTTCAGACATCATACCGTTATTATACCACGACGCTCGCGGCAGATGTGCCACTCTCTTCTAGATATCGGGCTCTTTTACTTCATTTATCGAACATAATTGTCACAATTGCTTTGATTGATAGAACAATATACCCTACCTATGTAGGTATTGATGGACAGTCACCCCGAATCGACGGTAATCATGTGTCATGTTTCTCTCAGGGATTACTTGGTTAGATGGGTAAAGAAAATATCAAATTTCGCGTACAGTGACTAATTCACCAAGGCAACAGATATTCTAGACAAACAGAGATAGCCTAATTGGGTGGTGATGGGTCTCATAGATGAATAAACGTCTCTTGGAGGTACGTTTCTGTGAGTAAGGTCTGGTAGCGACGCCAATTGTGATGCTATAGATTACTAAACTGCAACCCCAAAAGTCAGATTTGCTCTTTTCAATCGGTTTACATTTGCTGGTAACTATATTTCAATGTGGCTGTCTAATTCTTTGCCCCCGATCAGCGTATATAGGCACCTGTGTTCGTATTGTATTAGGTTCGGCCCTTACAGCACATTATCTCACTTGTAAAAAGACACATGTCATAAACTATCCTCAAAAGATCCTGTAAGGACACACTGAGATGAGGGTCCGCCAAGGTGGATGTAGATCCAATACTACGTGAACAGTGGTGAACAACGTGCAACACCAATAACTTAGGTAAACTATCTCCCTGTTTTTATCATCTAATTTGATATTCGTTGTGTTGAGATGTCGGATCTGGCATCTTCATTACTGTTTTTTTTTCTTTGGGTTCGAACTCTCTCACCCTTATCATCTAATTTGAAGCATAGACTCTACTACATAGTTTTAGTTGAACTCTCAATATATGTGTTCGACATACATTCCTATTTGAAGGTTTTGCTGGGCCCTATGGTGCGGCTCGAGTTATGGCACAAGTTTGAGCATGCCGAGCAATATACCTCTTGTCAATGACCTCACCTCTGATTACACCACAGCAGAATCATCATATCTTCTTATTATATTAAAACCTCCAGAATAGGTTTTGAAACTTCCTATTAAGTAAAATCATTATCTATCTACTCTATCGATGCTCTTCTGTCCCCGATTCCTTGATGTGTATAGTCCTGGCTACCCTTATGCTGACAAAAGCAAATGCAGAAAGAAAAGAAAGTGTCAAAAAGACAGACAAAAGAAATAGCATCTAGTACCTAGGTGCCCTAAAATCTTTCGAATGAGTGATGTATGTAGCCAGACAGAATACGAGAAAGCTCAGAGAGGTGCATTGAATGATGCCCCTGAAGCTAATCAAGTCTCACTGCTAGTTGGTCGATCTCGCAAGACTCGGTCAAGTATATCTTGCAAGACAAGCTTAGAGAGAGCGGCGATCTCTTCCGGCTCATGCTGGTCCGGGATTCCCTGCTTCCCCATATACTCTGAAACTAGATCCAGCCCACTTGCCTCCCAAAAGTCTCGAATAATAGAGATTTCCAGCTCACAACCCGAAGTCATGTAGGGTTGCGGGACGTCACCAGAGGCGGGAAAGACAGTATTCCAAATGCGAGCCCATCTTCTTGTCTCTCCGAGCTGAATCCTATCCTTCTTCTCAAGTCTCCGTTTCTGGCGCTCGTTGACCCCATCGACCTCCCCCTGGCTCACCTGGCATACCCGAGCACGAACGTGGTTATCCCGAACCAGGGCTCGCTCAAAAGGCTGCCGACAAATAGGACAGTATGGGGGCTCGGTGTGGTCTTCTTGTAGATGGTGAATGACGTCTTCAATGCATTGAAGATCGTGCCCTAGCAGGCAAGCCTGATATTTCTCTGGGTTGCGGAGATAATATGGGCATGAGAGGTGGAAATAGCCGCGCTGGCGGGGTATGATTACCATATTAGGGTCTTCGAACGCTTCTTCGTCTTCATGCAACGAATTCCAGTTCGTTGTTCGAGCGCGCTTAAGAGGCGGGAGCCTATCATCTGGCGGCGCCCTGTATTCGGCTGTTGAAACACATATCTGTACACTGTCAAATACAGAGTTTAGGATATCTGGGCGCAAGCTATGTAGTTTGTTGCTCTCCTCAAGGATATATTCCTCCTCTGGTTCATAGTCTGATGACGCCCTGAGTCGATCACTTCCAGAGCCGTCATCCGAATCACTGTCAGAATCGGTGCTTGAGTCGTCAGACTCTGACTCGGAAGAGTCTGAGCTGTAGTAGCCCTGGTAGACCCTTGGGAGACTCCTACGGCTCGCATAGGGTGGCAGAGGTCTTCCAGATCTAGTCCTTTTAAGCCCAGTGGGCTCCTAAAACACGTAAGGAACTGCCCAACGGGGAACGTTCATATCGGGTCTTACCTTCGATCGAAGTGCTATGCTCGGCTCTCCTTCTGATTGGCGGTGGTTAGGAGGCATCCCTATGTATCCCCTTGTACTCAGAAATTGGTCGAATTTCTCGATATGCGTTCTCAGATTCCCGGCAGTTATTGGATCGGCGTCTCGTATGATATCAATTGTCTGCTTCCGAGGAGAAGTTGGAATACGAGTGTGAGCCGAGGTAAGGCCAACCCGTACGTATACTCCTTCACATTCACGGAGCTTAATGGCGATTCGGGGCTCGGAGCTGGCGTCTGCCGGAGTGAGCTTTCTGATATCAAGAAAAGTGAACAATCCCTGCTTGATGACCGGGCCTCGAATTTCGGCTCCGTTGTTGGTAAAGCGGACTTTGCTGTCAAACCTCCATGGCGCTAGGTTTGTATCTTGGTATGCTAAGAAATGGGCAAATTCCGCTGGCGAGTGGGCGAATATGCCTCTGATCTCCGGGCCGTTACTACCAGCCCTCCAAGCAAATATTGAGCTATCTCGAGAGACATGCAAGACTCGTTCCTGCAAGCGACAAAATGCTCTTGTTCTCCCCTCGCCATAGATGATTTGCATCTCTACGCCGAGAATGGGCGCCAGGGAGTAAATCAGGTCTTCAGGCTGAGTAGAAGATTTGGTCGCATACCAGGCGATTCGAATGCCGACCGCGACATTAGCCAAGGCCGCCGGCTCTCGGAGAACACTGATTGGGATACCTGTAATATTTGAAGCCAATGGGATGAACTCTGGACAGGATTTGGAGCATCGGTGATTCCATTGACTATCATAAATCTCCACGCGCTTCGAGAGGATGAAATCGGTGGTTGCTGCGGCTTCCTTCCAATAACCACAGAGCTCCCAGTCGTTTTCATTATAGCCTAAGCTTTGCGCAGAAAGGTCACCTAAATATACGATAGTTACCCGAGCGCTCTCGAGCCGTTGGCGCGACTCGTTGATTGAGAGAGCGACTTCGGCGGAAGATGATTCATCAACACATAAGGAGCGATCCCATAGGTGTTTGGCGCCCAATCTAGCTGCAATCCGGCATGCGGTAGTGACGACATCTGGGATGAGAGAGGTGTCCCAATGATCTCGATGTATTGCAGAAGGAGATCTGCTGGGCACGGGCCGTTCTTGGTGTGAGAGGACGGCGTAGGAGGCAGTAGAAGGGTCGGGGATGTCGTCAAGGTTGAATGTTGTGGTGCAGATTGCCTTCATTGTGAGGCTATTGGAATGTAGGAGAGTAATGGAATGTATGTTCTCGTGAGGCAAATTGGCTAGGTCTAATGATTGTAGTTCTCAATCATTGATACTTGAAGCTTCAATTTATATAGTTCAAGAAGGCCTGACGCACAGCCGTGCTTGTGCTTGAAGCTGAACCATCGAATGTTTTAGGTCGCATGCTTGCTTATGCTGCTTGTTGACTCTCACAAATGTGGTGTACTACCGTCACACACCCCCTCTACCCTTCACTCCACACCTCTCTTATGTGCTCACGCGTTGCTCCAATTCGAATACCTCCTCTCAAAAATGCAATGTAATACTACATGACGTTCGCATGGCTGTGGCACGACGGTAATACACTGAAACGCATCATAGACCAGAGCAGTCAATTATATGTTCTTGTTTGACCTCATTGATGTAAATCCATTGCTAGTCGGTGAATGAACTCTGCTCCCCCGTTGCTCGGAGGGTCCCGGTTTGGAATGGAGCAACGACCTAGCAAGGAGCAAGGGACTCGGGAGTCAGGATTAGACTTCCCCTGTGCCGCTAAAACCACAAGGCGTATTAAGCAGTTTCTCTGCTGCGTTCCCTGGTAGCTAGACTTGTGTTTTGGGCCGGTATCAAGCCCCATGCTGCCCTGACCGACTTTCTCTAGATGTTGGGCAGAATAAATTGCTTCCCAAAGCTGAGATAAAAATCTCCCCATTGTTTCTAGAAAGAGTTCTCATTGGTCCTCTACTCAATTAAATACTAGCTAGCTTGATCTGTTGTGCATAATTCTCCCGTACGGGTGTTTTGAAAAAGACGCCCAATCATGCCCAACTCCATGTACAAGCGCCACCAACGCATGCATAGAGAGGTCCTAAAAGTCCTATCTGAAATATGAAACGCCAGCAGTCCCTCATGTGTGGAAAGAGTGAACTACTTGGTTTTACAATAGTTACGGTCAGGCGTGAATTCTAGAAGGCCTGACTGGAGGATAAGCCTCGTTAGGGCAGCTTAAACTGCGTCATAGGACTTGAAGCTAACGTATACACATACTGTGAATGAGTATGGCTTTTTATCTCTCGGGACATTCGGGGAATATCTATCCCGATGCCTCGTCACTGACAGACGTTTCATGATGCTGCTCAGCCACAGTCGACGCAAATATTGCGTTTATAGGTGGCTTTGGCAGCGTAACATGACGCTCGATGATCTATTGTTAGATTAGATACTCCAACAACTTCAAACTTTTCCTTCTATACACTCCAGAGATTCGGAATATTCGGTTTGCGTGTTCGTGAAATCAGCTCGCCCGATTAAAGCACGATGGCTCCTTTGGCTGAGCATAGCCACAATCCACAATCAGGGAGGGGTCAACTCCGTACGTTTCAACTTGGAATGAAAATGCAAACAATGTCATCCCACTTTCATAAAATGTTCCATGGCTGTAATGAACAAAGAAGTTGAAATTCGGCACTACAGACATCTTCATGATGCAGGGGCGAAAGGATACAGTCGTCAAGTCGGTCTGCGCGCCCATCTATGGTCAGCTTAGTCGACCCTGGACCGTAACACGCACAATATTTCTGTCTCCCAGTACTGATATAGATGGTAAGTATTAGATAAGTTCTATCCACATCGCCAACGTTGCTACGGGGAAGACGGACTTTGACCGCAAGAGTTCATGTTCCAGCTTCCCGGCGATTCCGGTGAATATGGGGGCAACTGTCATTTTCCCGGGACTTCGGGCTTCGCTTACCAACCCATGCCCGAAGGCATTGCCACATGAAGAGGGAAAAGGTGTATCTGTCTTACATTCGATGAAAAGTTACGCTTAAGGCAACTGGTCATATGCCCTCCGCGGATGATGGGGTAACGAGATACGACACGCCACTCATCATGGGAGCTTACAAGATGCCCCGACCGCGGTAATAAAACCCGAAAAAAAACGTCTCCAGCGATGATATCATGATTACTTTCCTGAGCATTATAGATTCTGTTGCTATTCCATCTTACTTTCCCAGCTGCCAGCGATGAGGTAGTCTAGTCGCCTTGTTTTTGATTCAACAGTTTTTTTTTGGCTTACGAGAGGCTGCCTCACATGCTTCAATTCACAGATGGGACTAATCGAGAAAAAGTTAGAGAATACAAGCTTTGAACTTTGTTTGATGCCTGGCGCGTGAATGAAGACCCGTCTGCTTCACTGCCTGGAGACTAACGAGTAACTAGCAGGCAGCAGCGTCTGCCCGGTAACAGAGCCGTGAATCTGTCCTCAAGAACTACTTATATTCTTGTTCCATTTTGATTTAAGGCGTCGGCTACTAATCCCGAGAGGCTGCATATAAGCATCAATCACTGCACATTTGAGCTGCGCGGCTCAAAGGCCTCTCACCCCCTTCTTAAGCCTCCAAGTACTAAGGTACAAATGTGTGCGGCCGAGAAATCTTTTGACGTGAAGAAAATCACAGCTGTTCAACCCCAATACTTCAGAGGTTGGTCAGATGACTGGCGATGTCCAGTCATGGCATGCGAAGTCTCGTGTTAAAAAATCATTCGATAAAGCGGCCGCTTTCGGAGTGCTCAGCCATGCACGTGCCGAGCCAGACGAAGGGACACTGACCGATATCGTGATGGTATCCCTCAAGGCTTTCATCTACGGCCTTTGATGCAGTTTGTCGTAGTTCTTGTCGGGCCGGCTCTCCCGAGTAGCCCTGAATTCTTTCCCAAGAGGGATGCTAAATATCATGCGGAATTTCCAGCAACAAAGATTACCTGATGATTTATATCTTGAGACGAAAAAACCACGTATAATTCCCTTAGGGTGCAGAGGCAAGATATCACCAGCCCCATGACTGTATAGCACAGGTGGGAGAGTCTGAGTACTTGACTTGGCAGTTTAAAAGAAAACAGCAATGGAAGATGCCGGACCCGACATCTCAACACAATGAATATTACTGTATACTACATGACTGAACTAACTCATTTATAAAGGCCGGACCCTAGGGTAAGATAGGTTTCAAATATACCATTAGTATCCTCAACTATCAACGTCGTCATAAGATCATGCTGCAAATAACAGGTCTGCGGATTACATCACACTCTACGATGCCATACTAGAATCTCCCTATCTCATGAAGACCCACACCTCTACCGAACATGAAGGGAGCACCAAGTATGCCGAAAGGACTGACGAAGTCCGGCAGTAGTGAGTCATAACTACGGTGTCATTGAATCGGACACCCTTGCCAAGAAAGAAGGGGGGCAATGACATGGCATACTGTTGTTGGTCAGAGCGCATAGCATAAATAGGACCCAGACGCTCAGATGTGGCCCTTCCACCAAAAATACTCTAGAATATTCTCCAACGAGAAGCCTGTGCTATAGCTCTCGCCAATCGGTTAAGCTGAAACTGCCGCCATGCCCTGGTCTGGTGAGGGATATGGCCCACGGGTGGGTGCACACCAGCTCTGTATCTCCATGACACCAGCACTCGTGGCAATGAGTGAAGAGAGCTAACGAGGAGGTGGGAAACACGAAGAGAGAAACATAGACGCACCACACTTTCCCAGACCGCTTCTTCCCTTAGTTCAACGTTGAAATATCGCTCAGCTCACACTGGTCTAACGTAGCATGAAGGTGGCATTGATTCGCCAGGAGCAAGCCACGTGCCCATTTTTCTTTCATCTCCTGCAGGTCTGATTGGTAACAAGCATCTGTGTCTCGATTTAGCAGAACAGCTATCAGCTGTGGATGCCATCAGAAAGCCGAAATGTTGCTGTCAATGTCTGCTGCTTTGTGTTCGGTTTCCGCGTCGAGTGTATTTTTCTATTTTTCTCTTGTTTTTTATTGTCTCAGATAAGCGCATAATAATGTAATTTGGAGCGTGGTATCACGAGTATAAATCCCAGTCTTTGGTGTCTGGTGCATGAACTCCTACTTATCCTTCTGGATCCACCACGACGTAGTGGTGGTCAGGCACGAAATTCGAGCCCTTTCCACCCAATTGCAAGGAGCCTTGTTTCCTGGGGTAACTGGCATTTACATCGGGAAATTAGATTGCAGCCCTAGCTCAAGATCGGGGAGCGGTGTCCTCGACTGAGATTGTTTTATGATGGTCGCCGTGGTGAGATCGAACCCCCCGGCTATTCAAAACGCACAAGAGGTGGATATTAATGGAATCAGCCACTGGGAGGGAGGGAAATAGCCGCTAGGACGAAAGGGATGAGCTAAGCGTCGCACAAAAAATTATATAGATACTTGTGAATGTTCTCGTTTATGAAAATGGGATTCTTCAGTAACCACCACCAGTAAAAGGACTTGTTGTGTGACTTTGGGAAGTAAAAGGGAAATCTTTGGATAGCAATCATATCAAGAAGGACGAACCAGCAGATCTCTTGTCATGTATCCTCACTACCCCTTCCCCGCATCTTCAAGCCCTTTGATGGTCCTGGTCTCATTCTACACCCCGACACGCATCATCAACCAGCAGCAGCAGCACCAGAAGAAGAAGAGCTACCAGCAGCATGTCCGAGGCCAGCATAGCCAAGATGGCGTCCTTCCACGCCGCCCTCCGATCCAGCCGCCGAGTCCTGTCGCTATGCGGAGCCGGCCTATCCGCGTCATCAGGCCTACCGACCTTCCGCGGGGCGGGAGGGCTCTGGCGGAACTACGACGCAACGATGCTCGCGACGCCAGAAGCGTTCCAAAGCGACCCGGGCCTCGTCTGGTTGTTCTATGCCTACAGGAGACATATGGCATTGAGGGCGGAGCCGAATAGCGCTCACCGCTATCTCGCTGCGCTGTCTCGGGAGAAGCCCGAGTTTCTGTGCCTCACACAGAACGTCGACAGTAAGTGCCTTAAAAACTCCCAAAAAAGAAATCTAGCTATCCTAGTAGCGTGTCTGACAATTCGGTTTCCATCTAGATCTATCCCAGAGGGCAAATCACAACCTGGACACGCTGCTCCCACTCCACGGGTCTCTCTTTGACATCAAGTGTACCGGCTGTGACTGGATCCAGCACGGCAACTATGATGACCCATTCTGCTCAGCCCTCAGCGCCGCGTCGGTGGATGTGCCGCCGGGCGAGACACTTCCCCTACTTGACCCGAACCACCAACTGAAGCCCATCTCCAGGGACGAGCTTCCCAAGTGCCCTGCCTGCAAAGTTGGTCTCCAGCGGCCTGGTGTCGTTTGGTTCGGAGAGAAGCTGGATGAAGCGGTGCTCGAACGCGCAGATGATTTCGTAAACAAAGAGCCCGTGGTAAGCACTCCCTTCCAGTCGGCCGCCGGGATGGAGAACACAGTGACTAATCAGCGCTCTTCTAGGATATGATGCTGGTAATCGGGACTTCAGCCCAGGTCTGGCCTGCCTCAAGCTATATTGAGATGGCGCGGGCGCAAGGCGCCCGAGTGGTGGTTGTGGATCCGAGTGCTCAAGACGAGGCTGAATCGTCTGGGGGTGAGCCAGGGGACTTCGCTTTTGCGGGCGATGCCGCCGAACTCCTCCCGGCCATGCTTCAGCCGGTCGTAGGCAGACTGCAGGATGATGGGACGTTCAGGAAAGACTAGGGCTTGGCTCTTTGCGCAAGTAGCAAGAGTGACGCCCTGTGTCTTGGTGGTTAACGATCATGTGTTATGAAAACGAGATATGGGCAATGCTGAATGAACGTGCTATGAGGATTATTACTCGTCCCCCTAACTTCTTACCATGCTTCCATGTGACTCGACTGTGCAATATTGGGATGATTGTCCTTCCCAAATAAGAAGCCACTCCCTTTTCTTGACATCGCAGCTATCTCAATCCCTGAAACAACGTCCCAGTTAGGGAGGAATTGGATTTGCAGTTTCCCATTATAGGCCAAACGGATGCTGCAGCTGGATCCCAGCGAGACCACATGGGTGTTGACCCATCATTTATCAACTTCGTCGAGTCAGGTGAAGAATCTCGGTCATGCCCAAAAGCAACAGCCTATAAGAGTGGGCAGAATTGCATAAAGAGTAAGCTTATGCAGCCCAACTCTTCTGTAACGTACGGGTTCGAGCACACTGCTCACTGATAATTGGCGCAGTGCAGCTTACAGCTGAAAGCGAGAGGGTTACGCCTCCCATCCTTCCCGTCAGCCCCAGGACAACTAGGCTTATTCCCCCGCCTTTTGGTTCTCAAAATGCTTCCCCTTTTGTGTCGATTCTAGTCGCCTTCCACGGAAATAATAGCAAACTGCTGTCTTCCAAAACGGCCCGAGAAATCAACGTGTCCCTTTACAGTTGAAGATATGCAAAACACACGTTTAGAACCACACCCTCTACGACATGGCTCGTCGGTGACTGGTTGTTCAGGGAGGAGAATGTGCCTTGGCTCAACGCACTCCAGCCAATAGATGAATGCCACTCATCAATGTGGAATGAAACATTGAGCATGACGTGTCTGAGCAGGATGTGCTACTGTCGACTCAAACGTCTGAAAAGGAATGCCGAACTATCCATCTGGGGGTTCATCATTCCCACCACGGCTTTCCATCTCTGGTAAACCGGAGATAGCATGACTAACCATCGACATGCAAGAAATTGATTCCAAAATGAGAATCAAATAACGAAGTTTGATGAATTGGGAGATCATCTATCGATTCTATCCTTTTGCGCTGCTGTGTCGGAGCATGTAGGTAAACACTAGCAGTGTAGCCGGTCCGCTACGATGCCGCCTTTACATGCTAAGAATATCATTTCGGCTAATTTTTGGAAATTCAAAGAATATTGAAGCATTGGCGGGTTGCAGCCCGTTTTCTTTGGCAGAATAACGGCCTCTGGGTGCCACTTGTGACATCGGTGACAACCACCTGACCTACCGATTAAATTCTTCACGCAAAAGTTTCTCTGGGTATTGTTGACGGAATTCCAGCTGCTCCAAGAAGTAAGTGATGATGTAGAGCCGATTAACTTGCTTTTGCTCCTTACTAATATATCTCCGGAGGATATTTCTCTATCGATCGAAACGAAGCTTGAGGATCAATTTAGGAAATCCTCTATATATCAGTGTAATATGTCCTTCTAATTATCTACATCATTCTCTTGGTGACTTCATATCGTCGTTGACTCATCTCCGCTCTTACATCCCTCCCAGGTTTCTTTGACCACGCGCCAATAACGATCCGGATTAGATCGTGCATGCGACACATGCTTGCTGTTGCCGAAATCCTCTTGATATAAAACATGAAACCCCTTCACGAGAGCATCCTTCGCGTGATTCTGCACGTCCTTCTTTCTAACCAATGGATCGGCAGCGCTGAACACGTAAGACCGGCACGTTTCAACAGACCTTGTCGCGTTATTCGCCGCCTGGCCCCAAATTCCCGCCCAGTCAGTGCCACCGAAAACGTACACCCCAACCCAAAGAGTCGTACTGAGGAGATGGGCAAACGGCGCGGCCATGATCCGTGCAAGCCACTTGCCATGGGGTACTCCAAACATGACTGCATTAGCTACGGACCAGTACTCGTAAATTCCCGGGGATGAGTCGAAAACTGTCGCGTGCAAAGGGAGGCGGTCTCTGGGGTTGGTCTTTTCACTTTCTGTTGTGCCTGAATATGTGTCGCAGAGGTTGTAGATTGTGCTGAGGCCAGTGTTTGAAAATAGGTGAACCAGCATGGGTGGCCCGGTGGTCGACGTCCCGGTTTGATCGTCCGCGCTCAAGAGGCTACGGATGGCAAGTCCCGCTGGTTCGAGCTCTTTTCGGGCTCCGGGGATCCAGAAGAAGTGCCTGAGGAATGATTTAACCACCATAATGGAGGCGTTCGGAAACAATTCTCGGTATTTATCGATGTATTTGACAATGTGATTGTCTTGGGCGAATGCCCATGTAGCAAGAATCACGAGACGTGGCCCATTTTGGTCCTCTTGATGTGTGTTTTTCAAGCTCGAATCTTCTTGGTAGAGAAAGACCGAGGGAGACAGTTGGATAGGAGCCGGGTGGGTAGCCATTTGCGCATTTCAAAGGAGTGGTTTTACTTGTGTTGCCTTCCTTGAAACTGTTCACGATCCAGCAGCTGGTTATATAGAAAGGGTTCCTTGAGTCTCCCCAACAAAAAGGAAACTTGAGGTATATAATGATCTTCCCCACTGCTACAGGGTTTGTATGATTTCACTTTGATAACATTGTCTATCTAAATTACTTCTCCCGGTCAGCACGAACATAGGCAGTTAGCGGGAATCCCATGGCCCACAGCTCAAACAAGGGCTTTATAGCAAATCCACCTCCTCAGAGGGTAATCTCACCTCAGATTTCCTTTTAGAATAAAGGCGGTGAGCGGCTTCTAAATGCCCCATATATACACAATTATATATAGTTTGTAAACTGTATTAAAAACTGGGCTACCCTGAATAGAAGTTAATATAGCTGTTAGTTACAATAGCTAGGTTAGGTCTACAGTAAGGGGCTGTCCTGAATAGTAGTTAATATAGCTGTTAGTTACGATAGCTAGATAGGGCTTATAGCTAGCAGCTATTGAGCATATGCGCAGCTCATGCGATAGCTAGGCCAGGCTTATAGTGAGAGGCTGTCTTGAATAGTAGCTAATATAGCTATTAGTTACGACAGCTAGGCCGGGCTTGTAGTAAGACGCTATTCTGAATAGTTCCCTTATTTATACTGTATTGGTTGTATATTCTCTGTATATGCTCTGTTTTCTGCCCTGAAGTTTCCCCGAAAGCAAATCTGAGGTGCCTCAAACAAGCGAGTACGATGTGCGAGTGCGAGGCCTGCTTGAATAATAACTAGAAGGCTGTTTTTCTAACCAGCTAAATCCACATATGGCATAAAGAGCCCGCTTCTCATCCATTATGAGAATGCTAACCGCTCTGCCTCCATGAAGCATGATAAAACCACACGGTTTCTGATGTTCAATCCACCACGCTGCCAAAACAATGCGAGATTCACATACACCAGGGGTTTATTTCCATTGTTACAAAAGACATGGGGGAAATAAATTCCTCGGGCATCTAGCGCTAGCCGCATGGACGGCTACAAGGGTCTAGGCTCTAGGCGTGGCTCTAAGCTGTTGGACTTTCTCTCGGTTCGTCCATTTTCAGTTGATGCTGGAATGTCCAAATCTGACAGGGGGTTTTACTTACTTGACTTGGCCAAGGTTATTCAGCGACAGGATACGCCCTCGACCACAGCGCACCTATATCTCCCTCAGAACATCATCCGTCTAGGTAAATTCATGCTTTGGAAGGATCCTGCCCAACTCATCTGTGACTGCCTAGAGAGTATGTTCATTACCAAGTATTACGGAAAATGTTGCCACCCTTGAGTGGGGATCGATCTGTACTTCTGCAATATTCGAAAACGGTAGTCGCAAGATGTTCTCAGTTTAAAGCACTTCGGTCTAAAAGACTCCCAGCTTTAAGTTTTCCTTTTCGTCTACCGGATGCTGAGAATGCCTGGACATAAAGAGTTGAAATTTTTTCCTTCTTGGTCTCTCTTTTGGCTGTGGGTTGACTTCATCAATTTTTGTTGACGCATGCTGAGACTTTTCAATAGGGAAATTGCCCAACGGTGAGAAATACTCCTTGATAAATAGTCCTTGTTTGCACTCCAATGTCAAGGCGAAAGATGAATAGAAAACCTTGGGTCGCGCAGAAGCGATACATAATAAGCACAGGCCTGTCTCCGGAGCCAGGCGAGGTAAATTCATATAAGAGCTCTCCCATTGGTCTTATGAGTCTTACCAGAGCTATGACCCGAAGCGATATTGACGCTGAATGGGTTGGGTCTTTGTTCAAAGCTGTCTAATCTCATATCATTTAGAAACTCTCCACTTGACAGACGGAGCATGGGGCGCTTCTTAGATATTCAATGCCGGCAAGTTACCCGTTTCCCTTTGCAGAACTAACCTCTAGAAGGCTCTCACAGAACTTCAAACTTATACTAAATCAAAGGCACATCAGTACAGTACGGAAGAGAGTTCGAGTATCAAGTTAAACAACAATAGAAGATGCCAGACCCCATATCTCAACACAATGAATACTAAAGTTTAAAAAAGCCTTTACTAGCCTAAGGCTGCAGTTATATGGAAAGAAAAGTCTATAAACCTTCATACTGATGACTCACTTGCCGTCAGGACGAGCCGCTCGTTGAATAACTATAAAGCATACCCTCTTTCAACTGGCTTCACACTCGTCTTACACCAATCCAAATACTTCAACACACCAAGCTCGAGGCTTCAGCAACAGACCCAGTGAGTACCAGTAGCCTCTTAGCCAGAGCACTTACACCGACATATCTGCAGCTTCGACATCATGCGAGACAACACAATCTTGATGCCAATGCTGTCTCGGCATTGAACAGCAGCGAGAGGTTGAAGTGGTGGGTGTTTCTCGTGCCCATGGCCAGATCACTGCAGAAATCTGCCGTCATCCAGAAGCACAAGCAGGGCAGCCGGTGGCACTGACAAGAAGGGAGGAAGGGAGGTGGAGGGTATCAGAGAGGATAGCTTTAATAGAAATGCTTCTTAAGCTTTGAAAACACAATGAGAGAGAACAGAGTGAGGGATATCAGTACAGTAAAGAGTCGATTACCTCACTGCCCAATTACCGACGTAGTTTTCTACCCCTCTTCGCGAGCCTGGTCATCGACTTGGCTACTTGGCAGTCAGTTGATTCCTGAACGAGACAAGTTCACCATGATTTGCCTACCTGGGATGTCGCCACAGGTTATATAAACAAACCAAGGACTAAATATATTGAAATTCCGGCTCTTTTGGTGGGTTGATGGGCCAAATAATATACGATCCTACACGTGTCACCTGCAGTGCATCTTACCCCCTATTGGTAAGTAAATTTAACTCAGCCACTCTATCGAATCCTTATATTCAAACAGTTAATATTGATATGAGTAGTGACAGCGTCAAGGAGTCCGTTGCAGTAAGAACTTGCCCTCGAATACAACAACCAAGACCGTTCAAGAACTAAAAATCAACACCGCCAGGCTATCGCCGAGGAGCACTGGGATGTTTGCTGATGATATTAGTGCTTGATTTCAAAATTCTATACTTCTTTGGTGTTAAGTTAGCATATGAAAACTAAACTAAACCTTCGCGTGGGAGTAGAGACTCAATGGATTAATGAACTAAGCTCGGTGGACCTCAACAACGTGGATGGTAGGTAGTGGGAGCAATTCCTACTATGGGAAGGAGAAGACGTGAACTCGCAAGAATATGCAGACGATCAAACCGGCATCGATTGTTTTGATCATCGAATGAGAGAAACAAAAAGATTTGCGAATGGTTTATGCATGGGAGTTTGGAAGGCATGATGGGGAAAGAAGTAAGCCTGTGGGGTGGGAGCACTTACTCAACGATATAAGCGACTTGGGATATTGGAAATGTACCTAAAGGAGGCTGTGCTCTCGTTCCCTTTCATCTTACACCTGGCTACAGCAACCATTTACGTATTCACTCACCGTTAAAAGATCTTATGGAACCCTTTAACCTCATCACATGAAAAGCATCACCGGTTTATAAACCACGGACATCCGGAATCCATGTCCAGCCGAGCTGAGATGGATGCCTCCCGTTCTATTTACACTCGGCGGCGACGGGATCGAATAACTCCCGACAGGAGCTTATTGGGTGCTTCTAGCCAGGGGAACAAAAACACCCCTTGCAGGAAATACGAAGCTTAGCGCACATCAGATCATATGGGCGGTTGGTAAGCGGAAAAAAGAGCCAAGGATCTCGGCCTGCCGTGTTGACCCCTGCCGGCACCCCCGTAAACGCCCTTTTACTATTGGCTCGCTCGTCTATAGAGCCCACAAAGATCTTGCCTTCTCCAAGCCCTTTGCTGGTTTTCTTCCCAATTTAATGCAGACTAACTCGTTGGAAGCCCAATAGCTGGAAGATACTGCCCCTTTCACTCCAAGACACATGTAGATTCGGCCGTCGCATTCTGGAAGTCTTTTAGGACGGTGGACAATGAGCGTGAGATCTGGCGTATTGGCGGTTGAGTGGAGATGGCGCAACAACAAAGTACATGAGGATGATACGCAATACGAGCTCCGGCACAGGCCGTGTGCAGACTGGTCGCTGAGCTGCAGCAAAACAGGCGACAACGAGCCAAGTTGCAGCTTACTCCGGTCTGGGCCAAATAGCATAGAATATCATAGGATCTGCTTCCAAATACGTCTAGCGTCTATATCAATAGATTCTAAATACGAGCAGGCCGGCTTAATGCATAAGAATGATCTACACCAAGGTGCTTCCCTGGTCTCTGACTTTGCTAAAGCGGAATAAATCGCTTGGTCGGTACGCCATGTATTTAGAATCCTTCGTTCCTGATCTTTTGTTCCCCGTTCTTTGATCATCGTCTGCATTTCTCTCTTGCGTATTAGTCTCGCCTTCGGCCGGTTTCCTCTCCTCTAATCATATTATCACTCGTTCTTTGAAGGCTGAAGGCAAAAAAGCGGCCTGTATGATGGCCCCCCAGGGCAACTCGACCGACCGTTCTTCAAATGCCTACTTGTCGAATGTCGCGTTATTGAACGCCGTTCATAACGCATACCTTCACGCTGAGCCGTATCCATTGGATGCAAAAACGAGCATCGTCATCAATACATGGCACGAATCAAAACGAAAGGCTCCAACGATCGATTCTTCAGTGGCTACACGAGTATGGGAACATGCCAGACGCCGAGTTGAAAATAATTGCGTGCTTTTGCAGTGAGCACATCCCGAAGAAAAGCATTCCAGTTTCTAACAGCAATAGATCCCTCCACCCATCAACTCCGACAGTATTCATACCGTTTCTCGAGACTCTTCCCTTCGCCATCCCTTCTTCAATATGCACATCTCTTCAAGCACTACAGCCGTTTCTTTGCTGCATGACACCTCTCAATCCTTCGACCCCTCGGTATGCTGCGTTGTCACTGAAGTTAAATGTCGACCTTCAGGGACAGGTTCTAGGTGCCAAGCTAGCTCTCCCGG